TAGGACGTATATCAAGGCCTGGAGGAATAGAGTTCGCTTTGAACAGGGTGGCTTGGACATCAGGTCGGCGAGGTGGTTTAGCGCTCTTTCCCATCGTCTAAACAAGTCTAGTTCCCGATGATTTTCGAGAGATACCGATTCATTTCGGACCTTGCTTGCCGCTCTTTGCGGTGTCAGGGTGAGTCAGTACTGACCGAGAGTCTCCTCCCCTGAGAGGGCGGTGGGAAGAGAGTTAGAACGGCCGTAGTAGAGAGGAGAAGTGGAAAAAAAAATGGCAAGCCTTAAAACTTTTCTAGCTGCTAAATTAAAGTTGGCCCACTGTCGCTCATTTCGCCTTCATTCTTGCCATGACATGCTCGGGCAAGCGGCCTCACGCCATTTCCAGCTTCCTCGAGGAGAGAGAGCGTGAACCATGATATGCATGGCTCCCATCATGGACGAACCCATTAAGCTGCTGCCGCCGACTCCATCGGGGTGCGTGGTGAATTCAATGTGCCGCCGTATCAATCTGTTTTCAGAAACTTTCTCGCATGCTTATTGGCTCGCCCCGGCTGATTCGCTCAAAGTGCTAGACATCCGCCTACTGGAAACCTCCGAATCATAAGACAAGGCGATCCCACCAATGCAGGTGTAGAAGGGGTCGACACGATGCAGGTGAGATGAATAGGAAGGAGCCAAACGGCCTCGAAGACGGGAATAGTTTGTAGGTCTCGAGAAACAAGAAACTAGTCGATTCGGACTTTAGCTTGTCATTGCTGCTTTGGTCCTCTTCGTGCTCCCCCCTCCCCGGTCCCTTCTTCTACCCTTTCGGGTTATCTTTCCTCATCTTGTATTCGGGGAGAGGCTCTTCCCGTAAATATTGCAAGTCAAGATTTGTTTCGTGATCTGAGACATGCCAAGAGTTAAAATGTCTTTTCTGTTCTTGCTGCTTGAGAGTTCAGAAGAGTTAGGGAAGAACCTCGGGACCGGTTCGTCTCCATTTCATCGGCTGTCCGCGGAACCAATCACATGGCTTTTATCTTTCTTCTCTTCCTTGTCTCTTTCTCCTTCCCGATCATCCCGGTGCTCCTAAATGCTTGTCATTGTAGGCAATCAGACTTGATGCTGGAGCGTACATCTGGCCGCTTGCGTAACAGAGCAAGCAGCGGAAACCTCTAGACACCCAGGTTGGCCACTCGGAGTATGACGTGAGCCATCCTCTCGACGTGCCCTCCTCAAATGAAGGTTGTTCCCTGTCGACTACTCCGGAGGGGTGCACAGCATCTTCTGCTTGGAACTGGGCGAGTCTACAAAGGAGGTTTGGTCTGTTCTCTGCATCGGTGCCCCTTCTTCACCCCGCACCCTGGCGGAACCTTAGGTATGCACTTTCCTTGTAGATCCGTCTACAACAGAGAAGATAGGACCGGTTAGAGCTGGCTACCGTCGCCATGGGCAGCTGCGAAAGAGCCCTGGAGCCATTCATGGAACCGAGGCCCACGCGGTACGCCGTTGGCTTGCAAGAGCATCGCCCAATCCAGCGGGAATCACGGGGTCGCGTTTGCGGTTGTAAGCTGGATGGTGGGGCGGGTTATCGCAAGAAAGGGAGGGACGAGAGTCTAACTTTGTTACTACCCCTCAAGTCCGTCCGTATTGGAAAAGGCTATCGAGGGGCGAGCTTTGGGACCGGTAGCTTTCGATATAATCGAAGCTAGGGGGCGCCATTGGCGATAGGGAGTAAGCCGTGAGGTCAATCAGTTCGATCCAATCGATCCATCCACAGTGATTACTGGCCGGGTTTGGTAAGATAGTGAATGGAAATTCCGGTTAGCGTCTGTTTTAGAGGAGACATGACGCTTCGCTGGAGTGATCGGGCGAGAGATGGATCGCGCTTTCCACTAGGATCAGTCACAGATCTGGGTGGGCTCGGTTACCTCTATTAGATGCTCTGTGCTGGCAATGTTAGAGGTCTTGGGGAGGAGGCTCCCTCCCTCCCCTTTGAAGAGAAAAAAAGTACACCGTCCGCGGACACGGTTCTAGACACTGTAACTGGCTTATGTGGGTACCTTCCTCGAGACTTAAACCACACACCCTGAGCTCCTTCACCTTCAGACGCCCACTGTACTTGCTCCGGCCAAAGCTTGAGCCCTTTGAGAGGGGAAACAACGACTCCCCTGGCCGCGTTTCCCCCTTCCCATGCAGATTCCACCCTCCCGTCGGCGCCTCAGTGCTATGTGCACTCCACCTCCGATTTGGGGTGTCTTCATGCTCATCCGCCCCACACTTGATACTATTTTACTTTGGGCTAGGGAGGATGCACCGCCCTGGTGTGGTATGGGCGTCGATACTGCCAGTACTCGAATATGAACAGACAGCCGGCGTCGAGCCAGCCAAAATTTGGACTGGGTCTCGAGGAGAGGCATAGAGCTAGAGAGCCTGCAGTAGCTAACTCGGGCGACTACGGACAAAAGGGAGGCAGATTCTGTGGCCACCCTTTGCCACGATGGTGTTGCTCGCTTGGCTAACGCTGGTCATTCTCGGCTAGAAGCCAGGGCTGGATCGACAAGACGTTGTGCGACAAGTCAGGGCAAGCCATGGCCCCATTGAATTGATAGAAATCTAACGACGGCGGCAGCAGAAGAGATCGATGTCTCGTTATCCAGTGGAGATCCCAAGACGAACCGTTTGTCCAACCGAACCCGGTTCCTCCGTCAGGATCCAATCATCGACTCTTTCCTTAGGGTCGCGGAGGTGGAGTCTTCGAGAGAGAGACCCCAAGGCAAAAAGAACAAAAGAGAACAAGGAGAGAAGAGAGAGGGGAAAAAGAAAAAAAAAAGGGAAGAAAAAGAAAGAAAAAGAAAGAAAACCATAGGGGCGCACTACAGTATGCTGATATCCGAGGCAGCACCCAATGCAAGCTTGCCATCTAGGGGTGAAGATTGCTTGGCTCGGGTCATCCCCGGAGCGCCGCCATTTGTTGCCAATGATGACAAGGCCTTCCGGACACAAACTAGCCTTTGTTCGCACAGTCCGGCCGAACCCTCGAGGGGGCTTCGAGATGTCTGAAGACGAGATGAGAAAACGCACGCAGTCCTTTCTTCCGGTTCAATTAAAATGGACATGTCTTGAGGCAGAAGCTCAAGGTGGGAAAGTGTGTTGCAATACGTGCTGCACGGCTTCCAAGACGGCTTGTTGGTGGGGCCAGCCAGGCATGTCCAACCAGAACCAGCTTGCTTTGAGAGGGGTCTGTCCTCTCCACTCGACATCCAAGGACAACTTCGTGCAACCTAGCCTGGCATGCTTGGCAGGATCATCTTGGTGCAGACGCGGCCTACTCGCCTTGCCACACCATCTCGCTGATTGTGAGATTCATGGATACACTATGATTGATGGGGACAGGCAGTCAAGTCGCAACCTCTACGACAGGTATAGTCACTAGCACGGAGAATGACTTGTACACTTTTGGTGGTGGGTGGAAGGGGCTTTCAGAGGACTGGTATGCGCCATGTATCCACTGCTTGTGCATGGCGCAAGAGGGGAGGGAGGCAAGGGGGATACGGCATGGCGCATTGATGGCTGGTAGAACCGTTGCACTTCTACATCAATCGCTGAAGCTCTTCTCGCCTCTTATCTTGCCCGCTGCAGCATGTAAATTGGAGGCAACGGAATTGGTCAATTAAACTTGAGACCTTACGAGTGCCTCTCCAGCTGGACCCGTTAACGTGCACCTTGCTGTACGAAGTATGCCGACTGTTTCTATTCGAGCCGGAGAGAGAGGGGCAAGATGCAGTTCAGTTACTCGAGAGCAGTCTCCGAAATTGCGGAGGAAGGACTCAGTTCAATGTTCTTTTCCAATGGATGTCCATTGTCCATTGTCCATTGTCTGGTCCTTGGCCGCGGTCGCCGGCCTTCTGAGCAGTCTGGTCCCTCTGGTCAAGCGCTAAACTGCTTCCGGGTCCGATTTTGATCAATTCCATTGTCAACACCCCTCCGGTAAAACCACCCCTCCACCTCCTCTCACGACATCAATCAATTGACGCTGCCCACTACCCAGGACCAGTGGGGCAAAGGCTAGCGGGGTACAATCATGGCCAGTACCTGCTAATAGCTTTTCGTCCTTTTGTTCCCACACCTCACGCTGGCGCTCGTGCCCTGTCCCGCCGATACTGTGTCCGGCCGGTTGTGGGTAGTGGAGCTCGAATGGAGACTCGGAAGTCCATTTTGGTCGGTCATGACATCGTCATCACCTACGCTCACTGCCGACCAAAAGGGTCGTTTTCCCTATGTAGAATCGCGATGAGCTGGACTTCCGGATCCCTTGGTTCGGAAACACGAGTTTGTTCATATATTCAGCGTGTTTCCCATCTTTCTTGTCTGAGCAAAGGAAAGGAATTTCTTTTTATCCTTCTTGCCCCTGCTCCCTGCCCCTAGTCCTCCCGCTTCCGGTTACCAGCACTGAAGCGACTCGAGCCTACCTACCACGCAAGGCTTTCCGGGCGGAAAAAGCGAAGCTAAGAAGAATAAGAGCCAAGAAGACCGGACCAAGCAGCCAAGGTACCTACCCAACTACCATTTCTTACGAAGCTTTCATCTTCTTCAAAGCTGGGCCCTGGCCTCTCGCGTTCTTTTCTCCAGGGAATACTCGATCTCTACCTGCAACACCTCGCGCCGGCAAACATTATATACTTGGATTCCCTCCCCACACCCTCTTTCGCTTCAAGCTGCTGCTTTGTCACTTGTTCTACCTTTTTCAACCACCCTTCGTGCCGCTTGGTGCTACAGCTCTACCACCCACCTCCCCCACAACGCCACTCAACCACTGCGCGCCCTGACAAACTTTGGCCATATCCTCTCTATAAAGCAAGCTCCCCTCCTCGTTTAACCACACCATTGGAGTGGCTCCTCCCCCTTTCCCCTAGGGAATCTATAAGAGCTTCCTTATCTTCCTCGACACTCCAACCTCACGGTTGCCAGAACCTTTGCGTTGAAGGCGGACCTCTTCATACCTCAGCATTCCACACACCATGGACAGTTCTTCACTCTACTTCGACAGGCGAGATAAACTCGATGTAAGTGTCACCCCAGCGCCCTGAACGTCGGACTCTTTCATCTCTCTGCTCCGCCTCCTCCCGTGTTTCTCGTATGTTGCCGCGGATATGGTCTAGTTCGGCTTGCGCCTGCTTCCCATGTCTGACGATGAGATTTGGCCTTTGCTGCTCTTCTCGCCGAGCTCGGGAGCGCAGCGACGTATTTTTGGGTATTACAGGCATATGAGACAGGCGAGACACCTACGCACTCTACCTTGCACCAGTCGCTTGGATTTTTCAATCTTTGCCAGCATTCCCCGTTTTTTTTTTGAAATGCCCCCGCCAGAACAGATGAAAACACTACTTGCGCAGAGATCGTTGAGAGGCTAATTAAAATTGTCGACAACTAGAGCCCCGTGGTGTCGCCAATTCTTGATCGGTTTATGCCCCGCGCAGCCATGGAAGACTCCGCCTACTTTACAACGCCAAATGGGGCCTTTTCCACACTCCAGGGCGATGCTTACACGCTCGCACCTCGCAGTGTTGACCACCGTGACCCCACGGGAGGGGCTTTCAGCCTCGACTTCTTGCCAACGGCTGATACCATGCCGCGAGCGTATCCGGCGGGGACTCTAGATCCCTCTGTAACGACTAACACAACGAGTCCCGGGGACCCCACCTTTTGCGACATTGATCCATCCAGAGCCCTCTATAACGACCGAGATAGCTCTGAGGAATGTCTCAGTGGCGGACTCCACGGCCAGGCCCCTGTCACCTTTGATAGCTCCTACAGCTTCCTCCCCTCCCCCGGATGCCGAAGAAGGTACCGAAAACACCACCGTGACAACACCGGCCATTTCCCCGACAAATTGCCGAGGGCTCCTTTGGCGAGGGCGAGACAAGTCCCCAGAGCAATAGTGCGAGTAGCGGTGCGCCCGCCAATGGCAATAAGCAAAGGGTCGAGCGCAAGAAGCGCAGGCGACACTCCACGCCCGTTGTCTCGGCCAAGGACAAGCAGGCCCCTGGCGGCCCTGGCGGCCCTGGCGATGAGAAACGCCGCTCTACAACGCAGCTCCGCACCGCCTCACGCGCGCCCAAGCGGTATAGCCAATCGACAGCACGTAAGCCCGCCGAGACCGCCGAAGAAGTCAAGGCTCGGGCGGCGCACAACCAAGTGGAGCAGCAGTACCGCAAAAGGCTGAACGCGCAATTCGAGAGACTCCTCGCTGTGCTCCCCAGCCCGACTACGACGAGGAAGGGATGGACGAGGAAGGCGGCGAGGGCGGTGGCTGCCGCATGGGCATGGAGAAGAGAATCAGCAAGGCCGAGGTTCTCGATTTGGCGCGGCGGCGCATCAAGCTGCTCGAGCGGGAACGAGCGAGTTTGGAGAGGCAGAAGGACGAGCTTCTTGGCAGCGTCGGCAGGATGCAAGAGGAGTGGACCAGAAGACTAGGCGGTCCCATGCCCACAGCAGTCAAGGTTGAGAGGTGATCCAACGGGACACTACAACCGTCAACCGGTCCCCTAACACTGCAAACAAACAAAATCAACAAACAAAATTCCAAAAAAAGGTGCCGAACAACAGCAGGAATTTAGCAAACTGGTCTTTCTTTGTGGGGATTTCTTTTTTTCTTTTTCTTTGCTCTTTGGAAATTGGCTGGGGGAATCTATGGAAGGCGTGATAGGCGTGGTGGAGTTATGAAGGTTCCGCACGTTGGTCTCGAGGGTACAAAGTTTCTTCACTCTTGGCTTTCTCTATTCTCTTTTCCTTCTTCTTCTTCTTCTTGGTTTTGTCATTTCCCTCCTTTATTTTTCCGAAATACGGCTATGACCTCTAGCGGGAATAGGGTCTTTTCTAAGTACAAACGTTTTACTGCTCTTTACTCCAACAACTCCGGTCCTTAATAGTTGGTTGGGAGGAAAGGGGAGCTCCTGGCGTATGGTGTTGGCTGTTGGAAACAGCTCGGCCTTGGTTGACTGAAAGATCCCGAAAGGGGAGTGAGAGGGAGAATGGAACCTTGGGCGCTCGCGATTCAGTTGACAAGGACGGAGTCCTTCTCCGCGAGGATTCGGCGGAAAAGGATGCCGGAAATCATGTATATGGCTTGGATATCTTTTGTATTTGGGAGATTTTTGGCTTGGATATGTAATTTCTTATAATTTTAATCTCCCTTTTCCAACTTCAGAAGCATCTGCTCTTTTCTTGTCTGGGCTCTCTCTCGTTCCTCTACCCATCTACCGAGGTATGTCTATCAGAATGACCGTCGACGATCTACACGATAGATGACATCTAGTGTATCTCCATCTTTGTCTGGTCATCGGCGATCTAATCCCTGGAGGTGGTGGACAACATGGAAAAGGTGCGGTAAGATCTAACGTACGTGCAATCCGTCAATGACTCCCAGGGTGTGCGTGCAGTGTAGATCAGTCCAGGTTAGTCTCCCTCCTCCTTTCCCCTCCTCGGGGCTCGCCATGAAGACAACGTAAGCCAGAGCAAGTCTAGACCACGCATGGCTTCCTCCGCTCTCCTTCCCCCCTCCCCACCTCCTCCAGCCCTCCAGCCCTCCAGCCCTCAAAGGCGGCGGCCAATGGTCAGTCAGTGCGTACTAGTTCGGTCGAGGAGGTGACGCTTAGCGGGTTCCTGGGATCAGGGGGTTTGGCAGTGGAGGGAGGGAAGGTTGAGGTAATGGGGGCAGGGGCAGGATTCCGCATTTCCTTGGAGAGGGCATTTTCCGTGCTTTTCCCTTGAGTGTTTGCTTTCCCAGTCTTTTTTTTTTTTTTTTTGTTTTTCTTGCGCTGGTTTCGATTCGCTTGGGCACCCCCCTTCTTTTTAGGTCCCTTTTCCCGTTTTTGGGGGAGGGTGCGTACCCCGGTCTAGCCGATTGGGACGTTGATTTTGATACGAGGGGCCGCTTCACCGACTCGCCTAGGCGTTGATGGACCTGTGTTGTGGACGAGGCCTCTGTTCATTCACTTGCTTTTTTCCTTCGTTTTCCCCATGGATGATTTGCTTTCTTCTTCCGCAACGTGGTGGGCTTGGAGATCCAGACAGGTGCGGTACCGAGTATGGTTGTTTTTTGTTACTATTCCTCTTTTCCTTGTTCCATCCCGTACATGTATTTAATTATCAAGATAAGGCGAGGAGGCACGCCTTGGAACTCTCATACTTGGGCTCTCACTTTGCTACGCCGCGGGAGGTGGGGGCGAGATGCGGGTAGCTCGGCGGGCGGAACCCACGCATCACCTCTGTCTATTTCCTATTTCGTTTCCCTTGTTCCGCTTCTGCTTGAAGGATGTAGTTCGCGCGAGGGAGAAAAAGTCATATAGTTATTCATATAACTCGGTTCTCTCGGCTCGCAACCCATTCGTGGCTCGCTTGAGGGCGACCCTTTTCGCGTCCGCATGGCCCTGTTTACGTATGCTCCGGCTCGTCCGGCATTGGTTCGGCGTAGACCGTGATTCAATTCCCGGCGACAGCACCATAGGCTCGCGCTAACAAGACCGGGCAGGTGACGGATCAAGGGCGTGAAGGAACCCCTCGAAAACCAAAACCAAGGGAAAGTGACCAACCCCTCAGGGAAAACTGGGAATTGAAAATGCAATTGATCTCAATATTGAACGTTTCCGAGGGGATAATTTTTTTGGTAAAGCCCTTCGACAAGAGGGAAAAGTGGGAACAACATGGATCAAAAGCCTCCCAGTCTCCGCATGCTGGTGCTCAATGACCGTGGCATGACGTCTCCTAGCAGATGTCGAAACCGAGCCCCCTCATGGACGCGCGGGAAGGCCGGCGGGCCACAAATATGTAAGAAAGGGGGATCCTAGCGCTGGAGAAGAGCACGTTTTCCACGGCTGACAGGAGAGAGGTATCCTCATTGGGGAAGTACGGGCCCTGTCATGTTGGAGGGATGCGAGCGAAGAGATCCATGAATGTCAAAGTTCTGTGTGCAAACGAGCTTGGCGACTTGGCTTCGACGCAGAACACAGGGCCTTGGCGGAGGGGACGACGCCCTGAACCAAACAAAACTTGACGAGTTCCTTGTATAGAAAGACTGGAGGATATAGATGCATGATTACTTTGGAGAATTAATTCGCCCCTGGGCGGGGTTTTTGGCAACGGGAAACCGGCGACACCGTCAAGTTCAACGTTCTGTTCCGGGCTTATGCCTTCCATCACAAAGCCGGGGAAGAGATCAAATTCCTTCGATAGAGGAAAGGAAGGGTTGCGATGACGAGCTATAGTCCCAATCGAGACGTGTCAACATCATCGATCCGCCGAGGACTGTTGATCGACGGATGGGCAGGCAATTCGCCAATTGGGGGTTCACGTTCTGTTCGAGAGAACTTGAAGAGAGGAGGGGAGAGCGCATAAGGGATTATCAGTGGGGAAGAATTGCCATGATCTAGGACTGTGCATCAATCCCAATCCTCCTCCCAACCACATTCACGGTGGCTAGGCGAAGGGGAACAGACCTTTTCAGTTGACTATCACTTCACAGGTGCTGGAGGGCTCCTTATCGCGGGTTCCATCAGAGTGTTCGAAGCTTCCATATCGTTATCAGCGCTTCGGCCCCCTCTCAAGATATACCCTCGTTTAGAGTGCCGGCCAACGCTGGCCTAGGAGCGGGTTCTTGGGTAGAATAGAGAGGTACTTGAATCTGAGGTACCCGAGCCCATCGCCCAGGGGACGGAGACAATAGAGCTGGGCGGACGCCCGTATCTCTACGCCCCGGGTGGAGCGTTGGATGGCGAGATTCAGGCCTCTGGAGTGGAAAGAAAAGTGCAGGGATTGAGCCCGGCGAGAGAGTAAGATAGAGTCGGTTTTTGCCATGTGCTCGGCACCCGATAAACGTCTTGCCTGCTCAAGCCGCCCCGGAATGTTGGAAGAAGGGAGGGCCGTATCGGCGGGCGCATGTGGAAAGGAGCTGCAATGCGACGCGATTTTTAAGGTATGCTTGATTTGCTCATCGCTTGCTCATTGCACCTTTGCTCATCTCTCTCGCATGGCGATGGGCAACGGGCGGGCGATCATTTCTCCAGCGTCATCAGAGGAAGTGGGGCTTGCTCTACATGTAGCATCATCTTGGGGGAGGAGGAAGGGGAAGGGGAAGAAAGCAATTTGCTGGGGGCCGTGACCGTTGGGGATTGGGAATATTTTTATTATTATTATTTGTATCCGGTGAGCCAAGTATCCCAAGTATCCTTCTGCACGGGGCTCGCGGTGATTGGGGCCGAAGGCAGGCGCCCGGCAAAGGGAGAGGAGGGGGCGGAGGGTGGCTGGACCCGGGCCCAGTCATCGTAAATTATCTTGGTTGTCTTGAAGTCTAACGACGCAAGGCGGCACCGCTTACAGTCGTGCCGTGCTCAATGGGCGTCATTGTCAAGCCGAAAGGGGTTTTATACTGGAGGCTTTGCCTGCTTTGTTGAAATCCCGGCAGCTCGTCCGACCGCCTTCAACTGTCCCGCTTTCGTGCTTCTTCACCGGCTTCAACGTGGGCACTGTAGGAACCACGGCGCATATATAGACAATGGCACACGGGGCGAGGGCGAGGGCGGGAGGCGAGGAGGTGAGGTGTAGAGGCTCTTGGCAAGTGGGAGCCGAGCACGGATCGATATCAATTTCAACAAGGTTGAGACTGTTTGGCAGGACAGGACAGGCAGGGCAGGGCAGGGCAAGGCGGGGAGGGTGTGAGGTTTAACACTGATGGCTGGGTGAAGCTGTTTCTTTGGAGCCTCGTCGCCCTCGGCCCCTCCTTCCGCCATGCGCAACCCACTTTGCGAGCTTGAGAGTAGCAAGACCATTAAGTCCAACTACGTCACAGTCTCCTGGAAATTGCTATCCTCTGGTCTAGGGTGAAAATAGGGCGGGGGTCGATCTGGGTAAGCTTAAGAACTCAGAAGCCCATTTCCTGGACTCTGATGGGCTCGCATCAAGTGGCACACGTTGGTGAGGCTTGAAAATGTTCGGTTGTATGCTCTCAACCCCACCATGCGAAGCTTCCCCCAAGACACCCCCGCCCCGGATAGTGGAGGAGACTGGACGCGAAGAAACGAGAGGAGCGCAAACAGCACGGCCTCCCAATGAACGAGGTTGACCCGGCGATCAAGCGATTCTTCTGTCTGAGAAGTTTTTCACCTCCCTCCTTTTCATCTCCTTCCCCTTTCTCGTTTGCGAAACAAATCGATTCTCCCTTTCGACAGCAAGAAACCGAGCAACGTCGTTGGTGCGCATCGGGAAACAAGCTCCCCTAGTTCGTTCGATCGGAGAGACAAAGGCTGGCCCAGCTGAGGCTGCCATAGGCTGGGTTACAAGGCGGTCCCTCGCGCTAGTCCGTTTCCTCCACGCGCCACGAGAAGAATTGGGGGTTTTCGTCATATGGCGGGGTCGTGCGAGGTGCGAAAGGCGAAGAAAACAAAGAAAAAAACCCCTCCCCTCATTGTGAAGCTTGGCCGATGCTTTTTCTTTTGGCGGGCTTTACATTTCTAATACACGGAGGAGAGAAAAGAGAAAAGGGGACAGTCCTCCCAAGAACCCGTAGATAGGCAGAGAGGGGTTTAGTTCGCTTCATATTGCCGGTTGGCAGTCGAAACGCAACGTATATAAAAGTAACCATCTTTCCTCTTGTAGGACCTCCAAGTCCCAACGAGCCATCTTGCGCCTTTCTAGTTTCACGTCTCAATATACTATTCCCAAGCTCTCCCAACCTTTTGACCCCCTTTGACACTTACTAGACGTGATCCCCGTCTTATACACCGACACCATGGCTCCCGTTGACCAGACCAAGTACGTTTCCGGCGGCCAACGACCAGGTGCAAAACATAGATCCATTCCATTGTGCTAACCTTTTCCGCAGGCGCACTTTCACGCTCAACACGGGCGACAAGATCCCCGCCGTCGGCCTCGGCACGTGGCAATCCGCCCCCTCGGAAGTCTACCACGCCGTCCTCGCCGCCCTCAAGCACGGCTACCGCCACATCGACACGGCCCTCGCCTACGGCAACGAGAACGAGGTCGGCGCCGCCATCCGCGACTCCGGCGTGCCCCGCGCCGACATCTGGGTCACCACCAAGCTCGACAACCCCTGGCACAAGCGCGTGCCCGAGGGCATCGACGCCTCCCTCAAGCACCTCGGCCTCGACTACGTCGACCTCTACCTCATGCACTGGCCCAGCAGCACCGACCCCGCCGACCTCTCCAAGCATCACGAGGGCTGGGACTTTGTCGACACCTGGCGCGAGCTGCAGAAGTTGGCTGGCACCGGCAAGGTCCGCAACTTGGGCGTCTCCAACTTTGGCATCAAGAACCTCGAGAGGTTGCTCAACGACCCTTCGTGCAAGGTGAGTGCGAGACGTGAGGGGGGCGCATACGCTCTCCCACCACTAAACCCCTCTTTTTCCTATTTTGCTAACCACAAGGACTTTCCACCGTTTCTCAGATCGTCCCCGCCGTCAACCAGATCGAGCTTCACCCCTGCAACCCTTCCCCAAGCTCGTCGCCTACAACACCTCCAAGGGCATCCACTCCACCGGCTACTCGTGCCTCGGCAGCACCAACTCCCCCTGTACACGAACCAGACCCTCCTCGACATCGCCAAGGCCAAGGGCCGCACCCCCAGCAGGTCCTCCTCATGTGGGGTCTCCAAAAGGGCTGGAGCGTTATCCCCAAGTCCGTCTCCGAGAGCCGCATCCAGGCGAACTGGGACGTCGACGGCTGGGAGCTCACCGACGACGAGGTCGCCCAGCTCGATGCCATCCCCGACAGGTTCAAGGTGTGCGGTGACGCCTGGTTGCCCATCCGCGTCTTTTTCGGCGATGACGAGTAAACTTACTCTTCTTAGAAAGGGGCTGGCTTGTGGAAGGAGGAGAGTACAAAGGGTCTAGGCCTTCCTTTCCCCCGTCTCCCTTGCTTTTGTTCATATCTCGAATTCTATATATATCTCCTGTACCTAGTTGCTCCTATAGTTGGATTAAAAGTTCGTCAGCGTTGGCATTTTCATCTAGTACTTCTATTCCTACACAATTCTTCTCTCGCCCTCTTTCCGTCGAATAGCGTATAAACCTGTGACCTAGAGCTTCGAGTCCTTATTTGCTTCTCTCTTCGGCAAGGCCTGCTCAACATGTGAATCCTCATCCTCCCCCTTTCCCTCGTTTTCTTGTACTTCCTCCTCCTCCCTCATAAGCTCCGCCACCGCCTCCCTCAACAACTCCGCCATACCCCTCCCCTCATCATCATCCAGCTCCTCCCTCTGCCCCTTGGCAAACATGGCATAGCTCCGACTAAACCTCGCCTCCCCGTCGCCCCGTCCTTGCCCGCGGCCCCGGCCCCCGCGCCCCTCGGCACAATATGAAAGTGCACGTGGCCCACGACCTGCCCGGCTCCGACGCCGTTGTTCTGCACCACGTTCCAGTCGGGCGACCCCGTAACCTTGACCACCGCGTGCGATAGCACCGCCAGCCACTGGCCCATCTCCGCCGCCTCGTCCCGCGACACGTTGGTTAGCCTCGGCCGGTGGCTCCGCGGGCAGAGCAGGATGTGGAAGGGCTGCAGCGGCATGATGTCCAAAAACGCCATGACCGTTGGCGTCGACAGGACGATGTGCGTCTCCGGCGCTGTCTTGGTGGGTGAGATGGGGGAATCGTCGGCGAGCGGGGACGACGGGGGTGAAGCGGGTGCATAAGGTGCGTAGTTTGCCGCGATGTTGCAGAATGGGCAGTTGGGGTCGTCGATGGAGGCCATTGTGTGCATGCGGTTCTGAATGCTCCTTGTTTGTGTCAGGGCTGCTGCTCTTCCTAGGATTGATGATTTTCGGATTTTGCCGAATTATGAATTTGATACAACTGCAAATTTAAACTGCTTTAGGTGTAGGTAGGTAACAAGGTGGATTCAAGAACAAGGCCGATTACATGTTGCGGTCAACATGAACAATTTTGGCCAGTGCTAAGCATTTCGAATAATTGATCAATTGGTCTATAAATAATTCATCCAGATCCCCGGGCCCGGGCTCCTCCCCAAAAACGTGCCTCGGCATCCGCATCACCACGGCGCGCACGCTAATCGCAAATCGCATGCGCCAACACTGCTCACTAACAAATATAACGAACACCACTACATGTATTCCCCAAAACGCAAGAGGGAAGAAACGATCCGAAAAGGGTTTCAGCAAAGAAACGCTTGAGATAATCAGACAAGCGCGGCAGGAGGAAGCGGAAGCATTGATCGCATTTGCAGGAACGTTGTCAAAACTTCGGTACGATAAGCAACACAAACCAGTCGAATTCAATGTCGGTGATACAGCGTATTTGCGACTTTGCTGGCGGCGCCAGCTGTCGTCAGTGAACCGGGGTTCACTGTGGGTGGAAAGTCTCTCAGCCTGTCTGCGTGCCAATGTCGTCGACTGGTTACCAGTGGTTCCCAGTCGCTCCAGTCGGTTACCGTTGGTTCCCGTGGCTGCTGAATGATTGACCTGCAGACTGTCTGACTGATTGATTCCTTAGTAGGTTAGTTGACGAACGGGAGTGCTTGCTGATTGCAAGTCTGTACTGGCTGGCGTCTTTGCTTGCTTGCATCATCCCGGTCGCTAATTTTTTCATTGGGATTCCCCAATCGCAGGTCATAAGCGACTTTAACAATGGGATCGCCCATTCCTTCGCTGTTACGTTTTTGCTTCCCGGGATCATGAGAGTCTTTTTGCTGAACAAGCAATTTACAACCAGCAATTGCTCTATCAGCTTATGCTCGCCCATTTGCCATTGCGTTCCTTCCGCTTTCACTGGGGGCATATCTGTGATGAAATCCATCGCAATGGTGTGGAAGGGTACGGGCGTGACTGTTATGCTTCGCATTTCGCCGTTGGTGAACTGGTTGTCTTTCTGGTTTTTGAGGCAGATTGGGCATTTGGCATAGTATTCTTCCACTGTCTTCTCTTTTCGCCTGAAATGGAAACCTGTCAAGTTTACCAACATTCTTCCTTGTCGGAAGTGCTGTTGGTCGTCATATGCCATTTTTGGAATCCTTCCCACAAAAGGCCTTGGCACGCATAGTTTCTTGTTTCCTCTCGAATCGTTGTAGAAGAGTAATCCTTCCTCCTCGAAAGGTCCCAATGGAATACTGCGCTTCATATAAGGAGCGTAAAGGTGCCATGTAAATAGTGGGTCTTAGAAAGTGAAAGAAAGCTCCGTTGCGCTCGCTTCATCGCTCCTTCTCTCCCGAGTGGGTTGCCCTCGTTGGTTTCCTAACTCCCACTCGCTCCGGTTGTTGCGCTGCCGCGGTTCCGCTACCGCTCCCGCTTGCTACCGCAGTTCCGCTACCGCTCGCCGGAGCTGCTCCGTCGTCATCGCCATCGTCATCCTCGTTGTCGTTGCTGGCAGTGGTTTGCGTCGCCACATCGTCGTCTCCATATCTCTGGGTCGTCCGGTTCTGCCAGGTCCTCCTGTCCTACATCTTTCAGCCTTCTCATCATTGCCCCGCTCAGTTCTTTGCCGTTCGCCGAACTCAAAACTTTCCTCAACTATGTCTGCTCCAGCACCCTCGTCCAGTCAAACTTCCTCCACCGCTTCTTAAAATCATCCACCCTCGCGTCCCCCTTCCTCCACCGCCCCTGCTTCTTAATCACCTCGGGCCCGACGTCGAGCACCCCGCCAATCACCTCCCGCGCGAACAAGTCCCCGCGGGGCCACTTGCCCGCGTTCTCCACGATGTGGCCCAGGCCGCCGTCCAGGGTGAACCAGACGTGGAAGTAGGGCATCTCCCGGGCGATGGACCGCCGAAACGCCATGCGGCCCATGCCGGACTCGCGCGCCTTGGCCCCCGTGTCGATGACCTTGCGGTGCTGCGACCACTCCTCGTCCGCCGTGAGGAAGGCCTCCTTAAAGTACGCCGGGATCGTCTCGCCCAGCTCGTACGGGATGGGCACCACCATCATGGCCGCGTGCGGGTGCCGCTGCGGCGACGCGGCGTTTTCGTAAAGAGGACCTCGCGCCCCTGGTCGTGGTACATGCGCGTGAGCGACTTCATAAAGTTGCGAATCTCCTCCCACTCGTCGTCGTCGCACTCGAGCAGGTTCGTGCGGTGCGCGAGCGGCACGATGACCGCCCCGCCGTCGCTGACCTCGGGCTCCGTCGGCAGCGTGAGGAACGCCCGCGTGCCCAGCGAGATGACGGGCGCGATGGGCTGCTTGCCCGTGTCTTCGTGGTAGCAGAGCGGGCACGCGTCGAGGATGCGGTTCATCTTTGGAACTCGTTGATGGCCAGGTTCTTGAGGTTCACTTCCGACTTGTGCACCCGCTTGGCGAGCTTCGCCGCGTTCTCGTCCATGTACTCGAGGTCGTCGTCGAAGCGCGAGTCCTGGCGATCCGCTCGGCGAGCCTCATGCCTTCACCCCCATCTGGTTCTTCGTCCTTCGCTCCTCTTGCACCATTTGCTCAATCGACATGTCGTCGTTCTCTTCGAGGTTGCCGCGCTCCCGCCCGCGCTTCGTCTCGACGGCCTTGACCTCGCCGCGCGTTCCCGCCAGCATGCGGTTCTCCATCGCTCCGAGCGCCACGGTTTTCGGGCCCGTCTCGACAAAGCGGCGGCGGCCTGGTTGTATTCTTCTTCGAGCTTGGCGGCGTCGGGAGCGCGACGCAACTTTGCCTTCATCATCTGCGCACGGAGCCGGTTGAGGGCTGTCTGGTCCATTGTCGCCGCCGGCGCCCGGTGTACCTCGTCGACAATCGTGGCCGCCGGTTCGGTCTGCTCGGCCGCCGGCGTAAACCCCGGCGGACCCTGCGCTAGCCTGTCCCTTTTCTCCTTCTCCATCCTCGCCGTGTAGAGGTTGCCCGTGGGACCTTCCTTGATCGCGTAGCCATCGCCGTAGAGTTTCCTTCGATCAAGCTCATCCTGCTCCTCCCTCGCGATATCGAATTCTTGAAGGCTCCCAAAACGCTCCTTCGCGACGTCCTCCAAGGTGCGTTCGTCGCGTTTCGCAGTCGCATACACGGCCTTGAGCTTGGTCATGCGCCACTGGGATCCGCTATCCCCGAATTTGTAGTTGATTTTTATTTCCTTGGCCACGTCGCCCGCTTCCTCGTCCGAGTCGTAGCTGTAGTCGTTGAGGCCCTGGTTGAGCTCGCGGTCGTGCAGGACTCGTTTCGGCTCCTCCTTGGGGGCGGGGGCGGTGGTTCCTTGTCCCGCCGGTGGATGTAATCGATCTCTATAGCGGAAGGCGCTGTCATCCAGGAATCTCGCTGTAAACCCGACTTGCTGCCGCCCTCGCCGCCCTCTTGGGCGGAGACGTCCTTCGACGACCTTGACCTTTCCTTATCGTGATGGTCATCTCGTGAGCTGCGATGCTCTCGGTCTCGGGTACGGTCCCGATCCCCGCGCTCACGATGTCTCCTGTCGTCTCCATGCCGGCTCGATCGATCCCCGTCGCCGTGTCGTGACCTTTATGCCGATGCCCTTCCCGATCTTCGTCGTCGTCGTGTCGATGCGATCGGTGTCGGTGTCTCCCCTCGCCATCCCTCTCTCCGCGCCTGTCCTTCTCGTCGCGTTCGTGCCTATGCTTTCTCCTCTTCCTGTCTTCCCCGTCGCCGCGGCTCCTTTCTGCCTTCTCTGCCGCCAAGCTCTTTCGAACTCGGCAAGTCCGTCGTCCATTGCGGAAAGTAGCAAAGGAAAGGCTGCCGGAAAAAATTGGTGTGGGGAGTCAAATACCAAGGGATTTTGTAAACGCGATAACCTATACTAGGGGCGTTGTTCTGATAGGCTTTGCTGACAGGTTGCGATGGAATGGCTAGGGTTTCCAAGAGTGACTGACAATCATCAAAAAGTGGCGAGAGACCAAAAGCTCTCCTGCGGATGTGTTGACACTTCTGTTTTTGGTAGTGGCAGGGTACTAATTATTAGTGTGCAGGGCAGTACAGCACATGGTAGAGCCTTGATTAACACCTATCGAAATGCGCCGCGCACGGTCCAGTTCCCCGGTGAAGATTTCAGAGGTGGACCTCGAACGGCTTCCGCTTGTCATCCATCAATTTTCTTCCGCCTCCCAGGCTCCGAAGGAATTATTTTCCTCCCCCAAAACCATCCTCCACCCCCAAATTCACCACCGTTCTCGCACCCCGCCACGAGAAACCCCCCAGCGCATCACCCGAGACACCGGAGAGATCGATACACGCTCTCAATCAACTCCTAGACACCCACACTCGCACATCTCGAAACCCTCCCCGCACGCACATCAAAATGTCCCGCGAAGAGTACCAGATCCCTACCTCAGCCGCCGACCACGGCCCCAAGTCCTACGAGCCCGTCGGCGCCAAGACGGCCAACCTCGTCTACATCTGCGGTGACTGCGGCGTCAAGTCTTCCGATCACCAGACTGTTCCCTTTTGAGGTGCAAGTTTTGCGGTTGCCGTATCCTGTACAAGGATCGTACTAAGCGGTGAGTCTCGAGCTCTGGAGGGGAGGGCGTCTGACCTTGCCCCCGTTACTCGTCAACTGAACTTTGTCTAACTTGCCTTGTTCTTCTCTTCAATAGTATGGTTCAGTTTGAGGCGCGATAAGCGGGTATTCTACGGTATGGAGTGAACGATCTGTCAACGAATAGGCTCGGGGTGGTTCTCTTTTTTCTTTTATTATTTCACCTTTTTTTTCTCTCTTTGCATTGGCATTCTACGGATACCGGAGCTTCGGCGCATTGGTTCAGAGGTGGCGAGGATCAGCAAGGAATGCCGAGGCGTGCGCTCCTCTATACTTAGACATCGGTCTAGGACGTTTCTTAAGCAGCATTGGCAAGATTGTAGTGGTATCATCAATTTCCCTCTAAGGCCTAAATACTGGTGGTACACATGCACATGAAGAACGTCACAAATGCTTTTCTCCCCTCCTCCAATGGTCCCACGGGTTTTCACACCAGGGGTCCACTTCCTCCCAGCCTACTGCCTTTGAGAGTGAAGATACTTGGCGTAACTCGCATCCGCTTCCACAGAATCTTCCGTGCCGAGCGCTGCCTTGTACCGATCTTGCAACGCGTTTGCACCAGCGCCCTCGCCCTCATCCGCGTAATCATCGTCTCCGCTATCATCCGCGACCTCGATGCCGGCGATGCTGGAGATGAGGTCAGACGATCCTCCGGGCCCGACTGACATTCCCTTCATCATCTTGTCCAGCTCCTTTTCTCGCTTCTTCAGCTTCTCCTCTTGCTTCTGCTCCCTGAGTCGATCAAGCTCGGGTTGATAGTCACGCTCAAACTCCTCTGCCTTTTCCTGGACGGCCTCAAAGAACTCGTTGACGCCGGTACCTAGCCTCGAGCTTACGCCAACGACCTTGAGGTGAGAGTAAAACTCCTCAAGCACCAGACTCATGGAAGAGAGGAGGCTGCTGCCGTATCCCGAGCCACTCTCCGCGCCCTCTGCCTCGGCGCGGAGCTCGTCTTCGGTAAGAGCCTCGCGAAGCGACTCGTAGTCCGTCATCCACTCCTTGGCAAAGCTAGCGTCTTTGACGTCGGTCTTGTTGAAGACCAAAATCATGGGGAGCTTGGTTTTGTAAAGTATACTGCACGCATAGAGCATGTTGCTCATGAATGTGCTCGTAGATGCCGTGCGCGGAGTGTCGATAATGTAGGCTAGAACGGTGGGGAAGGAGGATGCGAGAGACTCTAGAAGGATTTGGCCGCTGGCGGACCACACGAAGACCTCAATCTGGCCGGCTATAGAGGTGAGGCGTATTAGTTGATAGGAATTCAAGGAAAAGCCACGTGTGGGGGTAACTTACGTGTGTCGACAATGATGTGTTTGACGGGCTTGCGCTCGGGGTGCTCCGGGTCGGGCTGGGCCCTCTTTTCCAGAAGACCGACCATTTGGTCGATCTTGGTCGCAAATAGGTTGAGAGAGGTCATGATGGCACCATTAGGACCTAGATTATAGTGCTTCATCACGTCTTTATACTTGATGGATTGGCGGATGTCGATATTACAGTCGAACGGGACCTCGAGAGTGGCAGGGTCAAGGTTTATGACGTAAGGTGCGCTGCCCTTGGAGTGTAAGTGGGAATTGATGCGCCGCATGAAAGTCGTCTTTCCAGATCCTAAGCACGATGCACGTGGTTAGTCTCGATCTTGTCGTGTCTGCGGACCCGGGCGTGTAGTCTTACCTGCCATTCCCACGCACACAATCACGGTAGGACGATCCCCAGCGGGGACGCCTGCGGGTTGTGAAGAGGAAGCCATGGCAACAAGCCCTGGTGGGGCGGGCGTCTTGTTCTATCGGGCGTGTTTAGGTAGGCGAAAGACTAGAAATGCCAACAACGTAAAGGGGATGCCGTGTTATGGTATGAATCGTGCGGTGCGTTGCCTCAAGGTGCGGTGGATGAGGTTGACGGAATCCTGCAGAGCATGATTTTGGCGGGGTCCTTCCAGAAAAAAAGAGGTCTGTCTGGAAGCTGACCAAACTCAGGAAGAGAACGATGCTTGTAGCGGAACAATTGCAATAAAGAGTTGATTGCGGGGAGTGGCAGAATAGCGGGCGGTGAGCTCGAAACAAGTGCTATTCCTCGTCCAATTGACTCACACCCCACCTTGGGACGAGGACCGGGTGGGCATGAAGTGGAGGGAAAGGACGTGTTTCCTTCCCTTTATATAAAACGGTAAAAGTGTTCTTTTTGAATTCTGGTCGATTTCAAGCTCTTGGAAGTATCTCGTATAGACTTTGCAGCTTGTCGACCTGAAAAAAAAAACCACACCCACACAACACATAACAAACACAATGGCGACCATGACGGCCGAGGAGCGGTTCGCCCTCATCCAAGAAAACCTGGAGGAGGTTCTGAACCCCGAAATCATCCAAAAGATTCTGAACGAGGGAAAGAATCCAAAGATTTACTGGGGTACGGGCAACTATACTCGGCGTTGAGCGGCTGTAAGAGATGTGCTGGCGGGCACGAGTACTAATACGGTTTTTGCGCCCCGTGCTTCTAGGAACCGCGACGACGGGCAGGCCGCATTGCGGCTACTTCGTGCCCGCGATCAAGATTGCGCAGCTCCTCGCGGCGGGGTGCGAAATGACCATCCTGCTCGCCGATATCCACGGATTCCTCGACAACCTCAAGGCCCCCATCGAGCTCGTGGAGCAGCGCGCGTTATTCTACAAGCAGTGCATCACCGCCATCCTCCAGGCCGTGGGCGTGTCGACGGACAAGCTAAAGTTCGTCCTCGGCAGCTCGTACCAGAAGAATGCGGACTACGTCATGGACGTGTACCGCATGTGCTCCGTCATCTCCGAGCACGATGCCAAGAGGGCGGGCGCGGAAATCGTCAAGCAGTCGGACAATGCGCCGCTGAGCGGTCTCCTCTACCCGATTCTCCAGGTGCTTGACGAGCAGTACCTTGATGTAGATGCGCAGTTTGGAGGTAGGCTTTGGATCTAGTTAATTTGTTGTTTGGTGGAGTTGTGAGACTAAAGCTCTGAGAATAGGTCTCGACCAGAGGAAGCTCTTTATTGCGGCCAAGGACTGGCTGCCGAAGCTCGGATACAGGGAGGTAAGGAGTCTGACTCTTCACTTTGCCGGGAAGCGAACCACTGGCTCTTGGGCGTGTACTGACTCATGCCATTTTAGCGCGCGCATTTGATGAACCCCATGGTTCCTGGACTACAAGGCGGCAAGATGAGTGCTAGCGACCCCAGTATGTGATCCCGAGTGGAGAGGAGGGGCTTCCTCGAGACAGTGTTTAGTACTGACTTTTGTTGAATAGACAGCAAGATTGACCTTCTTGACGCCGCCGATGTGGTAGCAAAGAAGATCAAGAAGGCCGAAGCAGCTCCTTTGGTGGTGGAGGGCAACGGCATCCTCGCCTTTGTAGAATTTGTGTTGCTACCCGCGGCGGGCCTCAAGGGCAAGCGCGAATTCGTTGTCAAGCGCGAGAGGGATGGCCTTGAGCCCCTCGTTTACACTGATATCTCCAAGATTCAGGAGGACTACAAGAACGATGTCGTGAGTCGAACCTTTACCCATACACTCTGACCCTCCCGAATCACCGGCGTGGCTAACACATTTTCTCTCTCTCTTCTTCTTTCTTTTTATCACAGTTGACTCCCCAACTTATCAAGCCTGCGGTGACCGAGGCTCTCCAGGCGCTCTTGGCCCCTGTCCAGGCTGCTTACCAGGCCTCTGCGGAATGGCAAGAGATTACAACAAAGGCCTACCCCCGAGGAGAAGAAGAAGGAGAAGAAGGTGAAGAACAAGGGCACCCGATACCCCGGAGGTGGTGCCCCTCCTGCTACGGGCGAGGCCCTGCCTATTCGCTCGGCCGAAGGCGACAAGCCTGCCGCGTAAAGATACAAAATTCGAGGCGAATCAGAGGGGAAGAAAAAGGGGGAAGAAATCCACAATTGTAAATAAAACCCGGCGTGTCGGCAAGGGACTAGCCGTAGTAGGTTGTCCGTTTGCCGCCTTCAGAGCCTAAAGTCCATGATGAAATCTAGAAGCTACAAGTACCGTGATGAGATAACGTCCTGCAGAAGCGCAGTTTGTATGAGTCTGTCGCTCATCTGCGATCATCCTCTCGAAGAAGAGATTGCTTTCCCTGTGCTAAAAGAGGGACTCTTGATGTATCAAAAATGCTCCTTGGGGATAAGTCGACTTACGGCGACGTTGCGTGAGATGGGCAGGACCGACTGGTTTAGAGATTGGAGTGACCCAAGCGTAAAGAAATAAGAAGCGCTTTAGGGAATATACGTAAAGTCATGTCATCCGAACCTTGCTAATTTATGTTTTTTCCTACCTTCTCCAGAAATGTAATATCTGAATATACCAATGTACAAAATTTGACGTAGAACATCTGCGAATAAAAACCTCCTTAATCTTGGAGAGTGCGTGATACGAAGTGCCGCACCAACGGGCTGCTGTTGATCCAGCGCCTGGATGTTTTCAATGCTGTTTCATCGCATCGTTCTCTCTGTAGAATTGATGGCTGGGGAGCGGAGCACACGCTGGCCGTTGCAGTCCCCTTTTTCTTCCCAGCGGCACCGACGGACCCTCAGCGAAGATCCCTGCCGGAATCAGAGTCGCGTTGTAACTTGTACCGTCGCAGTCACCGGTTTTCCAGGATGGTCTTGAATAGGCTGCGCAGAGCGGGAGTGGCGGACATACCCTCCAAATTTATTTTAGGGAGAGGACAGAACATTTGCAGGAAGAATACATTGTTCCTTGTACTCTTGTGGCAATGCGCGCGCAGAGTTGGAAGGATTGAGGAGAACACTCCATCTCGGAAACTCAAAATGGCCATTTCTCCTTTTCAATCCTCACTTCCTCTGCAAAATCCGGATTGACAATAACGGCGATTCGGGAGTAGCTGGGCTGGTCCTCAGAAGAACACGCAACCAAACACACACCCCCGCAAGCCAAACACTCGAAAGCTCCCGTCTTTCCGGCAAACCGAGCCCCCGCATATCCGTCTAGCTCGCTGTCGACCACCTCCGTGGAAAACCGCTGCTCTGTTCCAGGTGTCGTCATCGGCTAAATCGGCGACCACCTCACGATCATCCGAACTCGCCTTCACCACCACAACAGACGTTCACGACCGAACGAACGGTTGCATTTTTCTTCATCGCTGCCATGTCTTTCGAAACTACGAGACGCCGGGTTATCCGGAGAATCAACAGCAAATACATCTTCCTCCGCGTTGTACGTTTTCCATCCAGCATGCGAACTCACGAAGCTGCTGCCTTGACTCGCCAAGAGTCTTCTGCCGAAATTTTGACTAACGCCAAATCACTGTCTCTTAGCCGCTACTGCACACAATCATACTCTTCATCGAGATATCCTTGATGTGCCGTCTTGCCATCAAATTCAGTACCTACTATGATGAACGACCAAGTTGGTTCTCCCCTTCCCACTCCGCCCGTCTTGCAACCGCCAAGATGGTAGTCGGAGGATAGAGCCGATCCAAGGGATCTCGTCGAAGCGCTTGCTGACTTATTCTTCTTCTTTCTACCCTAGTCATGACGATGATGGTCACAAACGCCATCCTCGGTGGTATGGCTGATACCGTCGCCCAGCTCATCTCCGCCATCAATGCCCGTGGCTCCCTCAAGCCCGGTGGCCTCGCAAAGCATGATCCACTGTCCATCGAGCTCCACGACCTCGATAGGAAAGATGGACTGCTTGGACAGGACTTCGAGGCGGCGGCAGCAAACCCGTTCGACTTTGAGCGACTCGTGCGTTTCATGAGCTACGGTTTCGCCATCGCCCCCGTGCAGTTCAAGTGGTTCCGCTTCTTGGAGATGTCGTTCCCCATCATCAAAGGCAACATGTGGGGCCCGGCTATGTTGAGGGTTTTGTGCGACCAGTTCCTCTTTTCCCCTCTGAGTAAGTGGCTCTTGTCGAAGATGAGCAAAACCCTTGGACTCGCGCTAATTGATCCGAATATAGGCGTCCTGACCTTTTTCGTCGCCATGACTATCGCCGAGGGTGGCGGGAAGCGTGCGGTCTCGGCCAAGCTGAGAGACATGTACTTCCGCACCCTGATGACGAGTTATCTTGTCTGGCCTGCGGTTCAGATCGTCAACTTCCGATTCATGCCGCTTCAGCTGCAGTTGGTAAGTTGTAGCCCCGAGAACCAAGCTTTTACTTTGCAATGGAGCTAACGCCAACCTAGCCTTTCGTGTCGTGCGTCAGCATCGCGTGGACGGCTTACTTGTCCCTCGCCAACTCGGCTGATGCAGAGATTTGAGCGCGGCATACGGTCTCGAGCCGTAAACTGAGGGAAAGGGTTGGTGCATATTCCTAGATTGTCTCTTAGAAGGTCTGGGCTGGGGCGTAAACGGCGGCGGCATATTCCGGTTGTTTTATCTAGGCACCAAATGGGTAGCCATGACTACTCTCTCGTGGGCCATTTTCCCGTCTTTCTCTCTGGGCACAAGCATAAGTTTTGCTTGCAATGGCCTCCATGTTTCATTTGCTTGGTTTGATTTGGTTGGTAGTTATTTGGACCTGGTGTTTTGGTTGTCTCTCATTGATTGTGCATTCCTATGCATTCATGTGCATCCATGTGTCTTACCATGTCTACATGTGACGAATCGAACAGATATGGAATAATTTCGCGATGCGTCAAGTTCTCTTGAAGTTTTGCGTCCCGAGAAATTCGTTAGCTGTTTGTACTGATGCAATCTCACAGAGACGAGCAGAAAGATGAGAGAAGAGCGAAGATGAGGGGAAAGCCCCAAAAGGGAAGAAAGCCAGCCTTAAATAAAAACCGCAGCCGGGCTAGAAAGCGATAATTCAGGTGCACCCCTGCCTTGTGCAACCATCGTGAGTCCAATAACCTCCAGGGGTCCTTCGGTCTGTCACTGTTGTGCTGTGCGTGTCTGTGGGGGCCGCACTAGCCACACTACCGTCCATGTCCCGCTCCGTCTTTGTGGCGCAACTGCGGTTTGCGAACAGCTGTCCAGAGCTCGAGGCATCCACCCCATCAATCGAGACGCAGTAGTAGCTTATTTCGCGACATCGACACTTTTCCTAACAACGTTCAATTCGAGCCCATTTCCTTTTGGGTAATTCAGCGGTTCGCACACTCGTATACGGTTATTTTCACCGGCGTCCGGAAGACTCGATTCCCTTTCGCCTTTCGCTTGCCTTGCTCCCGCAGCGAAGCCACCCCCGGACATTGGATTCAACAGACTAGAAAAGACAACCTGCGAAAGACGTTTTGCGACCTTGCTCGAACGGCGACAAAGTTTCCCCAACGTAGTGGGAAAGCGAACAACGCGAAATATATATATACCTTTACTAGCCTCTCACCCCGGCAGTACCCACATCACACATCTCCAAGATGCTCTCCGCGCTAGCGAACCCGAGGCATCTGGCCTCCCAGCTCCTCACCTTTGGCTTGATTCTCTCCTCCGCCTTCATGGTACGCTGCTGCCCCTCTTTCCCTCACGGTGAGGACTGTACCATATTCTAACATGAAAATGCCCTACAGATGTGGAAAGGTCTCTCCATCCTGACGGATTCTCCCTCGCCCATCGTCGTCGTCCTCTCCGGCTCCATGGAGCCCGCGTTCCAGCGAGGTGACCTTCTCTTCCTCTGGAACCGGAACCTGATAGCCGAGACCGAGGTCGGCGAGGTGGTGGTCTACAACATTAAGAACAAGGATATCCCTATTGTCCACCGCGTTGTGAGGAAGTTTGGGACTGGGTACGTTTTTCTTTCTTTCCTTCGTTTGCCAACTATATACATGTCGCCAACGAACAAGGGCGAAGAGAAAGAACGAGAGAACGAACCTAAGCTAACCGTGAGAACACGGCAACTAGACCCCACGCCAAGCTCCTGACAAAAGGCGACAACAACGTCGGCGACGACACCGAGCTCTACGCCAAGGGCCAGGACTACCTCGACCGCAGCGACATCATCGGCAGCGTAGTAGGATACTTCCCCTTTGTCGGCTACGTCACCATCCTCCTCTCCGAATACCCCTGGCTGAAGACGGCCATGTTGGGCATCATGGGCCTCGTTGTCGTTTTGCAGAGGGAGTAAAGAAGGAGAGGTCCTGGGGTTTTTGAATGAGGATAAGCGGTTGGGCACAAGGGGCAGGTAGGCCATGAACCTGTATGGAAATGAGGAGGACAAAAAAGAGCCGACATGTATCGGAAGGAGAAGCCTACGTTGCCGAACCATCTGCGTGGAGATGACGTGTTGGTGGATGGAGGGAATGAAACGCATATATCTATATATCACTTCGTGTATCAGTTACCAAAGGAGTTCTTCTGGGAAAGCAAATACAAAATTCATCAAGATCTAACGGTCCTTCCAGTACTTGGAAAGGAAGACTACACAATTAGCCTTTGTGACATGATTTCATTATGGCTATTGATATAACCTGAGTAGCTAACAAGAAACAAAACCTGGCCATCTGCTATCCTTACTTGGACGGATCTATCCTTGAAATGCACACCCACTCCGATTCGCATTGCAAATATCGTACAAGGCAGGGGAGGGTGCCTTTCGCCACATGAGCAGCATCACACAAAACGGGTAGTCTCCAACATCTAATATTCGTCTTCGACACCGTCGTCGCCATCATCGTCATCATAGCCGCCCTGGTCATCCTCATCGTATCCACCGTCATCCACCTCTTCCTCATCATCGTCATCTCCTCCAATGAGGTCGTCGTCATCATCGTCCACATCACCCACTACACTCTCGGCGGGTTCCGCCATGTCATCCCCAGCGCCGGCTTGGCTTCCCGCGTAGCTCGTCTTGGTGCTCGTGGCCGTGCCAGTGCCGGGGGACTAGGCATGTCAAACAGGCTGCGGATGGCATCGTAGTTGATGCGGGTGGAGAAGGCGCGCTCCTTCATGACATTGACGGCAGCCTCGGCGGCGGTGCTGGCTGGGCTCGTCTGCCCTTCGCCGATGCGGGGCTTCTTGCGGCGGCGCCGAGTGGCCTTGGGCTTGTCAGCCTCGGCCTTGCGTCGAAAGACTTTCTCCTGTTGATTGCGGAGCCAGTCGCGGTTTTCGTTGACCCAGAGGCGTTCCTTGACGAGGGACTCCTCGGGAGAAAGCAGGCAGTACATAACCTCGGGGTCGTTGGCGAATTCATCCTCGCCCACAACCTCGGACATGGACACCTCCTTTTGCGGGCGCTGCTGATTAGCCCACATGGTATGTAGCTGGGCCCGCTGCTCGGCGCTGCTAAAGGCCATGGCGTGCTCCATGGTCTGGGGGTCGTTGAAAATCTCGGAAATTTCCTCCTCGAGCACATTCTCGTCGCGCTCCCACGCTTCGGTCACGGGCATGCGCGACTGCGGTACTTTGACTTCTTTCCAGCATCAGCAGGGTCCTCTGCCGGGTCGGCAACGGTAGTGGCGGTGGCTGGCGAGGCGGTATCGCTATTCATGGCTTCTTCCAAGGCGTCGCCAAATTTTGCGGCGAGTTTCGCGAGAGCATCGGAGCTATTAGGGTCCCCGAGAGAGGGCATGTCCACGGTGGATGCGGAAGGAAGAGGTGGGATTACAAAGCCATCCGCATCTCGGCGAAGTTCCGTAGAGGGAGTAAGTGTTGAAGTGGCAGTATCGTTGGTCAGGCTTGGGTCAATGGGAATAGAGTCTTGATTGTCCACGCCAATCACTCGAGGCTGGCTCGGATCTTGCCCATAAGGAGGGCTTCCCGCACACTGTCGAAGAACGAATCCTCATCGCCATCCTCATCATCCACCCCTCGGCGTCCGTGATTCTACGCTTCCGCTTCCGGCTTTTTCCCTTCATCAACTCCTTGTATTCATCGGATTTTCGGTAAAAGGAAGGTGGGTCGTGTGAGGATTCGAGAAAGTCTTGCGTCAAGAAGTCTTCTACCGTCATGTTACTAGATTCGGTGAATTTGAACTCCTCGAGGCGGCTCTGGATGGTGTGGTTGGTGACCTTGACAATGTACACAACCTCGCGCACGGTACGGCGGAAGTTGTTCATGCGGGCGGCCATGAGCAGGCAAGCACCGCAAATGCCTGAGGGACGGCGGCCCATGACCATCCAATCTCTGCTCATACGGCGAACGAGGCGCACGGCGTCCTCGGCCACCTTGTTCGTCTTTTCGTAGAACTCGAGCTTGCTCGCAAATCGGTAGATGAGGTCCTCCGGGTACACGGGTACTAGACCGTCGCTGCAAATGGGCACGGCCCGATTGAGGGCCTTGAAAGCTCGCCCGAGGCGGAAGACGTTGATTTGGGTGAGATCGGCGAGATCAATGAGCATGATCTTGCAAGGGGTTCGTTACGGCAGGCGGCGTAGAGGCACACGGCAGCCACCATGGGTAGGGTCCGGCCCTGGATAAAGTTGGCGGCGGAGGCGAGCTTGAAGGCCTGGACGCCGGCGGCGACCAGGGACTCGCTAATATTAAGCTGGTTGGCGAAACCTTGCATGAGCTGTTTGGCATCACGAATGGACCTCTCCCTCTCGTCGGAGGAGCCGCCAATACGGCGGAAATTGGGGCCCAGACTGCGGACACCTGCTTGATCGGCACCGATGTAGCTACCTTGGACGATAGCAGCGCCGGCGGACGTTTCGCCAAACTGAATTTCGGAAACGATATTGGAGTCATCGGCGACTCGACCGCAGCTGCGACACGTTCCATCGACGACATTAGGGCGGATACAGCTCTTGTTCGGGCACTGAAGGCCACCCGAGGGGCGAGTGGCAGCTGTGGCAGCGGCGGCGGCGGCGGCGGCACGCTCGGCCTGGCGCCTCTCTTCGTGCTCTCGCATCTGGCGTACGGGGTTGGGCCGTTGCAGGGCCTTTGGCCTCATGGCCTGGCCCTTCTGGGCCCTTTTCGTTGGGGTGATGAAGGAGGACATGGCGTAGAGAGCTAACTCGCTCAAGTATTGAAGGGGAGGACGACTAGACAAAAAAAGAAAAAAACGACAGAAACCACGCGGTGGTGGGCGATCTGAGTCGAATGGAACTAGTAGGTTGTAACTAATTCCTGAGCACTAGGCACCTAAGATATACAATGTAGAATGAAGGTGTTGGCAGTTCCGTACCAAGTACAGGGCGGTAATGTTCGAGTCGTGGAGTCACGGCACAACGCGGTTTGCTCGTTCGTTCGTAGTAGGCAGCCGCACCCTCTGATCCTCCACAAGCCCCCACTGACGCGGGCTTTCTGGGGAAAAGAGCTTAGTAGGTCAGGTCAAGGCTACCATGTGTTCTGAGATCGAGCTATAAATCGAACGTGACGCGGGGGCGCAATGGCCAAGGAAGAAAGAAGAGTCGGAAGAAGAACGAAAAAGCACTTATACTGATATCGAACGGGTTAAAGAAAAAAAAAGTTTGGGGATGGAGGGGTGGATCGATGCAGGAGGGTATTGGGGAGAGGAGAATTGGCAGGGAAAATCGAATGTGGGGTAGTTTTGGCGGTTCGTGGTGGATTTTGGTGTAGCGGCAAAAAGAAGCAACGACTTTTTGGCCACCGCCGCAGCGAGCGGCATCACATGACTTTCCTCTTTGGTTTGGGTCCGGAGGCTAGTTTAGATGAGTCAAGCGGAGTGCTACTGTTCAATTCCCTGCTTGACCCAATATGCTCCTACTTTTCTTGTCACTCAACCCTTAATCTACAAGCGACGAACTCCTTGGTCGGTAACCAGGGTTAGGCTAGGAACTGTTCACCCACTAATTCAAGGGTCTTTCTTTTCATCTTCCATTTATGTTCCCGCGCTTCAGGGAGCCGGTATCGAAATTAATTGAGACAGATCATCCAAAGGGACAGGATAGTGATAATGAAGAAGAATCAATATTAACGAGTCTCTAATCATCATCGAACCCGTCCGGTTGATCTTCGCCGTCCACCCATATCACAATATTGGTGGGCGGGTCTATCATCTCCTTAAAGAAGCGTCGGACATCCTTATCCTTATATCGTAGACTAAAGTGCATCAGAACAAAGGTTGTCTTGGGCCACTTGCGGATCACCTTCTCCAAATCGCTCCATAGGGTGTGTTTCGTCTTGACAGCCTGGGACCGGTGCTCCGGATACAGGAAACTACACTCAGTAATCACAACCGGGATGCCCTCGCGAAGCCACTCGGGCTCGGCGGCAAGGGTCTCCGCCGTGGTATCGCCCATGAAGGCCAGGAACGGCGTCGATTGCGGCGCCGTGATTTCGACCCCGGATTCGCGCAGGGCTTTGAGCTGTTGGCCCGGCAAGGACGTGTATTCCGGCTTGAGCTTGTGGGCGACGGAGCTAAAGACGTACCCGAGACATGGCACCGTATGGTCGCAGGCGAAAGCGGTGGCGTAAATATTCTTAGTGCGTCGAAGGTGGACCGCGTCCCTGGCCGGAGCCCATGTGTCACATGCGTGTTCAGCCACGGAGATTGGCTCGGGTCCCTAGGCGGGGAGCTCGCGGGTTCCTGGCCTGCGCCGTCCGACACGGCTCCTTGCCCGCCGGGAGACTCATGGGGCCCGACGAGGCCGCCGAGATTGAGGATGGAATTGGAGAGGATGAACTGGTCGAATACCGTGCGGACTTCCGCGGGACAGTAGATGTCGGGCGGGTCCTCGCGCTTTACAAAGGCGGGTGCGAGCAAGGTGTGGTCGTTGTGGCCGTGGGTGAGGAAGACGTGCTTTGGCCGGAGCTTGTTCACACAGAGCCCGGCATCGAGGAGGAGATTGAGCTGGGGGATGACAAAGGAGGTGTGCCACGCCGCGCGGGATTTTCCCGTGAGCACGTATTGATCATAGGGCTTGGGAAGCGCCATTCGAGGACCTTGGACCGGCAGGATTGCGGCAGCGGGGTGGCAAACGATGGTTTGTCCGCCATGACGGTGTGTCGCTGGCGGTTGAGTCAGTTCTTCGTTTCGGATAGGGTCTGTTGTCTTGGTTTGGTGTTTAATCGTTGTGGGGAATCGCTTGAGCTTGGGCAACGTGAAGGAATGGCCCGCTCAGCAACCACTACATGCAGTGAGGCTGGATGGTGATGGTGGATGAGGGGGTTGGCGTGTCTCAAGAGACGAAATGACAACACTAATGGACTGAATCCGTTACAGGGTTTGCAGAGGCTTTTGTAATGACTTTTCTAAAATCAATTGACCTCAATCCAAATGTGCGCGCAGGTTGTTTTATCTTTGGCAGTTTGCCTTTAACGATATTCCGTTGATGTAAGAGCCTCTGTCTTTCAAGAATATCAACCTGAAATCTTCCACACAGCCAATGTTGAAGTCGGCGGATTGGCCAACAAGAATCGAGACTGAGGACCCCTGCCGCTGCCCCCGCGAATGGCATTTCGGGCTGCCGGTGACCGCAATATTCGACTCGGCGTGACGCATCGGGTCACTTAGCCACGAAGAGTGAATGATGGCGCAGTCTCCCTCACGCTCGAATAAACTCGATCAATTGACGGTCCCCTGTCTCGCCTGCAGGTTTGCAAGGGTATCAAGACACGCCATTCGCAGAAAGTTGGGGACCGCTCTGCCTCGTTCCCCTGCCCGACATGTCGAAACACCTCGATTGTTGCACGTGTAGCTGATGCTTACATCGGCCAAGCCACCTTTTTCGACTTCACCTCTTCACCCAACTCCACTCAAGCGCATTGACACGCACCCGCCCTCTGCGATTTCTCAGCTAACTCTATCAACAAAGATGGGTAATTCCTATCGGTCTCCAGGCTCTACTCAATACTGCGTGTGCTAGGTCTTATAATTGTCTGTCGATGCTCTTTGCCTTTCTGAAGCAGTTTGGGTTCTTGCTGAATCTACGACGCCTGCAAACTAGTGTAGAGTAGGGTCTCTGACTCTACACGTATAGAGTTCCAATCGCAACCATGAATCCGTTGTATTCGCTTGATATTTAAAGTCTTCGTAGAAGGGTGCATGGATATAAAAGCTGCAATGAGCATGCTCCTTGAGTGTACGCTTAGTCCATCTGTTATCATCTCCTCAACACCAATGGATTATGACCCGATAGATTTCGAGGGGCTCACTTACAACCAGGGAACTACACTCAACCTTGGCTAGTGTCTAGTGCCGCGACGGGACCGTCTCGCCCCCATGGCGTATGTTATCATGGATTTCAAATCTGGTCCCATCGAGTGAAGGAAGCAGTCCGTCGTTCGCGTTGAAGGTGACCGACGCTGAGATTTTACCTCAGTTGAACGCCTCGGATCTGAATGGAACAAGGTAAAGCTAAGAGAAATGTAACGGACGGGCAATCCCTAAGCTCCCGTTCTATATACCCTAAGCAGCTGGATACCTGTCGTCTAGTTTATCGGAAGGGCCACAGCTTGGCGTCCGGCAAGAAGGTTCGGGAGAGGAAATCGACAATGCAGTCATGTCGCTAATTCAAACTAGCTGTAGATATCGGGAGGCGTGGTTAGCTTTCGATTCTTCATAATAACGAACGCCATACTCGCAAAGGACCAGTTTATTAAACCAATACTTCGGCCTTGCAAACTACTTGATGTAGTTGGCATCTCGCCTATATGTTCCTCCTCAGACACTACTCACCTATATCATATATGCTCTTTGCCATTCTCTAACATTTCCAAGCCAGATAGCCTCTCAAACATGCTTATTCCATCAGCCCGTTCCTAGTCCTCCCAAGTCCTTCCTATGATCATGGTTATCTAAAATTCACGGCCACCGAGAGCACCTTCCTCTTGAGCCCACCTCCCATCAACATCCATCTTGTTCTATGGATGACATAAAACCCACTGCTCCAGTTCATCAAGTCATATTTTATTTGCAAAAAATGCCCTGCTCCAGTCCGAATTATTATTATTTTCTTTTCATGATTACGTTACTCTACTGATGCCCTCGATCACTTCTCCTTCTTTCCCTCCTATATATAATCCAGTTTCCTCCGCGGTTCTCTCACCTTTTCCTTTACTCAATTCCATAGCAAGTCTCATCTCTAGAGAATCTGCTTCCCCTACCCTCTATTCCCAGACCCATATCATCATTTACCCTTTGCCCTTTGCCCTTTACCCTTCTTCTCTTGCTACTATGCGAGCAAGAGCTTCTGGAGGGGCCTTATGGCCCCCTGGGCCCTCTTTTTCTTCCTTCTTGTGGTCATGGGCCATAATTCTGCTTCCTCGGGTAAGTTGAAGCCTCCTTGATTCCTCTCCCTCGAAGTGGTGTCTTTTGTGTCCTGCATCTTGACTTGTGGCAGTCCAACTCACCAATCTTATACTCAACTTAGATTCCAACGCCACCGAGGCGTCGACTCACCCTGCCCTGGTTTCCTCCCCGCCCTAGTCTCGACCGTCCCCCTTCATGGTAGTAGCCCCTTTCCCAGTTCCGTCGAGTTCGCGAGCATCGCCAACGCCAACTTCGAGCTCGGGGGATTCCATAACCTCCTCGATCGTCAAGAACCCTCCACGGCGACTAGCAGCGCATGCTTGTGCTGTCAGAATGTCACCGCAACTGTCCCCCTTCTCCACCGCTTCCCGATCCCCAAGACCCGACGTCACGTCGGCGCTGCCCACCGTCGCGACCTACGAATGGGCTTCCACTGTCCTGATCCCGGGCCATCCTGCCCCGTCCGAGCACATCGTGGAGTGCGCCGCCTGTGCTGGTAGCATGTGTTTTGCCATGCAAAACGTGGAGCCCCAGAGGACGATGGCGAAGACGGTCTTGCCCGGCGTGGTCCCGACGACGACGTTGCCCAAACTCACCTGACCAACCCCCAGACGTGGGCTCCCAGCCAGTTTTCCTGGTGGAAAAAGGTCTACAACGAGGTAAGGTGGAGAGGTGCTGCTGGCGGCCCTGTGGTCAAGCACAGGGAAAAGCTCGACCCTGCCATCAATAATTATCTCTACGGCTCGCATGCTGTCTTCTATACCTTTGACGACAAGATGGAGGATGACAAGCCCTCTCCTGCCAGCAAGGGCCTCGTTGGTGGCGTGAACCCCATCTGGGGCTGCACCGGAATTCTCATCGCCACTGACAAGGGAGTCTACACCGCGCACATCTGGGAGGTGCCCACCTTCAAGGGTGTCGGATTAGAGGTACAGACTCAGAAAGAGGCCGACCTCGAGTGGGAGTGGCGGGTGACCAAGTTTTCCTTACCGGTAACAAGGACATCATCGAGCCTCCCAGCCCTGCCCTCGCCGACCTCGTCAAGCCTGGTAAAGCCTTCGATCCCGAGACGAGGGGTGGATCACCGTCCACGTCTGGACGCCGTTCGACCCCTACCACACCAACCAGCCGCGTTTCCGCCCCCAGATCCTTGCCCTCGAGAAGGAGATCGCCGGTCATCTTCGCATCTCTGAAGCGAGCATCCAGCGTCATCTCTACGCCCGAAAAGCGCCCCTCGACGGCTTCGGCGAACGCATGGATCCTCACATCTACTACAGCAACAACCCTGGTACCGCCTTGGTCGTATTCCAGTACGCACCAGAGGAGACCAAGGCTGGTGCCGGCGATACGCTGCCCGGAGATGCGGCCAACATCGGTAGGCCTATCTACGATATGGCAGATCCGGATTGGGATGTCTACTGGTCTTCCGATGACGAGCTGCCCGCCCCCACCCGTTCGAGAAGCCCGAAGACCCCAAGATCCCGAAGACCGAAATCGGCGACGAAAAGACGCCGGAGCCGATGAGGGCGCTTCGCATCTGGTTCGACAAGAAGCCGGTAGAGACCAAGCTTTGGTGCATCCCGGGACGGAATTGCCATCCCATATGCGAGGCCGAGCACAACGTTCGCGATCGCGCACAGGCCGAAGCTGGCCCGAGCGGCTCGGGACCGGCTCTGATGGAACGCGCCGTGGGCATCGCCGACGAAGTCTCCTCCCTCTGGGCTCGTTCCAGGGCCTCTTCCGCCGTTACGATTTCCGCAGGATTGGATTCGAGGGTCTGTTTGGCGATCAACTCAGCATGCCGGGAGAAGGCTCCGCCAGCACGCGGTGGTGGACCGCCATGTCTGACATGGTCAAGATGTTTGGAGCGGTTGGCCGTCCCCTCGGAGTCCAGTCCACGGATCACTACGCCCCCGACGACGCCATCTTTCGACCACTCGGCGACGAACCGGTGGGTGGCGGTTTCGGGCCCCTCAGCGGCTGCACGGGTGTGTTCATTGCTACCCGCCGAGGCGTGTACGTGGCTCATCTTTGGCAGCGTCCCAATTTTGTCGAAGCCAGAGATGAGCTCCAGAGAACCTTTCCGGATCTCTACTCGGACCAGGACAAGGTTTGGAAACGCCGGGTGACTGCTCTCTTTAACGAAGGCACTACTCCGATCGTGGAGTGGGGCACCCAGGGGGCATCCCTGAAGAAGCTCGTGGCCGAAGAGCTCAAAGCGCCGCCCGAAGACAGCGACGACCTCTTCATGGCCATCATCTTCACCCCGGACCAGGCTTGGAGCGAGGTGGAGGCCGGCCAACATAATAAGCCGAAGCACCCTGCTGCGGTCGACCGGTTGCGCCATGAGCTGGCCGACATTCTCGAGATCCCGGCCGACAAGGTTTACGTCCACACCTACTTCAAGAGGGAGGGCCAAGCCGCGATGGGAGGCCAACTGACGCTGACCAACGAGCAGTATTTTGCGCAGAACCCCGGCTTGAGCCAGCTCGTTTGGCACTATGCGCCCGCCCAAGTCCCGACGCTGATGACGGGCCGCGACACCGTCCGAGCTCTGCGGGTGTACTGGAACCGGAAGCAATTCTTCTACGACGAGTGGTGCCCGCCCGGACACAACGAGTGCCTCCCCAATTACAACTGCGGGATCCACGCGAAAGACGCCGAGCTTCTTGAGGCGCGCGGCCGCCCCCGCTAGCACCAGCACGAGCCCCATTGCCGCGGCGACGAATTTCCCTTGGAAGGATCCCGACTTCGAGTTCGACTGCTTCTCGCGAACGCTGCCCGAGAACAATCTCGCGCGCCGCGCTGAGGGAGATTATGCCAACGATTACGAAGACTGTGGCATCTGGCGACCGTACCTCTCGCAGCCAAACCTCTGGGCCGGTGGCGTGGACGACTGGTGGATCAAGATGAAGGAGCTAGTCGACAAGAAGGGCGCGCAGCAAGGCATCGGGTACGAGATCCCCGACGACTACGCCTCGGACCACTCGAGTCTGCGCGTGTTCGGCAACTACCCTCTGGGCAGCGGCATCACCCCCATGTGGGGATGCACCGGTATCTTCGTGGTCAGCGACAGGGGCGTGTACGCAGCACACATCTAGCAGGTGCCGCTGTTTGCGTACCAGCGCCAGGAGCACCACCAGTACGAGTACGACGACGAGGAGGCCCTGTGGGAGCGGCGCGTCGGCCGGCTCCTACGCACGGGCATCAAGCCCCGGCGCAACGACGGCGTCCTCCCCGAGATAAAGCCCCTTAAAGCCTACACCGAGTCCGGCCAGCCGTTTGACCCGCACCTCCGGCGCTTCCTCAAGGTGCTGCTCATTACCCCGGGCGCCCAGACGCGCATCCCGTCCCCGATGCCCCGCTACAAGGACAAGGTCGACCGGCTGCGCGAGGAGCTCGCCGCGCTGCTGCACTTTGATCTGGACCAGATCAAGACGCTGACGTACATGGCGGCGCAGTACATGGCCTTCCGCGAGGACATGAGCAACGGCATGGACGCCTTCTTCGACCGCCACCCGGGCGTGCAGCTCGGCGCTTTCCAGTACGCGCCGACGGAGCTCTCGCTACGGAAATCGCCCGAGGGCGTCGACAACCCCGCGTGGTCCGCGCCGCCCGCATCTGGTGGAGCAAGCACAGCGTCGGCCGCGTCGAGTGGTGCCCGCCCGTGCCTGGCGGCGATCGCGGCGGCCAAATCATCACCCGCGATGGCCAGCTCTGTCCTGGGGATCCCGGCTGGGACCTTGACGTGGATCGGGGTCGCAGCCGACCGGCGGCGACTCTGCGCATCCGCCTGCGCCCGTGACCAGCGCAGGCCCTGTCGCAGAGCCGAGTGGTGGTGGCGCCCAGGACACGGAGCCTATGCCGGAGCCTACGCCTGCGCCAAGCTCCTCGAGTCCCGCGCCTAGCTCGAGTCCCGAGGCAGCGAGGAGTGGCGACTAAGTGCGCGCGGAGGATGGCGGGGTGGCCCTGCTCTGGACAGATGTGGTGGAGCATGCCATCGAGTCTGCTGAGAAGCCTTGCCCCTAGATTGTTTTACAGCAAGGTTGCCAGCGTGGTCGGTGGTGTGTGGGGTGTTGGCGCAATCGGTTTCTTTTTCTTTCTTTGTTTGTAATTATAAATGAGTATTACAAAAATACAGAAAATTGGTGCTGAATCATAATTGTCTCTCTGCCGTGATTCTGATATCTTTCCTATAGATCGCATAGCTTGCCCAGCTCGACAAGCGACTCGTTATTCACTTATATCCGCCCATACTACCGTCTGCGTTCAAGGACGTAGAACTTAGTTACCAACTCCGCCACGGGAGATTCTGCCGTCTATGTCTGTAGAGTACCAACTCGCTTACACAGTCGCATTTTTCCGGGAAGGGGAGGATGCTCGGTGGGTCACGGCAATGTCCCACCTTCCGGGCCTCGCCGGACACTGGAATCCCCCTTCCGTTACTCGGAGCCGAAATGAAAAAGTGGCTGAGAAATCTGGCCTTGACGATATAAATCTTCTCTCCCTCTCACATGGGGGTTTTTAAACGGCCAGCGCGGGAATCGCTCTCTGCTCTTGTCTTTGCCGAGGTCACCCTCTCGCCATTCGCCCGGAGAAAACCTAAAAGGTGTCCTCAAGGTGTCCTCCAGGTTCCTAATCGCCGATGCCCGCAGCGGTTCGTATCCAGGACTAATAGCAGACGTTAAAACTTTCAACCCGCCGAGGTCTTTTTGTTCCTCTTCCCCTCGTGCCAGGTCCCAGTCCGCCCTACTACCCTCCGCCTCAAGCTAGATCCTCCCCGCCCCCTTCTCCCCCACATATCCTCCGCATCGGGTTATCGGCCCGGTTGGGAATCTGGCGGGGTGCTCTATTGCTCTATGTCCCCCTCTTCCAATCCTCTCTCGCTCTCTTGTCACCTGCGCTGTCTGATCCCGATGCTAAAACGGTAGTTGAGTTAGTGTTGTCCCCTTTCTTATTTTTATGTATTTCCCCGCTCAAGGCTCCTCGTTTAAGTCAAAAGGGAAGAGAGGGGAATTTGTCAGAAGGATTCAAGCTTGTATTTTTCGGTTTTCGTTCTTTTTAGTCAAAGAATAAAAGAGATCGGATCAGGAAAGGAAAGAGGATGCATAATAGTAATGTAGGCTGGAGACTAGACTATATAAAGAGACCACTTCCATTCCCCGTACATGTCGTCATCTGCGGCCATCAAGCTATCCTCGTTCACCATCTAAGCCGACGAGACCGTGAACCAACTCTATAGTTTTAAACCACAAAGAAAGAAGGCAAAACATCCAAGTCCAAGTTACCAAGTTACCAAAATGACCGAGACACTCAAAATCACCGCAAAGCCCGACACCGACATCTGGCGCAAACCCCCGACATCGACGCCTTCAACGGTCCGTCCCCTTTTCCCCTTACCTTCTCTTTTCAATTTCATCGCATTCCCCCTTCAAACCCAACCATCTCCCAAACATTGAACACCCAGGAAACCCCTCCAAGACAAGCCAACTAACCAACCCCCGCCCCAAAACAGCCCCTACACCTCCCTCGCCCGCAAACCCCTCTCCGCATTCTCCTCCGCCCAACTCACATTCACCTACACCCCCACCACCCAATACGACCAGGCCGGCATCCTCCTCCTCTTCCACCCCCGAGCACCAACCCTTCCTCCCAGCGCAAGTGGCTCAAGACCGGCGTCGAGCTGTACAACGGGTCCCCGCGCCTCTCCACCGTCGCCTGCGACCGCTGGGCCGATTGGTCCGTCACCCCGCTCCCCGCCGCCGGCCTCGACCCCACCAACGGCCTCGTTACCGCCACCGTGCGCCTCGAGGCCTCCGTCGACCACCACGGTCCCAGCCTGTGGGTCTACGGCGTCGATGCCGCCGGCGCCAAGGAGAGCCTGCGGGAGGTCTGCTGGATCTTTGCCCTCGGTAAAGAAGGTGGCGACGACGCCGGCGAGTGGGAGGTCGAGGTCGCTGCCATGGCGGCGCGGCCCAACAAGGAGGCGACCGACGAGCTCGAGGTCCAGTTTAGCGGAATTCAGGTGGAATGGAGGTGAGGCACTGTTTCTCACCCTCGGCACGGCGACGTGGATGGGTTCAAGAAGCCAGATGTAGTCTTTCTGAGACTGAGTAGAACTCAAGTCCTTGGTCTTCGGTGCTCTCTTTTAGAAGCAGCTCACAGTTTGAGAAGGCGAACGAGTTGTCTAACTTTTTAACGAATCTATTGGTCGTATCGAGTAACCCACGGAATCAACTATATATATATCTTTTCTCTCCCCTTTAATTTTGTTTTTAGCCCTCTTCTCCGCCCTCCCTTTCTCTCCTGTTTTGCGTCCACCAGTCCTGGACGAATACGATAAAGCCTGGGCTGCTAGGTTTCACCAACCTTCCTCCATAATCAACACCTTTTCCAACGAGGCCGCCGGGCCCTTCAAAAATCCCAAGTGACCCCGTAAAAAATAGCAACAAGCAGAAATAACTGTGCAAGCCAACGTCGGTTGTTGGAAGAAGAAGCAAGTGAGAAAGAGACAACAAGTGCTGCGTGTGTATGCGGGAAGGGAGGGGGAAAGAAACCCCGAACAAAACAAAACAAGGATAACCCAACCCAAAAGAGAAAAAGAAGAAAAACCTGCTCGGCAATGCCTTTGCTGCAAACCCATAACGAGTATTACACCTTGCTTTCTCGCCTCCGTAGGAAGTTGAGCCCTATCCACTCGCTTTCCCCTCGAGAGGAGATCCATTAGATATTAGTACACTGGTGGGTATTAAGATAGGACGACACAAAAGTCCGCCAACCAAGAAGAAAAGAAAACTAAACAAGCAAAGGAAAGTGAGGACGGCAAGGGACTGGGAACGGCCGGAGAGGGGGGACAACAGGAACGGCAAGGGAGTAGGACAACCATGCGCTTCCCCTTGAGGAGCCGTGTAGGTTTGATCGGGGCTGCGGTCCGATTCTACCTCACGGCTGTACCTATCCGCCTCCCCTATCCCCGCTTCTTGTCCTCGATGTCCCCGTGACGCGCATCCAGTCCTCCCACTCTTTGCTAATCTCCATGAGCACCGATCCCATCACCGTCGCGCTGGCCATCAACCCGTGGCCTTCGCCCTCAAGCACGCGAACCTCGCATCGTCGCATCGTCTTGCCTAGCCATCGCACGTTCTCCACGGGGACACGTGTGTCTCGGCTGCCGTGGTGGATCACCACCGGCCGCGTGATATCAACGTAGCGGAACCCAATCGTGTGTCGTCGCTCCAGGCACACCAGCAAGTCAACGGCGGGGTTAGCACCCGTCGTCGCGAGCTCCCAAATAGCGTGTGTGAGGCGGGTGTCGTATGTCATTTGCCTCTCCTTATCCGCCACGGCATTCGTCGCCATGTTGATCACTGCCCTGTCTGTCGGCTTGATTCGAGCACCCTGGGGTCCCTCCGGCTTGACAAGGTCCATGTTCTCCGTAGCCATCGGTAGACTGGGGAGATCGGAATTCGTCCCCGTTTTCGGCCCATTATGGCCAAAGTTCTCCTTGTCTTGGTTCGCAAGTCCGTGGAGCTGCTGCGACCCCGTCAGAGTTGGCGCGTCGGTGCGGGTTGCGCTGTTCGTCGACTTCCTCTTGCTCCTACGGGGGTTCTTTGGCAGCGAGCTGGTGATCGAGCTACTCGTTGCCGACATGAAGGAGCTGTTGGCCGCCTTGAGAATCGGCGTTGGGAGTGCCCTGAGGATGCGCTGGGAAGTGGGGATAGCATTGGTAGGCGGCTGTGTCTGCGAGGTTCCAAAGACATTCATCTGGGACGGCGGAATCCACGGCGCCAAGAGGTGGATTCGTCCCCGGATGTGCTGAGGCATGCGCAGCGCCGTGGCCAGCGCATAAATAGCGCCCGCGGAATGGGCCAGAATTGAAAACTTGTTGATCTTGAGGGCCTGGCAAATAGCGTATACGTCATCTAAATGGGAAGGGAAAAAAAGAGTTAGTATCAATCTTTTTAGTGGCGACACGGCATCTCGTTTTGAAAGGAAAAGAAAAAGGCTTTTATTAAAAAAAAATCTTACCAGGCCAGCTGAGAGGTGTTGCCGTGCCATCAGCGTATGCCTCACTGTCCCCGACACCAGGTCGGTCCGGGGTGATGAGACGCAGCTTCAGTGTGAGAGCGAGCTCATCATAAAAGGCCGTGATGTATCGCGTCAAGCCCATGCCCACGCAGCAGAACACGGCCGAGCCTTCGGAATCTCCCACCTCGGAGAAGGAGATGACTCGCCCTGTCTGCGGATGCCGAATCTTTTGCGACAGCCTGGGTGAGCAGAGATACGACTCGACGGCATCGTCAATCGAATCAGCGCTTCGCGGCCGTTCATAGCCGGGGAGCCCAGGGCTAGGCTCCGGCGAGCTCAGCCGGCTGCGGTTACCGCCATATCTGTCCTCGCTCGCCCGAGGGCTGAGAGCTCCCGATGCCCGCTTTAGCTTGGAGTTACTCCTCTTGGGCTTGATACCCATACCCTCCAGAGGATCCGGCGTGAGCTGACCCGACCGCCTTCGTCCACGGTCATAGCTCGCGTCGCGCCTCCTGCCTTGGGCGACCGAGGGGAATGGGGCAAAATCATCGTTTTCGGGTTCGTCGCCGCTATGCGGGTGGATGTTGATGCCCTCGAGTCGGCTGTTGCTCGGTGAGCGATAGTGGGGCGCGTGCGGTCTCTGCGGTTTCGCGGGGGTGGGCGACGATGACGACGACGGGAAGTCTCGGGTGATGGTTGTCGTAGTCAGGTTTTGAGGGGCGGGATGCTTGAGGACAGTGACTTCGGGGTCCCTGTTCAGCACGGGCAACGGCTTATCAGTGGCTGTGCCCCTGGCGCGTGAGTGTTCCACGCCTTCGTGAATCGTGTCGGAGGGAGCATCGCTATCCCGCTTGAGCGTGAATTTCTTACCGAGCCCCTCTTGGACCCGGGCGCCGTCTTCCTCAACGACGAGTCGCGCGTTGGGATGGGTCGTGGACTGGCCGCATCAAGGTTTGTGGTCGCCATCGCACCAGCCTCGTTGGGGCCCAGGTCTCTCCTCGGAGCCTCGTGGGATTCTTCGGTGATGGGGGTTTCGGCAAGGAAGGGGTCAGGACGCGAGGCGCTGGCCGGGCTAAAGGAACCTCCGCCAACAGCGCCGATACTAGCACGCTTCTTTTCGAGCTCTCTTTCTCGCAATCTCTCTTTCGAGCTCATGTACATGAGTCCCTTGTGACTGCGACCCTGCTTCTTTCCCCAGCTATCATGAGATCTCTTTCTCTGCAGCTCGGGTTGGTTCGGTGCTGACCCACGCTCGATTGAGAGATTGCCGATGCTCTGTGTATCGTCTCGGGAGCCCAACGAACCCTTGGATGATGGTCGGGACGCGGTCCTCAGGAAAGATTTGAAGCCGCTCGGTTCGTGGGAGGGCGACTTGGGAGCGGTGAGGGGCGAGAACCCCGACGGCGGCTTCGCGGTTCGGATGACGGGGGCTGGCCGCGAGTTCGTCGAGGGAGAGGCCCTGGGGGAACTCTTCGTCGTGAGAGGGTTGAGAGTAGGCGCCGTAGTCGACGCCAAAACTTCCTTGACGGGGCGACCCAGGGGCAGAGAGGTTGACTGCGGGGCCCTCGAAATGGTTGCTCGCAGGCTTGGAGATGACCGACAAGCTGGTGATGAGCGACGAGATGACCTCGGGCGAAGCGGGAGACAGGTTAGCTTGGCGAGGTTCGGCGGGCCTACTGGTGTAGGTGTTCGGGTAGGACGGATGGTTCTGGTTCTGGTTCTGATTCTGGTATTGGTGATGAGCCTTTTGGCGCGATTGCTGCCGGCTCTGTCTTGGGATAGGGGAGGTTGGGTCATTGGGGGATCCATGGTGAGAAGAAAGGAGAACTAGGTCCCGCCTTTCCTTTCGCTGCAGGAGCAGCAGTAATGAGCGGTGGCGGGAAACAGTATCAAAACCGAGAAATTAAAACTTCTAGTGTCGCGGCGACACACACACACACACACTCGCTTGCTCGCAGAAAATGACGAGCAGATGCAGCGCTCGTGCAGCAGACCGTGGTGGCGGCAGGTAGGTGGAGGAACGAAGCGGGCGGGCGGCGAACGGTTCTGGTAGCGCTCAAGTGCCTAGGTCACTGTTACTTTGCACGCAGCATTAGTATCCTCTACTTTCCGCAAGCTTGCTTGTTCGCCCGTCCTCGTTGTAGCGGAAAATGAGAGGCACAGAAAGGGAAAGTAGGAAGATCCGTGTAGACTCTTGGTCCGTAGGTGTGTGGGTTTGGGTTCAATACGGAAAGCGGAGAAATAACGCAGGGTCGAACAGGTTCCAATCTGCGTCTGGAAAGTGTCAGGTGTGGCGTAATAAAACTGGGACGCACGGCGAGAAGCAGGGCAAAGCAACGCTATGCTACGCTCCAGAGCGGAGCCGAGGACGTGCAGTCATGCCAGTGGGAAAAGACCAGACGATGCCCAGACGGGTCAGAAGGGAGGGGGAACGCGACGAGACGACTTACCGAGTTGAGGGATGGTCCTGAATTGGGAGGACAGGGCGCAAACCGCAGCTTGCAGCAGTAGTGACTAGTGTAGTCGGCAGGAACCAGGAACAGAAGGAGATGAGGAACGGCGGGCGGAAGAAGGAGCGTAGCAGCGCGTGTGCGCCTGCACGTGGATATGCGGGTGGATTCGTGCGGCCAGCACTTGACAAAAAGTTGGGGCCACAAAGCAAGCAGGGAGAAATGAAATGATGATTAGGACCACCAAAAGGAAGTTGTCGATTGTACTAAAGGGGGTGTGAAGCAGACGGATTTGGTAAAGGCGCGGGCCTAGTCGCGTTCTCAAGGGCGGCGACTATGATTGCTCTTCAAGAAAAGGGGGAGGAGGAGGGTCCCAGGTCGGTTAAGAGCCGGAGGAGAAGAGCGCGTGGGATGCCGTTCTCCAAATAGAATCCGTCGCGCTTGTGCCGTCAAGGTTCAGGCTCGATGGGAAATGGAAAATTCGTCGGGTTAGATGAGGCTCTGAGGCAGCTCGGAGGGGGCTCCGATGTTCAAGGGCAGGTTCCTTCCGCTGGGTGAAGCAACTTGACGAAGTTAGCAATGAGAGTGGGAAAAGGAACATTGAAGGGTTAAGAGGCACGCGCAGGTACTCCTTCGTATCAAACGTCAGGGGTGGCAAGAGATGCTTGAAAAGACGTGGGTTGACCCTGAATGGGACAAGGGATGTGGGCGCTAGACCAGGGGTCCAAGGGCATTTCGGCCATGAATGGGGGCATTCTGTGATTTGGATCGATTGATGGGATCAACTCATCTCTGCACTTACCCCGAAATATGCTTGGTGCCTGGGCTGGCTCCGACTAGCGCGAAGTTATCCTCCGCAGCGAAATTCAGCACGTTGGAGGGAGTGGGAGAGGGGCGAAGGAAATATATTCGGGCAAGGGTCGTCGTGGTTTGCGCTCGTTGAATAATGCTGGCTGTTTGTTGTACCCGCCCCAGAGTCAGAATTCTGATGCCAATACTTCAATGTTCGTATGTGCTTGTCAAGAGAAAGCTCAATTGCCTTTCCAGAAAAGTAGTCAAGAGTAGTCAAGAGGAGTGTGAATAATTTTATACCGAAAACCAGCCAGGTCTGGCACTTGCTCGAGAAGGAAGTGCAAAAGAAAGAGAAGAAGAAACAAACAATCATAAAAGAAACAATAATAGGAAGGCTGAATCCCAAGGCATCAAAGAGGTCCCGTCAGTTCAATGCTGTGCCTGTTGAGTGGAAGAGAGCAGCTCCGGGTTGCGCGGACCTCAACTTCTGGTTTTGGTGGCGTGCGAATCGCAGCCGTGATAATGAGAGCAGTGGGTATAAATCAGATTTTGGGGCTCTGGAAGCAGCAGAGAAGCAAAGTATCGTTGCCTTGAAACAGGGAAAATCTGGTTTGCTGGTACCAGGGTTGCGCTTGAACTGGACCCTTTAAACAAGGGGCCGGGCCTGGCTCGTGGGAAACTTTGATGCTTGGCAGCAGAAAGAAGAAGCAAAAACCAAATGAACCAGCCAGTGCATCCACAATTGCCTGCACAAGGGAAGAAGGGAAGAGGGGGAGAGTACTTGTCAAAAACAAGACGGGGAACCCACTATTACACACTTGCAAAGATCGGCTGAACGCCCTCATCAAACGGGGCCTGGGTCTGAGCGGCGCTGGTGCTTGTACTTGCGAACCTGAAGGGAGCACGAAAGAGAGAGAGAGAGGGCAGAGAGGGCAGTGAGGGCAGTGAGGGCAGAGGGAGCAGAGGGAGCAGAGAGAGGAGAGAGAACAGAGAGGGTGGAGTATTGTCTACAAGTACAAGTATCCAATAGATCCATTGTGTATGCGTGAGGATAGCAAAACTGTGAAGCTGAGCACTGACCTCTTTGTTTGAGAGTCTCGTCCCGTACCACAATGACTCTGTGATACCACTTGACAAGGGCCCCAGCGCCGTTGCGTGTGGGTGTGGTGGGAGCAAGTGAAGACTTCAATGATTCGCCGGGGCCATTCCGATGCCGTTGCCAGCCACTGTGGAGATGGAAAGGCCAGGGAGCGGACCGTGACTGGAGGATGAGAAAGCGGCGATACGACGACGGACGGAGGTGGCCTTGAAGTGAAGGGGGCTCAGAAAAGATATGATGTGCTGTGGATTGGAAGCACGGGTGACGGACAATAATATACCTGGGGTTGGTATAATGCTATAATGCTCTAGTATTATGATTAATAGTTCCCGAGTTAATATGGGGGCCGGCGACTGAGAGCGGGGATGGGCGAGGATAGGGACGGACGGGAAGCTGTGAAGGATGTCCCCGAAAAAGAAAAAAAGAAAGGGCTTGAGCGCTTCACTCATTCGCAGCACCGAATGCGATCGCACCTTTCAATGCAATCGGATTTGAAGTTTTCGACTCAATGCACACTCAATGCACATCCTGTACCGAATGGGACCGTGCGTGTGCGTGTTGCGCGGGCGTGGGCGTGGGCAATCAAAATCTTTTTGCCGTCACGCGTCTTGCTGACTGTTGCGCACACAAGCTTGACAAGGAAGGAAGGGGCCAGGCAGTCTGCTGGCACTCGACTACGCTACCCCCTCAACCTCACCCCAAGCTCCCAGTCGACTCATTCAATGACTTCATTTGAAAACCTCCACTAATAATACCAAGTCGAACTGTAATCGTGGTCCTGGAGTGGAGTGGAGGTAAGAAATCCAGGGGCCTGGAATCCTGGGGCTGATGGCCTCTTGGCTATCCCTGGGAAATGACCATCCAATTCAATCAATGCTCTGCGCTGCCTGTGTAACAGGGCTAGAATTGATCAACTTTGCGAGAGTTCCAGGAAAAGCGTTCCGGAAGATATCCTGGAAATCGGGTTGGAAGGATTTATTGATCGACCAATCCACTCCATATCCATTTTCAACCCTGGAATTTTTGACCCGGCCCCTGGTATCGCGAAAGGGATGCGTGCCCTCTGCCATCACAGCCTTGACAGTCTTGACAGCCCAGTTCTACTACCTCATTGCCTCCCATCATCCTCGCAATGGATCCCTCATGTGACGGGACAGTTCCCCCGTGCTGATCTGATGATGGGCTGCGCACACTGCTGGCAATTCGCAAGAGACGCCAAGGCGATGAAACACTGAACCCCGGCGTTTGGCAATGACACATCAAGCGATGATATCCATCGCCTCAGACAGCTTCCCATGCTCGCTGGCTGGAACCAAAGAAACGGGTTAACCAGAACCAATGGGTTTAGACAAACACAATGTCAAATATAACGCCCCACTACCTGCTGCCCATCAGAATCAGAAGCCCTCATGATAAGCCTCCTTTTCGACGTGAGGGAAGGGGACGCGAGGAGGCGAGGAGGAAGATGACTGGATAGTGTGCGCTTTTTCCGGGCTTTCCAAACCAAGACTTGAGACAGGAACGACAGCGATCACTGCTCTTCCTCGGCGAATCAGACAGTTATCGAATTGATCGTCCAGCTGGTGGTGGAGCGTAGCTCTCTGCTGCCCAGCTTCGATGCAGCATGTGCCTCCGTGCGCCGGCGGCTGAGACTTGAGGAGCACGCTAGAGAGAGAGAGAGAGAGAGAGAGAGAGAGAGAGAGAGGGCGGGCTCAATTGGCCAGCTCTAGCTGCGTGAGGGTTTTTGATCGAGTGGTGTGGTTGATGTGACGAGAGAGATGTGGCCGGCCGACCTCGCACTTTCACGACCAGACTACACTGCACGCCCTCCCTGGCCCGCGCGGCGTAGAGGCTTTGATTTCGTCTGGACTTTTCTCAGGTCTGTTCTCTACTCTGCTTACTTTTTTGGTCCCAACATTCCCACCCGCCACGGCCCAGGTCGAGCCCGGTTATGACGGTGAATGTACAGCAAAAGAGCGAGCCAGCCCTTGAACGCGGCGCTGAATTGACCAATCCATTGTGGATGTATTAAAGATGTGAGAGCCTTTTCCCCGCACATTGGCCCTTCCATGTATCCCTATAGCGGCGCCACGTTATTATCCGTTAAATATCTCCAAGGGTACCTCTGTTATTGTTTCGCTCTCACAAACCGCCGCAACCACCTCCTTTTCCAGAGAGGCACGATCCATGGATTGTGCCAACCTGTCTCCCTTCTCCACAACCATACCATCTCACAACAAAGCGCCAACTAACCAAGATGGCCGGCAAGCAACGGAAGATTTTTGTACTCTACGGAGCCTGCCGGCCACCCCTGCCTCGCCTCTCGGAGACGCTATTAAAGTGACACCTTATTTTTCTTGCTGGTCAGTGCTCCGCTTCCTTGCCCCCCGAACGGACGCGGCGGGAGGACGTGGGAATCGCTTGGCTGGCAAGCTGGTGAGCGACCCCCTTCCTTCCGTCGGGGGAAAGATCAGCGAGAACGATGCTCGGTCGACACAGTGGAGCGTGAATTGGCAAAAATTGCTAGAACTCGAAGCCCAGCGAGCATTGTGAGACAGCGGCGTTTTGTGACATGAACACGGCCATCATGTAGGTTCTGGAATGGTCGCAAAGTGGGCTAGTCTGTAAGAGGTTGTATGACATTTTTGCCCTTTGTGTGAAGTGAAAGGAACTCCCAAGTTGGCCTTGTCACCCATGACCACCGACCTGAACAAGGTGATCTACATCCTAGTGATGACATCTGTACAAGGGACAGAGAGTCTCTAGTGTACTGCGATTGCTAGGCTTTTTTACAAGATCGAGCGAGCCCGCCAGGCATCATGATGAGGGGAGCTAAATCCACATCGAGTCTGGTGGTGGTATGAATGCGGTGCGGAGATAGAAAACCCTCGGTGCGAGGCCCTCAGTCAATGTGATGCTGCTAGGATGGGCTTCACAGAGGACATGTAGGCTTCCCATCACGTCGTTCGCCATTATCACGCCGACTGGCGCGCTAAGCGGCTGAGGGGGCACATTACCCGGACGTGTAGTTGTCGATATCTCTTGATTTTGAAGGGACATGTCCCACAATATCAAGACATTGCAGCGTTTGGCCATTCATACCCTGCTGTAGCCCATACCGTGTAAGAAATTGTATCTCATATTTTTCTCTTTCGTCTTCGCCACTCGTATCCCATAATTCATGAAAAGTGGACATGATGCCATTCCAAAGGCACACTATGTTCCACGAGGAAGGAAAAAACCGAAGAAAAGAGCCCCATCCTAGATACACATGGAAAAAGGTCTACATGCGCCGCCTTTAAACACCTGAACCAAGAAAAAGAAAAAGCCAAGGTGGAAACTCCCGTCTCAACGCCAGCCCATCCTCCTTCTATACCACTTTAAGCTCTCTGTCCCAGTCTGCACCCTCATCCCGCACCGCGCATCCAGCACAAACGCCTCCCACCCCGCAGCCTTGTCCAAGTTGGCCTGGCACTCGCTGATCTTGGCTTTGCGGAAGGCGTCCAGCGCCTCCTGCCCCTGCTCCGCTCCGTCCTTGTCTGCGTCATCGTCACCCTCCGCCGCGGGCTTCCCGGTCTCTTCGGTCTCCTCGGCACCTGGCTTTTCGGATCCCTTCGTCGTGATCGTCGGGTTGGGGTCGCATGCTTCTGCCCAGGCTAAGACGCCCATTTCGTAGTGCGCGCAGGGCAGGATATAGTCCTCCTTTGTGCCACCCTTGAAGCAGGATCTAGCGGCGCCTCGCGTATTAGTTTCATTGTGCGCATCGCCTCCGAAGCAAGAGCTAGAAAAACCCGGGGGAAAAACTCACTTATCATGCTTTAGCACATCCTCTTCCAACCTTGCCCTCGCCTCTGAGATCTTGCCCACGGCCCGGAGCAGCGCCGACTCGCAAACCGCCTTGACCGCCCCCTCGTCAACGCACGCCCTCATCTTATCCACCGCCTCTTTGCTCGCCGTGCACCTCTCCCACCGCAAGTACCCCATCGCCGAGTCCGCCTGGGCCGCGTCCACCCTCTTGCCGCCGTTGTACAGATACAGCAGCTCCTGCGCGGGGCTGATGGCGACGGCGTCGACGAGGTCGATCTTGAGCTCCTTGGCGCGCGCCTCCAGCTTTTGGAGCTTGCGGAGGGCAAACACCTCGAACGGCAGCTGCTTGGCCATGAACCGCTTCTTGCCCGCGCTCGCGGGCGCCTTGGCGAGCAAGTCGGCGGCGGCGGCCTTGTGCTTCTTGGCTTCGGCCTCGGCACCCGCCTCGCCCGCGGCGGCGCGGTGGAAAGCGTCGCGGTACAGCTCCACCTCGGCACAGCCGGCCATGTAGTAGTAGAGGGCGCGGCTCCACTCGTTGAGATCCATGCACCGGAGGAAAGAGTCGCGCATGAGCGCCCAGTCCATGATGAAGAGCGCGTCGATGGCGGTCTCGAAGCAGACGAGCGTGTTGACCTCCTTGATGTTGGACGTGGGGATGCTCTTGAGGGTGTCGAGGGCGTCGCCGAGCCGCCGCGCGTTGGCGTACATGCGGGACTGCTCGAGTTGCCAGAAGCCGGACTTGGGGTACCGCGCTTTCATGCGCGCGAGGAGCTCGTCGCACTTTTCCCGGGAGGCCCACGATCTCGGCGGCCTCGTCGTATAAGTGATCGGGCGGGAGGATGTCCGAGAGCCCGAGGAGCCCGTTGTAATACGACAGCAAGATGACACCGGCGATGGCGCCGTGCACGTTGGGGAAGGCCGTGCTCTCCCACAGCATGCGGATCCCGCGCTCGCGGTCGCCCCGGAAGCCGATGATGGTGAGGAGCTTGGACAGCGCGGGGGTACGAGAGTGAAGACGAAGAGGAGGGCGCCGAAGCACATGCTGCCGCCGCTGTGGATAAAGGCGTCGCGGGGTTGGCGAAGATTTCCGAGTCGAGACTTGTCTTGGCAAGGCTGCCGGTGCCGGCGGCCGAGGCGTCGCCTTGGTCGCTGCTGGTGGACGAAGCGGAGCTTATCGACGAGGATGATGACGACGAGCCCGACGAGCCGTTCGCCGGAGACTTGGATGTCGAGGTTGTGGTGGTGTTGCGCAAGAGCTCTTGGACAGCTGCGCATTCGTCAAGGTCATTCGCCGCATCGTCGCAAAACTCGTCGTCCCCAAAGGTGCCAGGCATCGGATCTGCTGCGAACGCCTCGGAGAGCGACTTCCTCCCCGGGGGCAAAGGGCCAGCCTTTACACCCGCGACATCGAGCTGCATGATGGCATCGAGAATAAAGTACGCCTTCCTCAGCTTGTAAAAACTCTTGATTCCCTCGGTGAGGCTTTCGTGAAGCACGCCGACGACGGCGGACATGAGCAACGCTTCGGTGTGGACGAGGGCGTACTCGGCGCCGGGTGGGTACACGTACCCGGCGCAGTCGGCAAACTCCTTTTGCGCTCTCTTCTGGTCGGCTAGGGCTCTGGCCTCGCAGACGGCCAGCTGCGCCGAGGCCCGGGCCATGACGTCCTTCTCGGCACCGAGAATGGAGCGCGCGAAGCCGATGACGGCGAGGGCCAGCTGGTGGTAAGTAGAGTCGCCGGTCTTGAGGCCAGCTTCGGCCCCGTCCATATCGTCATTGAGGATAAGCTCCGCGGAGGCGGAGGCATCTTCTATATCTGCCACCTCGCGGGCTAGGCGCTCTTCCTTGGAGAGCTCTTCGGGGCGGGTTCCTCTTTCGGTTTCGCCACCGGCGCCCCGCCGAACCAGGACCCGATCCGGACCATAATGTGTCAAGGGGTATTAGAGAGAGGTAGAAGGGAGGAAGAGAGGGAGGAAGGAAGAGGGAGAAATAGAAAAAAAAAAACAGAGAGAAAAGAAAGGAAGAAAGATAACAATAAAGGAAGGGTATATGATGTGCTGGAGTTGTTGTATATGTTCAATCGCCGTTGGTGGGGGCGGGCAACTCTAGGGGGTTCTGAAACAATCAGTTCCCAGAGATGGATCCTTGGCGCGCGGTTCGAGTGTTGCCCTCGAGAACCCTAGCAAGCATATAAGGGGGAAGGAGCAGGGGAGGGAGAACAACCCGAAGAAAAAGGAACGCCGTGATAGTAAAATAGATTATTATCAAAGTAGCCCTCGATTGCGGCTTTCGAGAACACCAAAAGACGGGGAAGGCAGCCCTTTAAGGAGGGAGGGAGGAGGGGAAAGCGACGGGCCAAGCCAAGCACATGCAAGTCGAACCCCGTTTCAATTCGACGACGGCGAATACAGCAAGCGAACCAAACGCCAACCGTGCACACGCGATAACCTATTCTGCACGGGATGCGAACTTGATCCAATGAGTCCTCGATGGAGAATGCGTCAATCCCGGCGGTGGGAGAATAAGAACGAGGACCGGCTCGGGAAGATGGTTTGGTCGTGGAGCTTGCCACGTCCGATGTGGCGAAGTAAGAGGTGAGCAAACTTAAGAGTATTGAATCCGAAGCTTGTTCACAGAAACGAATACGAACGAGTCTCAAGAAAGTATGTCAGCTCGTGGCCACAATGACTTGGGCGGTTGTAACCAAAGAATCGGGTTGCTCTAGTGTGTGCACCGAACCGGTCGTTTGGGGGAATTGATCTCTGGATGGTCAATAATGCATGTGGTCTGCTATCGTGGTGGATTCCATGGCCCCCACTCAAACCTTTCTTTCTAGGTGACATTGATTTTAGTTGCGTATGTCCAAGGCGCCGCTTGCGTCAACTAGTAAGCTTGAACTTCTAGAATTCATCAACACGGCGAAGAATTACTGGGGGCTGAAGGACCACAGCCCACCGGCGGACTGGAATGCCGAGAAACGCGATCCTACCATGCCAGAGAGGGCCACCGAGAAATCCGACGCCGGTGGTTCTCGTCGACGAAATCAGGTCAATTGATCCTTCCAAATTCTCTCGTCGGAGGTATGTAGCGTGCCCCATGTGCACGGCACCGCCTCCCTGGCCAGCCATACAAAGATCAATCACTTTTAGGCATAGACGGCCCAACTCGGAACACGGCGGTACTGAACGCCCGAATAGGTGAGATTGATATCCCGCCTGGGGTTTAACCTTTGCGCCCTCCTGAACCAACGGGCGCTGACGGACGATAGGCGACGACCTCCCCTGAAGAGCCCGGTTGGATCCGCTCCGGTGAGGAACCCGCCAGTGACCAGCTTCGGAGGCAAGCCATCGGCCGAGGCACGGTAGCGGTAGACTCAAATCACCAAGATGCATTTCCTCCTTTTTTCTTTGTTTTCAATCCCTCTTTAGTTTGTCCTACGCCTCTATTGTAGCTCACAAGGCTAGGGGACCTACGAAAACAGGAATGGTATGTTTAGGGATTCCAGGCTGAGGAATTTGAACATAGCTATGCCTTACATATGTTTTCGCGTCGCAGTCGATTAATGGCGACATCAAATGGTTGTGGTATCTCGACCAAGTCGACTGTCAAAGCTCACGAGGCTAGTTGGGGCTGTGACGAAGACGCGTAAAGCTATAGTTTCAAGATACTGAATCATTGGAGGAGGCAACGCACCTACGGTGGAGCTACGGATGGGTGGAGAAGGGGTTGATACCCTGAGCTATCCAGACTTGAGGCGCCGTGCTTGGATCGGGTTCGTCTCATGCTCCAACACTCATCCCTGCGAGTAACCTGTATAATCGACACTTTGATCCATGATGGATTAATACCTAGCTAGTGTATGCTTGTATCGTCCCTTTATACGCGAGCAACGGAGCTCCTTAGATATATATATATATTAAAAAAAAAACACCGGAACATATCTCTTAGATAGAGGATCCAGGGCAGACGAATCACACTTGATTGTTTAACCTTGTCGCCCGGGACTAGGGCTGGCAGGCCCAAACACCAGAGGCTGCAAGTCTTGGTGCCCCACTGAATCGAGTAGCTCTTGACCCACAGCTGAGAGAGAAGAACGAACAAACAGGGCGTGAATGCCTGAACGTAGTAGCAGGCCAGCATGAGCTCTAATGTTCTTTTCAGGTTCGATAGATACACTGATCTAACCAAAGATCCTCCTGTATATAATTCAAGCTCATGACAATAATAACATAGCTCTTCATCTTCCAATTCAATGATGTCGGATGTGCTGTCTGTTTAACTGGCGCTCATGCCAGACAGACGAGAAAAGTGGAGACCGCTTAGCCACATCTTGTCGTGCGGTGCCGCCAGCTGTCCGACAATCATCCACAAGGCTGCCAATGACGCCTCATCCTCGCTGCGTGCGTCCGCTGTGCTGGACCAACCAAACCGAACCTTGCAAGCTCTCTCAACTCTTTTCCCCCGCCAAGCTCCTTGCTTTCCATCACCTTTTTCCTTCCGCGAGAGTCATCAGTCAGAAGCGAACCCGCCCACGCATCAAGTTGATTTCTCCACCCGCACGACACATTCCGAATAAAGCTGAATCTCTCGCAATTCGAACGAAGAGCAGTTCCCCCGCGTTCGCTCTCCTCCAGCGAGATTTCCCATACACCCCACTCCCGCCACTCCATCACCACTCACACACACACACCATGGCCTCAGCCGAAGCTAAGCCTGCCGCTGCGAAACCCGCCGAGGAGACCAAGGTCGAGGAGCCTCAGAAGCCCGCGGCGGTCGTTGGTGAAGATGACGAGTTTGAAGACTTCCCCGTAGATGGTATGTACTGTACTTTGTTCTCCCTTACCCTTTCGACACCCTAGCCTCGCCATACTCGCCATACTCGCCATACTCGCCATACTCGCCATACTCGCCATGCTCGCCGTGTTTTCCGCCGCTTCTCCACGTACCCATAGAGACAGTTCCAATATACTTCCTCCTGCCCGATTACGGCCTTTTATAGGCTAGCCTTGACTTCACTGGCGCACAAGCCCCAGCACCCCAACTCCAACAACTTCAAATATTCGTCCTGATAGCTAACCGACCTGCAACGCGACAGACTGGGCCCCGAAGACGCCGAGGCTGCCGAGGGCGCCGAGACGAAGCACCTCTGGGAGGAGAGCTGGGACGATGATGATACGAGCGATGACTTCTCCGCACAGCTTCGTGAGGAGATCCGGAAGGTCGAGGCGTCCAAGAAGCGCTAAAATCCGTCGGGACCGTTGGGATTGACTCTGGCTGGGAGAGGGGAGGACGCTGAACTCATGGGAAGGCTAGCAGCAGATGGAGAAACAGGCGCTCAGGGTTGCGCTCATTCTATCCAATGTTGTCGTCTTTGTCTCGGGTGACGGACTACGTGAGGGAGCGGAGGGGAGTTGGCCGCGTGGAGCGGAAGGGAATTGCTGCGATAAACGCCGATTTGTGTATGCATAATCAAGGGATCACGAAATACAAGTCACGGAATACGGGTACAACATAATTCTTTAGTGCCAAAGTCATTCTCAAGATGTGACTCTGTGTCGCCTCGTCGCTTCGTCTGATAAATACGACGTACAGGGAGGAGCAATTTTGTTTTATACAAGGTTTTTTTCATTCATTGTTGGTCTTCTAAGTTTTCTTACTTGACCCCCTTCCACCCAAGGCTTCTCGCGTATACATCAGATCTGTTTAAATAGCATGAAGAGAACGTGACTAAAAGACCGGTACGTTTACACATTTATTTGCTCGAGAGGGCGACAACACCGGGGAGGGCCTTGCCCTCAAGAAGCTCAAGCTGGCACCACCGCCGGTGGAGACGTGGCTAAGCTTGTCCTCGACGCCGTACTTGGCAGCGACGGTAGCGGTATCACCACCACCAATGATGACGATCTTGCCAGACTGGGCGGCGGCGACGGCAGCGTCGAGGGTGGCCTTGGTGCCCTTGGCGAACTTGTCAAACTCGAAGACACCGGTGGGGCCGTTCCAGAGAATGGTCTCGGACTCGTCGATGGTCTGCTTGAAGAGCTTGATCGACTCCTCGCCGCAGTCGAGACCCATCCAGCCGTCGGGGATGCCCTCGGAATCCGAGGCCTTGCCCGTCTCGGCATCCTTGTCGAACTTGTCAGCGGTGATGTAGTCGACGGGGAGGACAACCTTGACGTTGTTCTTCTTGGCCTTCTCCATGAGCTTGGGGACGGTCTCGGCGCCGGCCTTGTCGAAGAGGGAAGTACCGATAGCCATGTTGTCGAGAGACTTCTTGAAAGTGAAGGCCATGCCACCGCAGATGATGAGGGTGTTGACCTTCTCGAGGAGGTTGTCGATGAGCTGAATCTTGTCCGAGACCTTGGCGCCGCCGAGGATGGCAAGGAAAGGACGCTTGGGGTTCTCGAGGGCCTTGGCGAAGTAGTCGAGCTCCTTCTTCATGAGGAAACCGGCGGCCTTCTGGGGAGGTCGACGCCGACCATGGAAGAGTGGGCACGGTGAGCAGTGCCAAAGGCATCGTCTACAGGGAGCTGTTAGCAAAAGAAGAAGAAAAGGGGTTTAATGTGTGGGGAGGTTTGTGTTACGCTACTTACTGACGTAGACATCACCAAGGGCAGTGAGGCCCTTGCGGAACTCCTCGACCTTGGCCTTGTCGGCCTTGACCTTGTTGCCTTCCTTGTCCTTGGAAGAGCCCTCCTCCTCGGCGTGGAAGCGCAAGTTCTCGAGAAGGATAACGGCGCCGTCAGAAGCCTTGTTGACGAGCTCCTCGACCTCGGGGCCGACGCTGTCGCTGGCAAACTGCACCGACTTTCCAAGCTGCTTCTCAAGCTCGCCAACGACGGGCTTCAGGCTGTACTTGGGGTTGGGGAGCCGTTGGGACGACCGAGGTGGGACATCAGGATGACGGCCTTGGCGCCATTGTCGATGGCGTACTTGATGGTGGGGACAGCACCGACAATGCGCTGGGGGTTGGTGATGTTCTTGTTCTCATCGAGGGGGACGTTGAAGTCAACCTAGAGTCAAGGAAAAGAGACAAGACGAACACATCAAGTTAGCCAAGGTACCAAAATTATAATCTTTTTTAAAGCTTGCGTGATATTCATGATCTCTACGCGCGCAGAAATTGCAGCTCCCATAGCTCCTTAGTCTTAAAAAGGACGAGACCGCTTTGAACAATAGAATGCAAGGATTTCTAGCATCATTGCACCGACAGCAATGAATCTCGGTTGCATGGGAGCTTGGTAGCCCCTTGCACTTGGATGGGAGGGAGGTTGTTGATAGCTTACCCTGATGAGGACCCGCTTGCCCTTGAGGTCAACGTCAGAGATGGAGAGCTTGTTGGAGAGCGACATTTTGAATCGCGATTGGGAACGAGAGGTGCGATGGAATCGGTAGATGAAGAAGGAGGAAGATCGATTTACGGTATGCAAAGATGAGAAAGCTAGGTCTGGAGATAAGAGGGATAGAAATGGGGGAGGACTAGAGGGGAAAGGCGAGAACCGAAGAGGTAGCTGTTCATGGAGGGGCAAACCGACAAGATGATGATGTACAGCACCGAGCACCACTTTCACGCGCACTACCCACCCCCAATCGTGCTTCCGCACACGCCCACCCACACGGAAAGCTTAGGAAGCGGACTTTTCAATCCTGACCTTGGCCTCTCTCTTTTCTCTTCGCCAATACCAATTGAGGGGTTAGTTAGGCGAGCAAGGTGGGGTGGGGTGTCTTTGTTATTTTTTTTTCTTCTCATCTGAGGAACAGTCATGGCGGGGTAATTCCATGATGCGCCCACCACCCAACACGCACGTAGCACGAGAAACCACTGATAGCTCAAGACTGTACATGGAGCTGGAAAGGACTGCTTTAATCGCGGAAGGACACGGGCAGGCCTCATAAATAAAACTAGAATCAGTTCGAGAGTGAACACTGAGATCTTGAGCTTGTTCCATTGGAGATATTGATGCCTTTTTCCCACTCTTTTGAGCAATTTGTGAGCTCTGGGATGTGCCATGCTGCACGCCCAATTAAGCTCGCCACAGAGCTCCCTGGGCCGTAGCTCCCCTCAATTTGCTTCCCTCAATCCCCCTAAGAAATACTTTTGCGCCTTTGATTGTCATCACTCGCAGTGACGTCCGTGGCTTTGAGCGAATGCCCTATGCCTCCTGGGTATCTACAATACTGGAAGTCCCTCCCGAGTTTCCGTTTCATAATTTCCTTTTGAATAGAAAGACGCAACATCCTGGAAACGGGCTGCCCCGCCAGGGCCTCGAAATCCGATTGCTGCAGTTTACGATACAAAGGTTCTCTGGGAATAGAAAAAAAAGGGAAAAAGAAAGAGTCCCGTCACCCTCTAGCTGTTGTCGGTATCGATGCAATACCTTGTGAGTCTGCAACTAAACCTGGCGCAGATGTCATGCGTTGTGGGCTCGAGAGCATTGCATGTCTCAGGCTCCGATTCTGGCCGTCGAGCTCCGATGAGAACGGAACGCTCTCAACACCTCGGCCCGCGGAAGCTAGCGCTTTTCTTCCCCCATCTGCACTTCCAGGCGACGATAATATGACGGAGGAAACGTCGAGGCTGGCTCTTCTCACACACCTTGGCACAGGTTGATTTCTTTTTTGCATACACGTTTTCTTTTCGTTTCTTTCCCACATATCACAGCCTCCTAAACAGCCATGATTCTGCGTTTCCATCTATTACAGATACCCTCGCTGTGTAAAATCACAAAAAGATGGTCCCAATCATGACAGAGAATCGGTGCTACTGATCTACCGTCGAGCACTGAAAGGGTGAGTTGGAGAAGGTTAGAGAGAGAGGGAGGAAGATGGGTTAGGACAGAGGGTAGAGGGCAGAGGGCAGGACAACCGCTCCCTTACTCGTCATTTTCGTCCTCCTCCATCGCATCTTCACCGTCGCTACCCTTGTACTCGTCATCGCTGCTATTGTAAAAGTCCTCCGGCTCCAAGTCGTCACCGTAATCCTTCATGTCATCGTCCTCCTCCTTGCCGTTCTTCCCCTAGTCGCCTTCTTCTTCTTGTCCAGATTGGCCTTTTGCTCTTTCCTCCTCGCCTCCTTTGCTTGCCTCTTCTGCTCCCACCTCTTTTCGAGCTCCCGCACCTCGGCTTGCGTCTTTTCAATGTACTCGTGCCACATCACCTTGCCTGCCGCGATGCCATCCTCAACCTTTGTTAACCGCAGCTTCATGCGGGGTCCCAGCTCGACTAGCTTGACCGCGCGCTTCTCGACCTTCTCTTCCTCTTCGGTTGGTTCGGCGCCCTCCGCAGCAGCCTTGCGAGACAGTTTGCGCGGCCCCTCTTCCACCACCTCGACTTCGGCGTCGGTGTCGACCTCGCTACCGCTCGTGTAGTCTGTCATGTAGCCCTCGCCATTCTCGCCGCCAATCATAAAGTCGGCGATGTCTTCCAGCTTGCCCAAATTGGGCACTCCGCCCTTCCTCCCCGGCTTCGATGATACCAGCTTCTCGGCGGCGTTCAATCGCCGGAGCGGCCGCGAAAGGCCGGTAGTCTTGGTTGTGATGGCGAAATGGCGAAAGTTGAGTATAAACGAGCCCTCCTCTCCATCCTTGTCTGGTTCCCTATTTAGGAGCAACACTCTCCTGATCGTCTTAAGCGGGGTGGCTTGGGGGTTGATGGGGGAAGAGAGACTGGAAAACGGTGGTGATGAGAGATTCGAGGTGCTTCGGTACCTTGGACGCGGAATCGGCGCCGGGTGAGGTGAAATTGTTCATCACAAGCTGTAGGGAAAGGACCCAGTCAGTTCTGCATAGGGTAGAGGGGAAAAGCGGTAGAGGCGCTGCCAACTACTTACCAGAGGGGGTCGTAAACTCTTTTCCAACGCCACGGGCCGCCGTTGCGTCTTTTGGATATCCTTTGCGAGGGAGTACTTTTCCACCCTAAAGTTGAGGGTAGGGCCCTTGGGCGACAACGCTACTCTGAGATTGACGTTGCCTCGCTCTGACCGGGAGAACAGAAGAAGGTGTGTGATGCCCAAGGGACCGCTCATGGTAACGTAGTCCCTTAACCTATTGGCCTTTCGTTCCTTCAACCGACTCGCCGTTCCGGGTTCCATGACATGGCGAACGTCGGCGGCCAATTGACTGATGCTAGAACCAACTTCGCCGGCCCCGATCCGAATCACCATGCTCTTGGGATCGCGGACGGTGGCATGGGCGGCCACGGCGTTGGCGCTCTTGGGCTGATTGGCGCCCACATGGGTTCTCTTCTTTACTCTAGGTTTCGCCATTGTGAGGTTGAGAAAAAAATACGAAAAAAATAAGGAAGGCGGATAAGGGCGGCAAGGAATTGGAGGAGGGTGAAGAGATTATAGATGTAAGTCTGTACTTCTTGCGCCGTCAAATCACCCTCTTTTTTTTCCCTCTTTCTTCCCTCTGCCAAAAAAATTGGCGGGACCGAAGCGATAAGATAAGAATTTAGGTGGGATACGGCACTATCACGTGGAGATAAGACCGCTTTTTCTCTTCACCGCCCGACAGAAAAAAAGTCCCGAAAAGTTCAGGGAAGCAGCGAGCGAGACCCCACCATAATCCAGGACGAAAAGTGAAGCTCTACAACGATATTTTCTTTCCCGTTGTTAGCACCCAAGCGCATTGCGAAATCCCACCAAAATCTCCACGCCGCATTTATTCAGAATGAATCCCTCCAAGAGGAGAAAGGTGTCTCACCCCCAGAAAAGGTGGTTTCCAAGCGAAGGAAGCAGGATGAGCCTGTGGAACCCGAGGCCGAGTCCGAGTCGGATGCCCAGTCCTCCACACCAGAGGAGCCTGCGCCGGCACAGGAGGAGAATGAACCCGAAGAAACCCTAGCAAAGTCCTTCAAAGACCTTGTACGTCGTTATACACATTCCTCTTCCTTTCTTCGGTGCAGCTTGAACTGCGTTTCTTTGGTCCTTTCCCACTAACACGACTTACAGGGCGTAACCGAGGCCCTCTGCGAGGCATGCGAGTCTCTCGGCTACAAGACACCCACCCCGATCCAAGCGAAATCCATCCCCCACGCCCTCCAAGGCCGAGACATCATCGGCCTCGCGGAAACCGGTAGCGGAAAAACCGCCGCCTTTGCCCTCCCGGTCCTGCAAGCCCTCCTCGACAAGCCCCAGCCCTACTTTTGCGTCGTGCTCGCGCCCACGCGAGAGCTGGCAGCCCAGATCGGCCAGTCCTTTGAAGCGCTCGGCGCCTTGATTTCGCTGCGGTGCGCCGTGATCGTCGGTGGTTTGGATATGGTGCAGCAGTCCATCGCGCTCGGGAGGAAACCGCACGTCATCGTGGCCACGCCCGGTCGTCTCGTAGACCACTTGGAAAAGACCAAGGGCTTCTCGCTTAGGACGCTCAAGTACCTCGTTCTCGATGAGGCTGATCGTCTGCTAGATATGGATTTCGGTCCTAGCATTGACAAGATTCTCAAGTTTGTGCCGCGCGAGAGGAGAACCTTTTATTCTCCGCCACCATGAGCTCCAAGGTCGAGCACCTCCAACGAGCCAGCTTAAAGGACCCCTTCCGCGTCAGCATCTCCAACAACAAGTATCAAACCGTCGCCACACTCCTCCAACACTACCTCTTCATCCCCGCCATGCACAAGGACACCTACCTCGTCTACCTCGTCAACGAGCTGGCCGGCCGCTCCATCATCATCTTCACTCACACCGTCCGCGACGCACAACGCCTGGCCATTGTCCTCCGCTCTCTAGGATTCGGCGCCATTCCCCTTCACGGCCAACTCTCCCAATCCTCCCGCATGGGCGCCCTAAACAAGTTCAAGGACAAGTCTCGCGATATTCTCGTCGCGACCGACGTCGCGGCCCGTGGTCTTGATATCCCCAAGGTCGACGTCGTCCTCAATTACGACTTGCCGCTCGACAGCAAGACGTACATCCACCGCGTGGGTCGTACCGCCCGTGCCGGAAAGTCGGGTCGCGCCATCAACATGGTTACGCAGTACAGCATCGAGGTCCTCGTCAGGATCGAGGCTGCCCTTGGGAAGAAGCTAGAAGAGTACCCCACCGTAAAGGACGAGGTAATGGTGTTTAAATCTAGGGTCGAGGAGGCGGACAGGCATGCCAAGCAGGAGCTGAGGGCGATGGAGGATAAGAAAACCAAGTTGGGCAAAACGAAGCGCGGCGCTCGTGGTGCGCCAAAGAATGTTGATGATATGGATAAGGAAGAGAGATAAAACGGGTCGTCTAGTTTTCATCATAGATTGCGGTTCACAGCGAATTTGACTTGGCATTCATTCCCTTTCCACTCCCAAGGATCAATATCCTCCTCGGATTGTAACGTGTACGCATAAGGCATCAAGAGCGACGACCATGTAGAAATCTTATAAAAAACCGAAAAGAAATGGGTACGGGGTATCGGCGACATACAAGCCCAAACTAGACATTACCAAAAATGACCATAGAACCGAAACCCAAATAAGAGATAAAAAAAAGGAATACACAATCCGTTGTCCTAAAAACATAGCGAAAAGAACCAAAGCAAGAAAGACCATATCTCCCGCTTCATTTTTCCTTTTCTCAGCCAAATAAACGTTGGCTGGACGGAACTCAGAGAGAAGACTGGTTTGTATAGCGTAAAAAGGACCGGTTAGATCGCCGCCTCCGGTGCGTCCTCCCACTTCTTGGCCACCAGTCTCCTCACCTTCTTCGTAGGGCTTGCGCTCCGAGAACTCCTCGACGCGGCGCTAGCCGTGCTCTCGTTGCTAACGCGGAGCTTCTCCATCCTCGCACCCAGGCGCTCCACACCGGCCTCCCGCTCGTGGGATTCGCCCGACTGCGGAACATCATCCCTCTCTTGCAGGGGCACACGCTTGCTCGGGCTCCTCCCATTGAGCTCTCTCTTGAGGACGGCAATCTCTCGGCGCAAGCGCTCGTTCTCCTGCTCAAGATCCTCGACGAGGACGTTTTCCTTATCCTCCTCGTCGGCTTCGGTGCCGACGAGCCCGCGCTCGAGGAGCTCGACCTTGCGGTCCCAGTGCTCCTCGCCACGTTCTAGCTCGAGCTGCAGGCTCGCCTTCCAACGCGCCATTTCGAGCGCGAGTCGCTTCTCAAACTCGGCGACGCAATCCTCGCGAATGACCTGCTCCAGCTCCAGCATGCGGTCTTCCATGCTCAAAAGATGGGCCTCCGCGGCGAGACGGCCGTCGCTCTCCCGCGATACCTCGCTCCGCAGGATGTCAATTTCTTCCGTGAGGCGGGCAATCTCCAGCGCCGCAAGTTCCATCGTCGCCCGGTCGCCATCCGGATGGGAGCTTGCCGGCGAGATGTTCCGGTGGGATCCGGACCCCGAGCCGGGCCCGCCAAAGAACGCGGGCCGGTGGTGTGAGCCTAGATTGGGTGATAGAGGCTGGCGGGCGTCGGGAGGAGGTGCGGCGGCATTCGCGAATATGCTCGGGATGCGGGGGACGGTGACTTCGCGGGCTAGCGCGCTATAGCGAAGGATCTGAGAGGTGGCATTAAAGTCACCGAGGGGATCTGCCGTAACAATCATAACCGCTTTCTGGGGGTTTCGGCGGTGTCCTTGAGCCTGTGACGAAGCGGAGGGGAAGGAGTTGGAGAAGAGTAGTTCGGTAAGCTTGCACTGGCGGAAAGGAACAATGTTTGGCTGCGGATAATGTTAGGTCAGTTCAACGGCTCCCCGTGCTTCTTTGTGCATATAGCACACAGGTACGGAGGTCCTACCTTGCTGGAGCTGCCGTAGTCGCTCTGCATCTGCAGACACTGGCCGAGGTACATGAGGCTCTCGTTAATCTTTCCCGCCTCTGCGAGCGTGGCTCCCTGCGTCTTTGCGTCACGAGCTCTTTCACTACCTGCCAAATCGACTATAGTCAAAGCATTTCCACCCCAAGGGTATTGCCGCCTTGAGCTACGTTGCCTCTTCTTCACCTCGACGCAGATGAAGCCGTGACTACGAGACGACACGCTATTGCTGCCGGTGCCGGCAACGCGTCGCTCGTGGAGTCCGGCTTCTAATACCATGAGCGCCTCGTGAAGAGAACCGCACGCGACCTTTCTGAGGCCCGCAACAACTTTTCGGTCCGGCGAGGCCTCGGTAGATTTGAACATTAGCGGTCGGCGACGGTATTCTTTGGTCGCGTTCGACTTGATCGCGGGGGTAAGGAGATCGAAGATTCGGTCGTTGTACACTTCATACATGGACATGACGACAGCGTACTCGCAGGATGGGTCCGACGAAATGTTGACACCGCTCACGTCGGGAACCAAAGGTGTCGAGGGAAGCTGCATGGGTCGTCGAGGGGTCATCGATGGTGCAAAATGCTCGCCCTTTTCTTCAGTTTTAGCAATCTTGACAACTTTCTTTACGCGGGTAGAGGCCGTGAGAGTCATGTAGTGACGTCCGGCTGCCGCCTGTTTTGGGGTAGGAGTTGCTGCGTAAAGCAAGGAGTCCCGACTAGGGCTCCTCGGAGAATGAAACGTCCGGATAGGAGTTCGCTCTACCATCCGAATACTTTTCGGACTGCCATCGGGCATGTTCAACACGAGCTGGAGAGGGAAAGGGGTTCCTACAAGCATGGGGGTGGCGGCACGGGAGCCTCCCCGAGTAGACTGCGCAAGGGGATCGGAGAAGATGGTCTCTAGATAGGACGAGGCGCATGCGATGGATGCTTCAGATGTATCTGAAGCTTGCAATGTCGCTTCGAGGGAGGTCGACGTGTTGGGGTCGACCAAGTTGTTTCCGAGAGACCGGAAGATGACGTCGAGGGAGAGCTGGGTAAGTCCCCGTTGGGTTCGAGATCCGAGAATCGTGTGTGACTAACGAGGAATGATATGTTATTAGGAGGATGCCGGCATGAGACCCCGTCATCGCCTTTGACGGATGCGCGCTTGCTCACCTTGCCGGAGCCGGTGACACCAAGAGTGGCAACCAGCGCGTCGGTGCCGTACCCGCCATGAGGTGCGACAACTCCTTCAATTAGCGGGGCTACGCCAGTGCAGTGGAAAATATCGAGCTGCGTGGCCTCCTCCTCGAAGACCTGGGTGAATGCAAACTTCTCGATTGCCCTGCGGCGGTCGTTGGGCGGATTAAGTGTGATGTGCGTCGGAGGAGCCTCGGATTCGGAGGGCTCAACAGTAAGAAACCGCTCCGAGTTTGACGTCCCGGTCGAGTGGTGTGGCGGCCGAAGCCTCAAGAATACCTGGAATAGGCTCGATGACGAAGGCCTTTGTACCTGCGTCGAGTCCATGGTTCGGATACTGATACAGTCGTGCTAGCGATGTCTGAATGCCGGTTGGGTGGGGTTATGGAAGGTGAAGACGCAGCGAAGAGGAAGCCCGGCGATAGATAATACACGAAGTGCTGTTTTGTATAATGATTATAAAGTGCAGCGCATTCTCGTAGGTATCGATGCCTACGCGCGCCTGTTATTATTGTTGTTGAACCTTCAAGTCTTGTTCGCCAGTCGTTCCTGTGCCCTCCAAGTCGGTTGGTGATTTGTGGCTCTTGGACAATGCATGAACAATTTGTTTACTGGCTGCCCAGCAACGGTTAGTGGGATGGTGGTGGTTTCCCTTCCTGACCCACCCAAGCTGGCCAATGCCACCCTAGGGCTGATAAGATAAGCGAAGCACCCCTGCACTAGACGGTAACCTTGCAAGGACATTGGCTCACCCCACTTGCATCTCCCATTATGTCAGCGTGCACATGTCTGCACGATGCAAGTGCTTCAAGCAGGACGTCTTCCTTGTCTGTCCAAGTACTTGAGTACTTCAGTGCTTGTCAGACAGATCGGATCTTGTCAAGGTTTGGATGGACGACCCCTCAGTTTGTACACGAATAAATGCCCATTTTCAACAGGAGCCACAGAGACTTATGCCGTACGCTCCTGTGTCTGGAGCAGACCAACATAACCTCGCCACGGGCCCCCGCGCGTTCATCTGCAATGGGCAGCTTTGCATGAGGAGGGCAATGTTGGCGGGAAGCTCCGAGGATGCGGACTGCAAAAGGACGCTTTTGGCGGGGTCGACCGACCGGCAGTCCTCAAACAGTTCCAGCTCCGCTTCGTCTGAGACGACGGAGATAACTCGTTGAGTCAGATTTTTTCTTCCTGTCAGAAGTTAAAAATGTAATAGCTACGCGTCTAATTAGGATGCCCCTCTTTCGGGACATGAACACGAGAGGGTGTGTGGTACGAGCAAAGAAGGAAAAAAACACAAAGGAAAAAAATTCTCTGCTCTCTTTCATTCTTAAAGGTGGGGGACCTCCTCCCTAGTTTTAGAGTAGTCGCGGTTCGAGTCTAGACTGGACGTCACAAATTCCGAAAGTAGAAATTAGGGGAGAGAGGCTGTGGATCCCGCTCCGGGCAAACCAGTTTTGTCTTCGGAATCTTGTTGCCACAATGATACGGCGAGCTGGAGAAAACATCTCGGCGGGCCCTGGCCGACCCAGCAAACCCAGTTCAAGATGCTTGAGTTCCGTGTTGGCTCTTGAGATAGAGGTTGCCAGAGCACGGTCGATTTGAAGCAGAAATCTCATGATCTTAGTCAGATCCAAGGCTACACTCAACACGAACTTTCCAAATGAGTCACTCATAATATTCTGGCTTTGTCTTCTTATGTTGCCAACGGCAGCCTACTTTTAGTGTGGCACATGCTCTGTTTTTGGACGTCCAGGTAATCTCCTCCTGCAGGACCTCAATGCCTCAATCCAAGGTTGGCAGCACTCGCAGAGCAGGGGGAAGAACTGTGGAGGAAAAGAGAGAAAAAATGATGAATAGATGATGGTCTCGTGATCGCGTCCCGTCTCCGCAGCCCCAGCACTCTGGTGGGGGTCTCCGTTAGGAGGTGCGGATGGTCATCGATGCTCAGCAACCTCGCGTCCTCTTGCTCAGGTGGAGAATGGTGGAGTTGGAGGTCAACCGAGGGAGGGGGGCACAACTGAGCCAATGATCCGCAAGGGTTTTGTCAAGATCATGAAAGTTGAGCTCACAACGAGCAGACTGCCATCTCGCCGTCTCCAGTTTTTCCCCTCATCTCCTCTCGAGAAGTTCCTCGCTCGATCCAATTACCTACGAGAATTTTCCGTGAAACGCTTGTGTAGAGCAAGAAAATCAATTCTATTGTCATACACCGCTGGTAATCACCACAAGTGAATGCGTGTAAAGATCAACAGTAGTAGTCTAAAAAGGAGGGGGGATATTGGAGGCTTGCCACAGTCTCTCCACCCTGACATATTTCAGTGACAGATGAAATGAGGTCGAGGAAGCAAGGGCTGAGACACAAAAGGTTGATTGATGTGTTTGGAACACGGATCAATACCAAGTCCCCAATACAGACGCGGGCCTCGGCGGCAGACTGACAGGCTCAGAGGGGGCTTCCTCCCATGGCAATCGTACGCACGCTTGAGACGCTGCAGCTGCAGTCAATGCGGACACGTCAAGGAAAAGCCATCGCATCGTGGGACCTTCCAGATGCTCATCTCAACGTCCGCATCTCCACTCCACTGCCGGTAGCATCTGGGGGACCCCTCAAAGTTCTAGCCACGTACCACATACATAGTTTAACAGGCGTTCCTCCTTGTTGACTCGACTTAGACACCCCCATATGACCCTCGTCTGATGAATCGAGCATGCCATAGCGCCAGTTGAAGCTGAGCCTGCATAGAAATAAATGGGGAATGCACCATTGAGTGAGGGATGCCCGGCGCTGATGATTTGCTGCTGCGTGCAGAGAATTTTAATGGGGAAGCCGGTTGTGACCACAGGGTACTTGGTTTTCGCCCGCCAGCCCTCGCGGCTCGCTTGTCACTCGTCCCGCTCGACAATCAATTTTTCTTCTTTCTTGGACACTTCGACGGCTCCTTGCGGGGCACTGAAATGGCGGTGACGAGCCTGGCTACCGAGTGAGAAACGTCAGACCCACTGCAGGCGAGCCCGATGAACCCACCAACTGCAAGCCGGGACCAGTGATCCGGAAAGGGGATATTCGGAGGGGCGAAGGGGGGTGGTTTAGGGGACGATTTTGATGCGAGGGGCATTTGAGGCGGGTGGCACTGAGGTACAGTGGGGTTTCTGCTGGGCATACGGACTTGGCCAGAGTCAAACATGCCGTGCAGCAGGTCAGGTACTGGGAATCAACCAGACAGGGATCAAATTAAAGAGAGCACTGGGATGAACATTGATAGATCAAAACCCTACATCCATCCATTAGATGTAGCGATCAATTCTTCGCACAGGTAGAAAAATCCGTCTTGATTGTGTTGCCAACCGAGTGCACCGGCCATTTGGTCCCTCGCCTTCGAGGTCCCTCACAATCCCAACACTCGTTGACTCAATGGCTCGGGTTCGTTTGGAAAGAGCTGGACCAGTCGGACGCTTCAAAGAGTGGGGGTGACGCAGAGATACTTTGTACATTAGTGGAGATGAGGAGGCGAATCGTGTAGAGGGAAAGTCCCGGGCAAATCTGGGAAAGGAAAGGAGCCAGTCACCCACCTGCCCAAATTTTTTCCTTCCAGAAAACGGGTCCTCAAAGTACCCACTCTGGAGCTGCAGAAGGGAGGCTTGCCCGCTAAGGAAGGGACTATCTGTAGTGGTATATAATTTTTCCTGCCCGTTTCGTAGAACCCCTCCTCTCTTTCTTTCTCCCTTTCTCTCGATAAACCAACATCACCAAAGACAACGAAGTCACCTGCAACAACAAGGATATACAAGACCCATCAGATTCAATAATTCAAACTTCGTCGAGAAAAATGTTCCGCGCCGTCGCTGAGCTGTAAACGCCCACTGCGGGACGGTCCCCGGCCTGCTACCAGAGCGGCCGGCGGCTTCGTCTCGTAGTCCAGCAGCCCATCGATACACACGACAATTCGAACCTTCTCCTCTCTTGACGAAGTTTTTAACCAGGCTTTCACTGTCTGTTCCTCAATCTTTAGAGGAACAGAGAGCCTGCTACCCAGTTCAACCAAGTCTATCCCAGTTTCCCACTTCGCCTAACGGCTCCCATCGCCATACCACCATCACCACCATCACCACCACCCTCCACAACCTCCCCTCGCCCTTTCCGCCCCTCTGTCCGCTCTTTTGCACCGGACCGGATCTCACAGCAGGTGGTCTACTTCTTTTCTCTCTCACATTGCCTATTATATCTGCCATTGTAGCCCATCTACAAACGCATTGCCCGTTGCACTGGTCTGGACGTCACACTTGTGCCTTGCTGCACCTAGACCCTTGAATCTCTAAAAAGAAAAGAAAAAGATATTGTGGGAAGCGTCCCATCTATACTTCTACTCGAAAGAGAGAGTATTAAACAGACTTTTACTGTCTCTGCCTATCGTATTCAGCTTCTACTTGACTGTTTGAAGCTCAAAACCTCTGTGATCTTGGATTTTGGGCGACATTTTCACCGCCGTTTCCCTCACTCACAAGTTTAAACCTAAAATTTTATTATTGCCGCCAGTGTGGGCATTATATAATCCGCCTGGTTTCAACCACCCCTGCATAAGCCAACCGCATCATGCCGTCAACCTACCGGCAGAAGACCACGTCTATCACCCTCAAGGTGATTAACCGCCGGGCCCCAGCGGCTCGACCGCCAACACCGGACCTGTCCGGTGATGAAGGCTACTCGGCCCTCGAAGACCTCAGCGACACTGATGATGAGGACGAGGAAAATGTTGACGCGGCCGAGGAGGAGCACCTAATGCATGCTGCCAAGAGCAAGAGCAAGATCAGCCGCCACTCCCTCGGCCCATGTCCTCGGATGAGGAATATGCCGACGAAGAAGAACAGGATGAACAGGATGACCAGGATGAAGAAGAGGAAGTAGAGGAGCCAATTGATGATGACGACGACGGTTACGTTGAAGACGACGAGGAGGACGAGAACGCTGTCGACGATGAGGATGAGGACAATGACCTGCTTCTCAGGGATGAGACCAAAGTTGAAGGCGGGGATGTGGATGAGAGTGCCAGCTGGAACGGTGTTTCCACGGACGACTCGGATGCCGAGGGCGGATTGGATTCCGCCTTTGCCGCAATCCACCGTCAAGGCGGGCAGGCTGAGCGTCACGTCCGCTTTGCCAATGTCCCGGACTCGGATTCGGACTCGACCGACACGGACGAGGATCATGCAGACATGTTTCCCGACATCTTTGTCGATCAGAGCACCCTCGATCCTGCCATCCGCCGCGAGATTGACCGTGACCCGGATGAGTCGTCGGGCTCCGGCGGGTCATTCTGGGATATTCACGGCACCTATGACTATAGCACTGCCGATTCCGATGGGGAGGTGTATCGAGCTCGCCCCGCCGATGCGGAAAACACCCCCATGGCAACTCCTATCGCCGCGCTGCCTCTCGTTCCCCAGCTGGACTTGGCTTCCGTAATGTCAACCCCGACCCGTGCCGTTGAGCTGGCCGTAGATCTCGACGGCTACGAGAGTGAGTTTTGCCGTCCCCCAATGCAAGATAAGAGATGGGAGTGGAAGGGGGTGAACGCGATTCTCTCCGCTCACCCTGCCTGCCCCCTCGCCCCGATATTCTCTCTTGTCTTGACCTCGGTGCTAATAACTTTCTTCAGCGGACGGAGATACAACGGAAGAAGATATTCCCGAGCCTATTGTGAGGAAGAAGTCGCGCCGGCCGGATCCTGTAGACGATGACTCGGACTCGGACTGCACGCCTGTCAAGTCTAAGAAAGGGAAGCCTCGCGTGGGTCGGTTTAACCTTGACAAGTCTGACAAGAAGCCGATTGCCGTTCTTAATCCAATCACCAAGAAGATGATGATTTTCACACCTCACAAGCACCGGCAGCTTGATCTCTCCCCTGAGCAGTTCAACTTCTCTTTCTTCAGCCATGCCGAGATGTCCTCCCCGGCTGTCAACAACGCTTCCACCTTCATGCTGAATGCCATGTTCTCCTCTGGTACATTTGGAGACTTTGTCAATGGACACGGCATCACTGACGTCGACGCCCTGCTCCAATCTGCCCTCTTGTCAGAGGCGAACACCATTGACGACAGTCTTGACTCGGATCTCGGGCTGGACGGTGATGATGGGGAGAAGGCTCTAGATATCAACGACTTCATCACCTTTGCAGCGGGCGGCGTGTCGGATAGTGAGATGGACCAGGACTGGCACACGGATATCAACTCAACCCCGGGCGGACCTGGGGCTACCAGCGACGTTGACATGCTCAGCCACGTCTCCTCGGCCACCGTCGGTGCTTTCCGACAGAACCAAATCACGCAGCAGCTCATCCTGAGCAACAAGGCAAGCCAGGACTCGCTGGCGTTCAGCGGTCCCTTCAACGATACGGCGCTTCGTGGCCTCAAATCGGATAGGCTCGCCACGGCTGCCGTTCCCTTAACCCCAGTGCGCAGGAGGCGCAAGAGCTCTATCCACGAACCCCTACCAGTCCCCTCGAAACGATATCTCAGAAGCGAAAGGCGTCTGGCGATCATGACATTAGTCACAAGCGACATCGGAGCATATCAGACATGGCACTGCTACATGTATAAAAGGAGGCGCAATACCGGCGTATCGGTGAATGCGGGTAATGATTGTATTCTTCAAGAACGGGAGGACGGCATGATGCCACAGGCATCATCCCTGGCCTCGAGGAAAACAGGAGGGAGTAGGGGATAAAGCCAGCTTCTCATGACGGACAATGAGCTGTGTGTGTTTTTCTTGTTTTTTTCTTTTCTTCTTGTTGCTATGGCTGCTTGAAACGAGGAACAAAAAGCGTTTTACTTTCTTCTCTCTTGTTTTATCTGTTCTAGAGAAATTTCGGGCGGCCAATTTGATATCTTGTTTTTCCCCTGCCTTGCAAGCACAGGTTCCCTCGTTGGTGACCTTCTGTAGTTGGCGTGAGATCTATATACCCCGTAGCCTGTATCAGCTCCCGTTGCCTGCCATGCTTACGCGCGTGTCTGTCCATCACGGAAGCATTTCAATATTTAACTGTACTACCCCTACTACTACATATATATACTCTAGTCGGCTGACCTCTGCGGCAGCAGCAAGTCGACGGTCCTCTTTGTCCCTGTAAGAGTGATCATAGATGCATTTAGGACATACATCACCATAAGTTTAAGATTACGCGAAAAGGGTCACGGCAAGAATGATGGAACAAGAGTTTCAAAAACGAGAAGCGTATATTGTATTGTCAATTTTGTCTGATCCGTATCCCAATCTTCTGTTCAGCGTTCTCGTTTTCTAGTGTGCGCAATCCTCCCGCTGGATGAAGAAGAAAGAAACATGGAGTGCTTGCCCCCATGTTTAAAGAGGGAGGAGGAAGTATAAAAAAACCCTCGCGCCCCGTCCCTTGGAATCCCCGCCCGGGACATCTTGCACCTTCATCGTCCCTCTATTATCCCCCGAAAAACAACTTCTCCCACGACTATCCCCGTTCCGAAACGCGTAGAGCCGGAGCTAGACGAGTATGGTGGTTGAGTAAACGTGTTGTAGATGGAGAAAGGCCTCGAGGGGAAGGAAAAGACGCGAGGAAGCAGGAATAGGAGGGGGAGGGAAAGGGGGTAAAAAAAAAAAAAGGAATTGTTTTTGGTGATTTGTTTTTCATCGAACCATGCAGTTTCCCCAATTCTCCGCCCTATGAGCTCCCAGCTTGCCCACCTCCCTGTTTTTCTTTATATCCGAGTACCTACATCCCCGGAACCGGGCGAATCCCCAGAGCTATTCCATCAACCTGTGATTGTAAGAAGAGCCCCGTGCTAGGGGAAGACGGAATCCGAGCCGGAGACTTGTGCGTAGGACCCGCGTCGAAAGACGAACAAAAAAAGAAAGGGAAAGGGGGAAAGGAATGGAATAGGGGTGGGAGAAAGGGTACTTTCGATCCGGGACAAAGGAGATGGGGCCGGATGGAGGACGGCAGCCTTCGGGGAAAGACAAGGGGAGCGGAAGGGCATAAATGGGAAGGTATGCCGGGGCGTGCCGGGTCAGTCTTTGCACCGCTGGGGAGAAAAGAGGTTCGTCATGCCCCAGTGTTCCAACCCGCTCTCCGATCCCGCGAGCTTCCCCGTGGGATACGTGCAAAGGGGAACCCCCTTGGTTGCAAATAAAACTTGAAGAAGCAGAAAAGAAAACAGCTCTTCTTAACCCGAAAAAGAAAACGCTTCCCACGCTCCCCGCCATGGCATCCGAGCCTGTTTGCAAATTAGACCCCTTCCGTTTCTGGGGGTATCGTCTCTCCCTCCGAGGAACCGACGTTGATCTCCCTGTATGTTGTTTCAATCTCGTGCAAAACAAAGAAATCCCATCCCGCCGTGTGGGAACGGGAAAAGGGGATCTTCCTGAGGAGGGGGTGAACCGTCTTCTGCTGCGCGTAAATGCACGCTCTCCCTCCAACCCAAAACACGTTGGAGGCTTTGCTTTCCATTATGGGTTCCCCGTCCAGAGGATCCCCGCTTCTCTTTTCGAAAGAGCAGCGGAGCCGTAAACAAAGAAATGCAAAACAAAACGCCCGCTGTGTAAGCCAGGGGTTGGGAAGAGAGGAGGTGCACGCAGAGAAGAAGATGCCCCGGTTTCCTCCTCATCCCCAGTATTATTCCCGTCCATCACAGCAAAGGAAAAAAAGAATAAATCAAGGTGAGCCGTAAACCGAAACCAGAAGAAAACGTGGTTGCTGAAGCCCTCGAGGAGGGCGAGAGAAAGAGGTCCCAAACCCGGATACCCTTTTCGCAAAAAGTAATGACAAAAAGATGGAATGGAGGGGAGAAGATGTTGTCGAGAGGGGGAAGTGTCCGGGTCCGAATGATTTCCGATGCGTGTGTGTGTGCGATGTTCGAGCTTCCCCAGAAAACAAATGTTGATCAAAGAAAAATACAAAAAGCCGAACGGTTTGCTCCAAATGCTTCCTGCCCTTGCTATCGGAAGACGGAGGCCAAAAATTGTTCAAAGGAGCACTCCGCCGCCCAAGGGATCTCTTCTTCCACCTTTCCGAGCTTTCCTCCCTGTTTCTTTTTTTTTCCTCATTGTTTTTTTTCCTTGACATCAAAGCAAAAAAAAACAAGGTCGTGATTTCAAAAATCAAAACGCCAGACATCCGATGCGGAGATGAGAGTGTAGCGGCCGTGACAGATTAGGTTCGTAAGAAGCTCAAAAAACGCCAAAGCCGTAAAAGCCCTTTCCCTAAACTTAAGGACGTGAGAGGAATCCATAAACAGCACGGAATAGTCCCTGGAAACAACGAGAGATCCGAGAAATAGCAAGGGGAATCTAATGAAAAAAGATGCAAAGTAAAAAGAGCAAACAAAAGGTATCAAACCAAAACACACACAAAAGTCAACTTGTCGCTGTGGAAATCATTCGCGGTAGTAAAGGAAAAAAATACACCTGTGCCATGTCGCACATGCTTGGAAAGTCTCCAAGGGGATATTGTACAGGAGCAACCACTCAAGATGCGAGAATAGTTCAGACAGTCCTCGGGGTTCGCGAGTTGTTCACCTCGATGACGTCGTCTAGGTGGTTGCACATGGCGACAAACAGGTCGAAGAAGAGCTTGCTTCCGCCTTGCTCCATGGCGGCCTGCATGGTTCCGCTGCGCTTAAATGTACGGCGGCAGCGGATGATGAGGGCAAGGTAGTGGGCGCGCAGGCGCGAGTCCGAGTCGGGCGTGTGGGCGTACGCGTACGCCGCCGAGCGCAGGATGGTGCCGACATCAATGCCGGACTGGAGACCCTGCTTCCGGAGGGCGAGGAGCTTGAGCTCGTCGAGGCCGTACCGGTCGGCGGCGCAGTAGATGACGGTGTCGCGCAAGAGTTCGTCGCCGCAGCTCGAGAGATAGACGGTGGGCTCGACTGCGCGGGGGCCTGCGGCCGAGGACGAGGTGGCGGTGGTCGCGGCCGTGGAAAACGAGGCGCGGCGCACACTGCCGGGTCGCCCTCCCCTGGTGGCGGAGTTGGGGGAGTTGACGAGGGCGTCCGGGGCAGGGGAGGGTAGGGGGACCGTTGGTCGGCCGAGTCCTCGAGCTCCCAAGTGTTTCGGTACTTGTTATGGATCAAGCGGGGGTAGTAGTCACCCTTGTAGAGGTACTCGAGAACGGCGGAGAAGACCTCGGGTTCCTCGTCCGGGAGGGAGATCCTCTTACCTTGCACGTCGTGAAACTGGCCCCTGCACGCGGCGTCGAAGAAGGACGACTGGCAGAGGACATTTTCGTGCGCGGCGAAAAGCCGACCCTCGCGACCGACCGTCAGAGTGACGATGGGCGAGGGGCGAGGAGTGTGCATCCGGGTAAGCGTGGGCAGCGGCGGCGGCGGACGAGGAAGAACCGGCGCCGTGGTGGCGTCGGCTGCTAGATCCACGCCCGGTGGCGCTGCTACTACCGCCAGCTCCCCGGGAAAGCTCGTCGCCTCGGCCAAACGACTTTTGCAGCTTCGATAGCTTCTGGGGATCCCGTACGCTGGTGGACTTCTTCAACCTCGCAGCCTTGTCGACGCGGGTCTGATCCTGGTTGGACCTGAACGAGCGGCCAAACATGACGGCGGTGTGCTTGGGGGTGAGGAGCTGAAGAAGGGACCGGAGGCGCGGGATGGAACCGCGGAGTCGAAAGGTGAAAGAGGACAGTTTGGGCAGAGCTTTGGCGTGACGGGGCTCTATTAGAAAAGGGCGGGGAGGCCGTAGACGGGAAAGCGGGGGATTCCCGAGATCTTTTCCCAGAGAGAAGGACGGAAAGACGTTCGCGGAGTCAACCAGACTAAAGCTGCCTTTTCTCCACTACTGACTCTTTCCGTATGGTTACCCTCCTCGCTGTTGACGGAAGAAGCGACAGGCCCGCTACAAGAACCGCCTAGTCCTTCTCACTCCAGTTCTACGTCGCAAGCGCCGACACGGTGGGGCCCGGCCTTGCCCAGGCTTTCGCGACTCCGGGGACGGTTGCTGGAAATATTCCTTGTCAAGAGAGCAAGCGAAAAGGAGCGAAAAAGAGGAACAAAAACCCTCGAGGGGTTTCGATAAAAAAGAGGAGAGGGCGAGATCGCGAAGAGGGAAATTGAGCGAGTCGCGATTCGGTCCAAGTTTGGTATCGTTGTGGTGCGTGCTTTCGGTGTTTCTCTCTCGACGCACGCAGCGTGTGTGCGGGCGGATCTTGAAAAAATACAAAAAGGAGCGGAGGCGGGGTCCGTGAGGAATATCTCTAGAAGTAAGTTGTCTTCATAAACGAGTGGCTAGGGATATTCCCAAGATGTTCTTTGCGACCTCGACGGTTGTGGTGATGGGGATAGGGAATGGAAAGGGATGGAGAAGAAAAGAGGAAGGGGGGGGGAGGGGGCAGGGAGGCAGCAGAGGCCTGGATATATATATCAATCTCCTCTCCTGACTACTCTCCCAATGGTGGGCAAGAGCAGCGGCGATGTCGCGATGTAATTGGGCTACGGGTATGAGTCGATGCGCGAATCCAATTGGACTTTGGCGACGCACAAGCCCGAAAATCGAACGGAAACCAAGGTGAGCGAAACTGGGCAGCCAACCGCAAGGTCTGGTCTTTCACGGCGTCCAAAAAGGTGCGCGAGGAGAGGTGCAGCTCTGCGCAGCGCTACAGCAGAGTGCGTGCAGCTAGCAACGCTGGCCTTGCAGCCTGAATTCCTGGGTTCCTGGGTTCCTGGGATCAACCTGTCCAAACAAAGAAACAGAGCCCAGAAAGAGGAAATACCAGCCCCTCCAGCGAATGTCCACCTTTGGCACTGGGGCGAGTAATAATAGGCAAAAGTGCGAGGGTGGATAGATGTAGAATTGGGTGGCAATAGGTTCAATGTTGTTAATGCCGGGGCCCGCTAGCGATGGTGGTGGTTGCCGGGATCAAGCCGATAACAGATCCAGCCCAGATGGATGCGGCGCTTGCGGCTTCGGGGCTTTTTGCCCAACCTCTTAACAACGCCCTTGGTTAACGTGCTCGGTTGGGGTGAAGACGACCTTTGAGATCGCGCCTGCTCTCTCCTCCCCAGAGAAAAAAAAAGGGAAGGAGCATGTCCGACTCTATATGTACTATGGTATAACTAGAAGTGTCTCTTTCTCTGGGGAGGCCCAATACCGCCGTGAACTGTGGAGGGTGCGCACCAGACCACATGCCCACCAAGTGATGCAGCCTAGAACACTGGGCGCACACTTGCGTGCTTTGAGTTGATGCCGCCGAGCCAGGAACGTTGAACCCTCCACGTAGGCCAGCCCAATCTATTGTGATCCTCACATCCCAGAGCCATCAGGCACCATCAAACACTGACGAGGCTCTTGACGTACGCCAAAGCGCCTCTCAGCCCGCGTGTTCGCTTCTCGGTGTCAGAACCCAATCTTCCTCAAATGTGTGTGTGCGCGTGCGTGTGTTGTGGGTGACAGCTCTCGCAATTGCGCGCACGGTATAATTCACGCGGGGCATTCGGGGTGAAGAACATTGAGAATTTGGTGGACCAGTCGAGTACAAGACTATGTACACCCACCATCTAGCCCACCCCTGTCAGCTCTGCAAAAAGTGAACAAACGACCCAAGATTCCGTGGATACGTCACCACGTCATGGGCATTGATCTTCAAGTCTCAATCTCTTGATATTCCATGACTTTGTTACTCTCCGATGAATCCAGCGCAGCCCGTTCACTTTGTCCTGACAATATTCTCTTGGCCCTTCTCAAAGGTCGTGAACGGTGTATATTCATCCATGGATACCTTCCTGCTCTTAATAGAGTGGCTTACTCTTTTCGATTCCATCTATTTTCTAGGTCCGCCATCAATCATGTCTCTACTCCTTCCTTTTTCCTTGTCCTCAAATCAAGTTTCCCTCAATTTCCTCAGTTTCCTTTAGTATTTTTTTCTCCCTCTAGGATCGAGCCTCACAGTGACAGTCCTTCAGGTACGGTAGGAGGGAGTGGGAATGAGGGAGCTAGGCTTGCCAGTTCCAGTCCAGCTCAAAACCAGACGGTTTCGAGGCCTTTGCTACCAAATCTCAAATCGGTTAAAGTGCATGCAGCTGTGACGGCCGTGGACGTGCGGCTTGCTTCCAAGGGCATATCCACATTCAGAAAAGCAGCACATCAAAAATTCCCGAAGGAATATTTCGCCTGTCCAGGCCCGTGATTATGCCCATACGCGCCTCACTCTCTGACTCGTCAGATAGATCCATTAAGATCTGGTTCGCTAGCGGCGTTCTTTTTCCCATGTACCGGCCGCACATGTTCGTGCACAACCACAGTGTGCAATGGTCGCATCCCCGTTCCAAGACTCGCGATGCTCCCAATTCCCACCCCCTCTACGCTGTCTTGTCCACCTCGGCCCCATTGATGGTTTTGAATACTCCAGTCCAGTCTAACCAACGCCTCGTTTTCGCGCTCACCCCATCCCCAAGCAAGGCATATAGGTCAGTGAATACCCTCCATCCTCTCCACCCCACCTAAAGCACCTCCGGCGACTTGCAGCGGGTACCTGGCAGTGCCGCTCACACACACACCGAAACCCCAAAATGCCCAACCCGTCGACACCACTCCATCATCGCCCACCCCTCCCCCAGTCATATGTGTCATTTGACCTTAGACCGCACTATACTATGACTCAACCCACAGCCCCATGGAATTCTAGTTGATTAAACTATCCCCTTCGCCTTCTTCACGACCTCTCCATGGACCTAGGCCCATTTTCCATGTTTTCGAAGAGAGAGCACGTCCTTGAGCGACACACCAGCCTCTCCACTTGGGAGAAGCTGCCGCGTAGGCCACGCTACGAGTGCAACATGTCCACTTTGAACGTCTTTCTGAGTGCACAAAATAGCCCACACGGCCCCAGTCCAGACCAGTCTTACCTTTAACTTGGACCCCCTTTTCATCCCTTTTCTCGCTCTTTTCCCTCTTTCCCTTGTAAATTTGGTTGTTGGTTAGCGAGACGTGACGTGGACGCGGCTAGCGGTAGATTGGATATGGCTTCACTGTACCCCATTCACGCCGATGTGAAGCGGTAGTCTCACGCGGAACAGATGTCGTATCATTGGGTATACGTACACCTTGGACAAGCACGCAAGGTAAATCCCAGACACAGATGAAAAAGGAGATTTGACTTGTTGTGAACAACTCCGTATTCTACCGAAGCAGAGTTGTGTAGACAGCGAAAGTTTATGGGACGAGGAAGACCTCTCCGTCCTAAATATCTTGAAATTTGGATTGTGCCCAAGCCATGTAAACACAGGCGACTTGACTCCTAAATGACTCCGTCCCATGTACCATATTCGTAAGAATCAAAAGGAAATACAAATGAGAATGAGAAGAGGAAGAAAAATTGAAAATGACGTGTTCCATGCATCCCACACGAAACCCAACAGACCTCCTTCCCGTCCCCTGCCTCGCAGACACTCGTGCCCAATCCATCACAGCTCGTCCTTGCTCATCGCCCTCTTGAGCGCCGCCTGCACAGCCTGCTCCACAAGCTTCTCCTGCTCCTTCTCGCCCACCCCGCTCTCCTTGGCCACCTTCTTCGCCTTGAGCATCGCCGCCCTCACCGCGTCCAAGACCGCCTCCTCGTCCTCGTCCTCCATCATCTCCTGCCCGCTGCCGCCGCCCGCACCCATGCTCTCCTCCGCCGCCTCGCCCGCCTTGGGCTTATAACTCCCGTGGTCCTTGGGCGCCCGGATCAGCTCCTCCAGCCTCGTCACCTCGCTGCTGTGGGGTCCCGCGATAATGGACCAGTAGTCGCGCGCGATCTTGGCGTACCGGAGCGCCTCCTTGGCGTCGCCCATCTGGTTCGCCGCGTACGCCGCGATTTCCGCCGTCAGCGGCCGCGGGAGAATCATGCCCTCCTCCCCGTACAGCCGTAGGAGCTTCTTGCACAGCGCCACCACCTGGGCGGCGTCGTCCGAGACCTCGTTCAGCGCCGCCTTGGCGTTCTTGATGTTGTCGCGCCGCCGGTTGGACTCGCGCCGCGACGCCGTGTCCCCGCAGATGCTGCAGTTGCACTCAAAGTGGAACTGCGAGCCTAGGAGGCGGTGGCGGTCCTTGTAGGGGATTTCTTGGAGGCCGTCGACGTAGCTGTACGTGAGCTCTTCGCCGGGCTTGACGTCGCGGATGGCGAATACCTCCACGGCGAGCGTTGTGTCGTTGAAGCGGTAGTAGGTGCTGATTGGGAGTGATACCAGGTTAGCAAACCAGTTCCAGACCCCGCCCAAAAAGATGTAAGAGAGGAATATTGTAATACTTACTTGGGAATGCAGTCGTGGTTCATTTTCTATTCCAGGGAAAGGATTGGTGTTAGTGATGAGTTCTTCTCAAGAGAAGCAGAAGAGGGAACAAAGAAAGGCGCCCCAAAAGATTTTCATTGCCGTGGGGAGTGAAAAGATAACTAGGCGGAAAGCAGGGGGAGGAAGGGAGGGCGAGGAAGGGAGGGGAGAAAACACTTACAGCTGCCTCGGGGAAAGTTCCGTATTGCCGGAACCCAGCATATTGCACGCCAAGAGAGTTCATCGCGACGAGGTTATCCAGCTCATCCTTGTACTTGCCATCCGACGCCATATCCCGCACCTCTCCGCGACCCGCGTCGGGGAGCTGCAGCAGCGCCATCCAGTTCATGCGAATCCTCTCCTCGGGCTCGAACACCTCGACGGAATCCCGCGAGATGAGCAGGGCCGGGTAGTCGAGAAAGATGGTCTCGCCCGCCTTGATGGCCTCGGTGGCGAAGAGGCCGCGGCCGCGATCCTCGGTCAGCTTTTCGACGTACCGGGCGCGGGGAAGAGCTTCTGGAACGAGTAGGGTTCCTGCGCCGCGGCTTCCGCCGCCGACATGGCCATCGTCGTCCGCTCCATGATGGCCTGGGCGAGGTCGGGCAGGGTGACGAGGCTCAGGCCGCGGCCGCCCATGAAATCGGCATTGGTAAAGGTGCAGAAGCCGAGCAGGGTCTTCTCGACGGGGTGGATGCAGTAGGGCTCGTGGGTCCACGGTCGGAATGCGTCCGGGTGGCGGGGGCGGGGCGCGACGTCGTCGAGCTCGCAGACGAGGTCGCCCCGCAGGGCGTGCTCGGCGGGAGGGCTGGTGAACTCCCGGGGTGGGAGGCTCTGGGTTGAGGGTTCGGCGAGGGCGAGGGGGACGAGGAGGGAGGTGAGGGCTGTGAGGTAAGTGAATGTGGAGCTGAGGATAGCCATTGTGAATGTGCAGCTTCGGCTGAGTAGACGGATGTGTTGCTGCGTATACGGTGTCTTTTGGATTGGTGCTGAGCCTGGGAGAGAACTCGTCTCAAGGTGTTGTTCTCGGCAACACAAAGGGAAATGTGGAGAAAACTGTTGGTGTCTAACCGAGTATATATGTAATCGAGAATACCAGCTCTCTGTGATCTGCCAAGGATTATAGAGCGAATATGGCTTTCTGCTCTCTCTTTCTCTTTCTCTAGTGTGTAAAAGGTGTCGCAAGATTGCTGTCAAGAACGGACGGTGTAAGAGTGAGGGGGAAGAATCGCGGAGGGTATGGAGAATGACACAACACGCCACCCAGGGCAATATTAAAAATGATAATCTATGATTTACAAGGACACAAAGGACACCATGTTCGTCCGAAGAATTGTAAACGCGGCAGAAAAAGAGAAGAAAAAGAACAGAGGGAAGCGGGATGCGGGCGGAGAGGGCGAGAAGGGACGGGCTGGATCGTTGAAATACGGTAATGGATAGACGTGCCAAGTCGCGGGCGAAAAGCTGGGCACTTTGCAAAGGTGGAGCAGACCCAAACAAGACGACATGCCGCCTCCCTTCCTGCCACCTTTCGACTGCCGATTTTCTCACAAGGGAGGACGAAAAGAATATTCAAAAAGTCATACAGGGCAAGGGAAGGGAAAGATCCTGCTCTCCCCAACTCTGTTTCTCGTTTCACGACCCCCTTGCGCACCGCCTCCTGGTTACCGGGGATGGAGGTTTGCGGCGCTCAGATGGTCAGACGTGATGCGGCGGATGGACGTCTGGACTCGGGAGGTGGGATGAAACAACGTCAAAGTTGCCGTTCCGGGGTTCTGATTCGCTGTTGGTTTACACCCGTGCTCCGCCCAAGGGGTCCGGGGCGAAGGGGTTGCCAGATTCCGACGTTTGTCTCAGATTTCTTGGCTTTCTCTTTAACCAGAAGCAGGGGCTTGCACTCAACCGTCCAAAAAAATACACTACGGGCCAAGTACAAGTACCACTTCAGCAGAGTTTCTGTGTACAGCGACTTTACGCATTTTCTTGAATGTGCCACGGCCGTTAATTTATTAAGTTCTAGCTACCTGAATTTCAAGCTGTTTAATATCGGAAAGTAAAGTTGCTCTACAAGAAACCTTAACTCGCGCCTTATTTTGCAAGCCACAACGGCCAAGTAGGAGGTACTTCGGTTTCATGTCCTTGAAGGGGCTGCGACCCAAGTGAGCGGGTGCCACATCCTGAGCCGTAATGTGGCTGGTTTTTCCTCCCAGACTGTGGCTGTCAGCAAAGCCCATCTCTTTGGCCTGTCATCACCTCAATTACACGACCCCAGACGTCTCTCACACACAAGGTTCAATGTTGCTAGCGCTGCTTGTGGGCATGGAGCCGAGTCAAATTCAAGTCGTAGGCAGTTTGTCGCCAATCATCTCAATCATCAATTCAGGGACATCAAAATTGTATTATCTCGAGATCTAGGGAGGACTAGCAGACACAATGTCATCGAGTTGACCGCGCACGAAACCGAGAGATTTCCAATGCTCGAGGAGCAAACCGTTGCCATCAACCCCCAGCTTTTGACAAAGTCTTGCGTAGCCATTTTTGAACAACTGTAGAAAATGAGGCATCGTCGTGCACTCGAGGTGTAGAATAAGAAAAGCGCCAGTCATCATTCACCCCATGGGGTGTAGATTGGAAGATTTTGATACACACACCCATTCCCCATATCAGACGTCCCTTCATCGACGTCCAACATTGAACGAGCACCGAGATGGAAATAAACGTAGGAGCGCCAAGCGAGAGTAGATGGGATCTGCACCCTCAAATTCATACTTAGTTTTGACATGTGATGATTTCTTCTTACAGGCTCAGTGGTTTCGTCAGCAGAGGACATGAACGGTTAACTGAATGGGTCCATCCATAGATCTATCCATCTATTTACGGATATGTCTGTTAGTGGGTCATAGTTTCGTGAATTCCTGCTTCCTAGTGATCCATAGTGAGTGCCATTAACGAATGGTAATGGGCGAACTCATCAGTGGAGCAATTGGCGTGACTGCGGCTCTAAACTCGATATGACCGCAACCCTCGACCTACTATATTGCATGTAATCTGATTCATCCTTTCCTTTCAATTGACTTGAACAAGTTGGGATATCTATGATGGCTGACGGTCTACTGCCTCTTCAATCGAGGATATTCGCAATGGGCGATGGAACAGTGCTCTTTTCATCCTAGGGAAAGTGAGCATCGGAGGATAGCATCTCGGCACGGCCTCGAATGGCATCGCAGTTGATGATTTTAGACTTCTTGGGGTCCTGTTTTGAGGGAAACTGCACAAGCTAGACTCTTTTAGATTCCATGTTCACGATAGTCTGCCGGCCATATCCATGTCCTCACGGCGGGTTTCGAGCAGTCGCCGATATGGATATGCTAGCACCTAGCCATTCTCCCACTCGCTTCCATCCCCTTCTCTCACCTAGAAGCTCTTCTCCCTATCATTGGACAAGCTCCCAAGTTCTCGGCTATCCTGGCAAGTAGGCTCATGAAAATTATGGCACCAAGAGAGTTAAAATACCTAGATACTTGCTCTTTCTGCTGCGTTGCACAGTAGGAGAAGCAGAAACCGAGCGCGCCCTCACTTTCGTTCGCTCACTACCGCCCGGCCATCGTGAACCCTGTGACGATGCCGACCCAGTTCCCCAGACCCGACCCAGCCGGCCCCAGACAGATGTGAAAGCCAGTTTGAGGGAGGATGTCGCCCGATGGCTCCAAATAAGCTTTACAGTTGTCATGAAGCCTTTGATGCCTCAAACCAGGCCTCTGCCGATCCCAGGCGAGGGTTTGGGCATATATAAAGACGTTCTGGGGAAGTTGATCGTAGGCCCATGGCCGCCTCTTGAACACACGCTTCATCTCCATACCTCCGTACCTCCATCTCTTCGCTAGATCAGACGTTTTGCGGACATTTCCATCACAATTCTCTCCGTTCAACCGTCTCTCAAGTTAGTTCAGTCCTCCATTGCTATCAATATCATTCCGGATTTCAGCGTCATTCATACTAACTCACTGATACAGCTTATTATTCTACCAAAGTATTACTGGCCTGGTCGCGCATCGACCAAGACTAGAACATCAATGTCGCCGTGCAAGCGAACCAGGCTCAACGGCCCAAACTATCGGCCAAGACCACGATTCCCGGGACTACAATCCCCAGGAGTACAATCCCCGGGAGTACAGCCCCGATGATTCACCCCCACTGGTACAAGCCCCAATAGTACACCCCTGGGGTTCAACCTACAATGGGCAATTCTACCTTTAGGCTGGGCCCCAATTACAATTTCATGAACCCCAATGTACAGGCATTGGCCTTTACAATGGCGCCTGCTCAGGCCACTACCCCGGCCTTTAGCACCACACATTTCCAGCACGGCGGGTCGTTCCTCTTCCAGCACCAGACTTCCCTGACCTACGACCAGCCGCCGCAACAGCCTCGCTTCCCTCCCGGAAACTTGGCGCTGCCAGCCGGAATTCAGACAAGTTTCCCTCAGCAGTCTCCTGAGATCTCCGAACTGACGAGAACATGGGACAGCTGGGTATACGGGAATATGCTTGTGGACTGGTATCCAACCGCGGCACCCGAGCGCATCAAGTATTCGGAAATTATGCTTAATGCATTCAAAGTCAGGAAGGCTGCCGACCTGGCCCAGTATAAAAATTCGCTCAAGGCTGGTCTCACGGCCCTCTTGGCCCATAAGCCTGTCGACGTCGGGCCAGAAGACACTCTGGCCAACCTGTCCGAACTTACGGAACAAGTACGGCAGCGAATCCAGGCGGCCACCGGCGGACAGCCTCTAGACCACCAGAACATCGCAGACATCCCCGAAGCCGTCTTGAATTCGATCGTCTCCGAGCGCTGCGCGCGTTATGGAGAAGTGATGCTTCCGCTCACTGTGACTTTCGGCCCGGTCAGGTATACCAAGGCCATGGTCGTCTCCATGGGCAAGCGCCAGCTACTCGTCGCCAGTAAAGTAGAGGAAGAGCCCCTTACTTGGGCCACAGGGGAGGAGACTACGTCTTTGCTTACTCCAGCATGCACAATACTAAACAGGACGAACGATGCCGCTTCCGTTACGAAGGCCAGGTCCCTCGCCCGCAAAGAGAATACCGCGCAAGGCTTGCAGTCGTCCGGAACACGGTATTCCACATGCTTGCCAGGCTTCTCGCATTCGTCCACCCCGGCCTCGAGAATATCCTGCCTGTCATGCAAGAAGCGAGGACCGAATCGATCCACACCCTGAGGCAGTGCTACGAGTCAGCATTCCCTTCTCCCTACCAGCCGAGCCAAGAGCTCCGCGATTTCATCACCGCCAAGGTCATGGAGACAGAGGCCACAGTAGAGCTTGCGTGGCTCTTGGTCCAGGTAGACCAGGACACGCATACCGTGGACGACCACGCCTTCACCGCCATTCTCACAAAGCTCACCCAAAAGCCACTGAGGGATCTGGCCAACTGCTATCACCATCGCCAAAAGACGGCGGCGGAGAAGATCTTATTCGAGGAGTGCGAGTACAATGATAGGGTGGCCGTGTACAAAAATGGGAAAGTAAGTTTGCGACCCCCTGCCTCCTCCCGCACATTTGTCTTGCCCCCTGCTGCTGCGTTTTCGCAATTGATTTTGGGATCCCTTGATTGTTCTTGGGTTTCCCCGTGACGCGACGTCGTGAGTGGATTCCAAGAGGCGCCAAAAGACGTGTCGTCGGAATTTCCACGGCAAATCCCGTCGTGCCATTCTCGCATCTCGAGCTTTGGCCAATGAAACCCCGTTTTTGAGAATTTTCCCAGCGCCACATCAAAATTTGGTTTGACGGAACTTCAATTCTGACCACGCTTCTCCAGTCCTATCTCGACTTCGTCAACAAGTGGTACCCCGAGGCTCGTCAGGATCCTCTCGTCAACCTCTATAGCGGCCCACGAATCGCCGAGGAGCTGTTCCAGACCAACCTCGAGAGAATTTACCAGCTGGTGGCGCCGAAATTTCCTGTCTTGGCTCCCACACCTCCCATATCAGCAACCCCTTCCATCGAGGTCCGCCTCGTCGAGGCTCTCCTTCCAGTCACCGCTGCCCAACCGCCCGTCACCCCAGAAAGCGCTCCAGAACTCGTCGCGGCTCTAAACCCCCGGTATCGAGCAAGCCTGTCCCGGAACCCGGTAATAGTCTGTTGACTGACCAGACTGGCCTTGTTGGCGCCCCCGACTCGCAAGCCATCCCGCAACCCGACTCGGGCCCTGCTGTCATTGATCAACAGACCTCCGACTTGGATCTAACACCTCCCAACGCCGGCATCGCGCCCCTTCTCTTGCTGGTTCCCTATCCCCAGCTGCACCTATCCAGGCCCTTTTACTTTCTACACCCATTGGCCCTGATCTCGAATTAAACGGTGCCTTCCGGCAAATCAATAATCAAGTTGAAGAAACCATTGATCCCAGGCTCATTTGGAACTCTGACGCAACCGTCTACCCCAACTAAAGTTCAAGCTGGCCATTGCTTTTTCTACTTGGGCTTTTCATCTCTATCACAACATCACCATCTATCGATCAAAGTAGACATTCGGCTCCGAAGCTTCGAAAGCACGACACAAATTCTTTTACAACTTTTTTCCCTTTTTCCTTCCTTTTCACGTTTCGGCCATGACTAGCATTTCTAGCCTTCGAGGCGTTCTCGCCTCTGCCCCGCTGCAGCGGGCGTGGGGTTCCGCCTCCACCGTTGCGGCCTCCACCATCGCGCTCACGCGCTCCTTCACCACGACCAATTCGCTGCAGAAGAAGAAGAAGAAGGACAACAAACCCAAGTCGGAGGACTCCTTGAAGCTCAAGGCTCTCAAGGCGAACCTCTTCGCCGACCCTCCCCGCCTTTGCGCATGGCCCGCAACAGGTGGCTACGACACTGGACCATCCACCGGGCTTGGCTCCTACACCAGCGCCACGTCCGCGAAGCCCGTCAGAAGGAGCTCATGAGGATGCAGCAGGGCATGTTTGAGGCATGCGAGGAGCTGAGGAAGACGAGCGGACCTGGCTTGAGGCCGGAAGGATACCTCTACAGGGTTGGCATGGAGAAGAAGGGTGTTTACGGGCCCAAGGGCATTCCCATCGAGTACGCGAGGCTACAGACGGACACTCCTGCGCGGGAAGCCTGGAATCACAATTGGACGAGGTAACCCCCAAAGGGGCCTCAACAATGTTTTATCATCATCATCATGAAGTCTGTTATTGGTTAATCTGCTTCTTCTTTTTCTTGTTCTTTTTCTACTTTGTCGCCGCTACGGCCTTCTTGTATCCCCCTTTTTATCTCATGTAAGACTACATCTTTTACCGCCGCGCGCTGAAATAGACGGGTTTGGATTGGACTTCAACTGTTAAGAATAGGGTCGTTAGGAATTCAGTCTTTTTCCCTCTCTGTTGTGACGATGATCAACGTTATAAAAAGTCAATACAAGAAAATGTACATAAACCCATGGTTCAATCTAATGACGCCATGACATTTAAAGTGAACACATTCGAGGGCTTTGCCCCAGGAAACCACCTCTCTCATAAGAGCTTCACTCTGGTCCAACCCTCGTGCGTGTTGGCCGCTTACTCTTTATTGACTGGGTAGACTTGATTCTGAACCGCCATGTCTTGACGTGTACGCGACGAGGTTTCGACCAGAAACCAAAAGTAGGTAAACGGAAAGAAGAACCGAGGGGCAGATGGCGATCCTGGTGGTGCTTCTTTAGACCCTGGACTCACTGGCAAGAACCTGATGACCTCAGAAAAGGGAGGAACATCAAGGGGGGCCCTTGCATGTCTCGGAATCGGGAAAGCGGCCCGGCCCATCTCCTCCGGCCCAAGACTACGCCAATCTACGAACTCCCGCGCGTCGAAACGAAGGGTGGTTTAGGCAAGTAACAGACTCAGACAGGGAGAGGGTCGCTAAGGTGCGGGCGTACGATGATGCTGGAGGGCCATACCTGGAGGAGATGGGGATACGAAGCCGGTGTATCATTATGATCGAAAGAGAATGGGGCAGGCGTAGTCGAGGTACCCGGATCGTGAAAGCCCCTTGACTGACCACCTTGACATTGCATGTCTTTCTCTTCCACCGATATCTCTAGTCTGCTTTTCATTTTTTATCCTTGCCCCAGAATACGGGCCTAGTAGGACCCACATGCATCGAAATAGCACTCGAGCACCGAGGCCTTCGCCGTTGGGTTGGACGAGAGAGAAGACGTAGAGAAAAAGGAAAATGCCGTTAAATTTAGTTGTAGCGGAAGAGATTAAAAAGGCCGGGTCATATTGGACCAAACAAAGATATGAGAAAAGGAAAGAAGAATGACGTATCCCAAAACAGTGGTGGAAGGAAAAGGAAACAAGAAAAGGAAAACCAGATAGAATAACCCCGAGACTTTTTCCCCTCCCAGCCCTTGGTTCTCCATTTACAAGATGCATAGATATAAACGGCTTTGAAAAGCCGAGGAAAGACCGGCCTGATAAAAAGCAGCAGAAAGAAGAGATGTGTCGAGGGCGGTGCGTGGATTTTTTGTTTCCCTCGCAACATGGAATGAAATAAGAGGGAGCCTCTGCCACGTCTCAAACGGCTAGGTTTCTACTAACAAGAGAGGGACAGATGGTGAAAGGGGCCCGACCATGAATGGTTTCTTCTACGGTGACTCACTCAGGTGTGGCCGGCGCCCGTTGACAAATAGAAGAAAATGGGGAATCGGGAGGCGGACGGACCAAGAGCGCATGGCTGTGTCTCTCCAACCGAGAGCGCTGTGGTGTTGGGGCGGGTGGCGGACGGTGGGATCAACCGGTGCCAGCATCTAGGCATCTGCCTTACGAGGTTCTAGGCCTCTCAAGACTCGTGGTTCAAGAACCCCCGCAAAAGTGACGGGTAGGGTCTGCAAGGCAGAGGATGGTCGGTGGCGTCTTACAGCACAACGCAACAGCCACCTCCCTCGCCGTTCTCAAATGTTAAAAGTGCGGCCCGGGTGGCAGCCTCGAAAACATCGTCAACACCTTCACCGCTTAGGCTGGAGCATTCGAGATATCTTCGAGCGCCAATCTCCTTGGCCGCCTGATCACCTTCTTGAGGCGAAACAAAACGTAGAGACTTCTTGCGCTGTTCTTCAATGGCGACTGGGTCTTCGCGTAGGTCCTTCTTCAGGCCAACGAGAATAATGGGCACACCAGGACAAAGCCGAGTAGCCTCTTCCACCCACTAGATTGGAGACGCGCTGTTAATCATCAGGCAACCTTTGACAAGGAGACTCCTTGTATAAGCTCACCTTGTGCTTGACATTATCCAGAGAATCGGGGGTCTCGATGGAGAATCCGACTAAGATGACATGAGCTTTGGAGTATGCTAGAGGCCGCAACCGCTCGTAATCCTCTTGTCCCGCCGTGTCCCATAGCGCGAGCTGGACGGATTTGCCATCGACCCTACAATCAGTCACGTAGTTTTCAAACACGGTCGGTATCTATGGCAGGTGACAAGTCATCATCAGCATCTTTTCTCAGAATCGCTAGCGCAGCAACACATGGGTTGCTCTTCTCGAGTGTTGGGATTGAGACGACTCACGTAGTTCTATGACAGTAAAATTAGCAATGTACTTTGTAACAAGGAAGGCGACAGCGGCAAGTGCACTCAGGAGAAGAAACCTACTGTAGGAAATAGCCTAGCGTAAAGACGCTCAAGAGACTGGTCTTTCCACAAGCGCCATCACCAATAATCACTAGCTTCCTAAAGTGGTCGGTCAGTCTTAGGAGCTCATATATGATCCGCAAAACATGCAGATGCCAAAGCGGCTGTCAAGACCAGACACAGGCTGCGCGACAAGGGACAAGGCTGACACCTCTCCAAAGGGTTTGGGATGGCAAGATAGGCAGGGTATGGTAGCAACACTTTAGCGACCAATGGTGGGGGAATATGACAACGTACCTTCGGATAGCGTTATTCGGGCTGGTGGCGGCCATGGCCTGCTTTAGAGGGATGCTGAGCCCGGTGGGGTGAGAGGAGGGGCGGAGGAAGAATCTTTAGCTGGTCGGTGTGCGCCTTTTGTGGTTGAATAGCTAAAGATCGCCGTCTTCTGCAGTTGGGGATGCGTAGCAATTCTTTCCAGCCTGAAATGCGTATTCGACCGGACCGGGGCCCGTTGAAGTGTCGTTCGGAGAGGATAAAGATTTGTTGAGAGAAAAAGTGGGAGGGGGAGGATCGGAGTGTCTTGCTCCCCTCAGGTTCCACAATTGAGAACTTCACGGTGTGAAAGCAGTTCGCGGCAAAAGGAGATTTCTATTTTTTGGTTATAAAAAAGGAGAGAGGCAATTCAGTTGACAAGGTAAGTTGCGGTGGAGGTGCGACGTCGAGATCTACCCGAATTCGGCGAGCGGACAGGGAGAACGAGGAGGAGGATGGGGATGTCGAGTGATTGAAAAGGAATCGCGGTGGGTCGATCGATGTTTCGAAGCGGGAACGAGGGGTTCAAATAGATGATGTTGGGAGGTGGCCAAGGAAGAAAAATAGTTGGAGAAAGAAGGGAATTGGCAACGACAGAGTCTGGCGGGTGTTCTGTTTTGCGCGGGCGTCGACGTCGTGTGCAACTTGGGGGCCGACAGCAGGAAAGAGGATGAGTTTATGAAGCTGCAGGTGGAGACAAACACGAGGGTGTCGGGAAGTGATGCTGTGCAAGGGCCAAGGCTAGGCGACAGACGTTTCGGCTTCCAGGTTAGGCTTCGGGTCCTCCTCGCCTTGACGTCTTAGGCAGTGTTCTTTGAAGCGGGAGGTCGACGTTAAGCCAAGGACAATAAGGACAATGGGAGGTGGATGCCGTTTCCACCAAGTGGGTTGTGCCTTTCTTCAAGCCCCGTTGCGTATTACGGTTTACAGTGCAGGGCGTTGATAGGAGGGGGGTCAGCCTTGCTTCCTGATTTCAATGCGGGAAGATTTTCAAGCTGGTCGGAGATGGACCAGGGGATCGGCGGCTCGTCCAGGGGGTGGGGGAGTAATCGCGGTTGGGAGATATCGATCGTGCAGATGCGTGGTTGGCTCTCACCAGGGAGGACGAAATTCAGTCGTTCTTGGACGCGGCGGCCGTGAATACGAGACGAATCTAGCGTAGGCTAGACCGGGGCTGGTGGACAGGTCGCAGCAGAAAGGAATTTTGGTGACCTCAGCGACTCCAGGGGACCTTCCCATCGTCATTGTCCTCTATTTCTGGACTAGGACTGCAGGTGGGCTGGGCTCGCGGGTAAATCCCGGGGCGGTGCTGAGCCACAGTTGGGGACCCATAGGATCCATGGATCACTCAGGGCAGCGACAGCGATGAAGAGTGGACTCGGGCTCTGGTTGGCCAATGTCAGCACGCGCCAAGCCTGCTCAACATCGTTCGGCGATTTGATCAAATCGGGCTGTTTTGGCAGGTCCCATCCCGCCAAAGTCCTACGCTGGACAAAGTACGAAGTACCCGACCCTTCCAGTCGAGCAGTGAACATCAAATTGAAGACTGTGAACTCGGCCAGCCAGGGGTTCTTGCAGGATGGACAGCGGGGTGGGCTCAGGCGCGGGCGGCGGCGGGGTTTCAATCCGCATCAGTCCCATCAAAATGGGACGTAATGCCCCGGAAAAACACACAGATTATTCAATGTTCTCTAGAATGGATACGGGTTAGTTTCGAAAGAGGTAGAGCAAACCTGGTTAGGTTTTAGTTCAAGACTGCGGCTGACCTCGGGACAGCAAGCCGTCTCTTCTTGCGCGAGTATCTCTATGCCATGGGGTAAAAAAACAAAACAACTCGAGGACACACTCCAACACGAGTTCAGATCTTCAGCTCATCAAGCAAAGATGCATTCTTGCCGAACTAGCCTTTCGCTTATACTAAGCAAATATACAACCTGCAGGATAGAGGGCCCCTAGCGCGGAGGAAAGTTGAGCGCGCCAAAGTGAAAAAGAAAAAAAGAAAAAAGGAAAAGAAAAGAAAAAGAAAGAACCAAAAAAATGAACAGAAGCCTCGTGTGTCTTTCCCAGCTATGATTAAAGTCCCCTACATCTTGGGAGACAAAAGCGCCCTTCTTCTTCAAGTGACCGTCCTCTCACTCAGACGACTGAACAGACAGCACCCATGTCTCCCAGTCCCCGTCACATTACGAGCTCGTCGAGACGTTTCCCTAACCAGTTGATACGGACCGCGTAGCCATCGTCAAAGAGAAAAGTGGGTTCCAGGTCAGCGGAGGGAGCCCATAACGTTCACCGTCGTGAGGTTTGTTGTTCCTCGAGATGCGGTCGTGCGGATGAAGCTTGCCCAAAGACTGGCTACCATCTCGCAAGGAAGAAATCCCGAATGCTGCAGGGCTCCACCCTTCTCGTAGCGCGCTTAATTCAACGCGACTAAACTCACATTTCGTTGACGCCATTACCCTCCTCAATTCCTCGAGTCTCGTATTATCTGGTTCTCGACCCCGGATCCGACTCGGTGGGTTTTGGCGGGTACGAACTTTCCTATGGTCGCCCTATGGAGCGGGGACTCGTGCTTTTCCGAGAGGCAGCCGAGCCGTACCTGCACAGGGCATCAATGCCACGGCGGCCCCGAGAGCCCCTGACTAGTCATGTTCGGGTAAATCTGACCATCCATCAAAATGTCGCCTATTCAGTAGTTGAAGGTGATGGGAAGGGGACGGGCGGGCGGCCATGAAGTCGTGACACGACCCAAGATGATGAGAGGTTAATTCTAGTGCTTAGGCTGGTCCTCGCTCACCATATTCCCGGTCCCCGGAATGCAGCATTGTTGCCGTTTTTGGTTCTTCATCCTCCGCCACGAGCCAGCTGATGCATAGAAAATAATGGATCCATATGCAGCAAATATCGCCTTGGCTTCGTGTTCTCCTCAAGAGGTTGGCAGCGTGAGACCCAATCCATCCAAGCCCAACCCTGTCAATTGCCCACAGGGAGCAGAACCATCCCCTCCCACTGCATGTGAGCTGGCCTAAGCTTGGGATTATTCGACCAGTGACCAATGCGAGCTGCAGGGACGGCACTTGTTATCGCACCTGCACTCGTCGAGGAGCGAAAACGACCAAGCTCTAGAGGTGGGCAAGCTCTCGAAGAACTAGTCCCCGAGGCCGTTGATGCAGAAGACTCTGCCCCAGTAACCTCGAAAAGCGCCGAGTATTTGGATGAGAGAGGTGAGGCCATTGCGATTTATCTGACTAAGGGCCGATTGGACCCAAATGCCCGATGCGACATGGTCTCGCTGTAGTCTCAGAGAGAGAAGACACTGGCCCATGCATACCATCAAGGGATCGACAAACATGATCCGTGCAGAGTTGAGTTGAGTATCAGTGACGACCATACACTGCAGAGACGTATTCCGATATCTAAGATATGGTCACAACTTCATAACCGCGAGACGAGACCACCTCCCAATTCCCAGCTCTTCCCGGGAACTCGGCTACGACACACTTGGAAGAGGATCCAGATCTACCAGAAAGGAAAAAAGAAAAAAAAGAAAAGCTCAAAGACGACATGAAACGCCATTCACGTTCTCCTTGTTAACCAACCTCTCTTGAACTAGCCTTCCAAACTGTATGGCGGGGTATGGTGTTGGCAAGGAACGATCAAGGCCCCATGTAGCAATAGAGCTCTCTAGTGCATTCAAGGCTGCATGTGCGAGTCTTGCAGGGCACCGTCCCGACTTTTGAAGGCATGTCTTGCAGCGAATACATCACGTCTTTGTGACCCAGCGCTCTCAATGTCGAGAATGTCTCGACTGCTGCAGTATCGGCCGGCTGGATCTGACCTGTAGACTCTAACCGCAGGCGCTAAGCCGGCTTGAAAGCGCTAAATTGAACTCCCGCTTCCGGCTTCCGGCCTCCCACTTCGACCAAGACAACAGCCAGCTGCCCTTGACCAGTCGTCCAAGAGGGAATGCGCGGATGGTTATTCCTAGGAGCACGAGTAAGTGCCGTGCGTCATGTAAACACTATATCTAAAAGGTGACCTACCGAAGACATTGTTCCGCGAAACAACAGGTTGCGAGGGCATCCTCAACAACAGGCATCATCTAGCGCATACACACTCATCACCATTCCACAGAATCACCCCACTCATCCTCTTCCCACGAGGCCATTGGAGATCCTTTCACAGTACTAGCCTATACTCAAGGAGTGAATGGAACAGAAAATTAGAGAGTATGAACATCAAAAGTTCCGCCAGGTACAAGAGAACAAAAAGAAAGGAAAAGAGAAAACGAACCCCGAATCGTATTGTGGGGAAAGTAAACGAAGGGAAATGGCTAAAAGATACGCAAACATATAGCAGTCATCAAAGACCCACTGGCCCATGGCCGATATCCGACATGAGTTGTCGAATCTTCCCGGAAGAGTACCCACATCGTCCGAGACGGTAGGGGGCTACGGCAGGGAAACCGGGGAGCGCGCTCCTATCGCGAACCCTCACCCACGCAAGCGAGGCCGGCCATTTCCTAACATGGCGTTGATCGTCATACTAGCCTCAGCTTTCGCAGTCCTGCCGCGGACCGAGGCGCCCCAGACATGGTCTAGGGCGTCGTTAGCGAACAAAACCAAGGACATGAGATGACCTCCCGTTAGCTGCTCTTGAGAAGGGTCCCCGGGCGACGCTATTCTCCACGGTTCGGAACTCGCAAGTAGGACATCGGAGATTCACACTAGACGCTCTCGCTCTCACTCTCTGCTATGTCGAGACATTGTAGCTGACTGGAACCTAAAAGCAAGGACGTCTATTCTGCTAATCGAGGGTAGGGAGGAAGGGTTCGACAAACCGGGGGCCATGATTGAAACCTCGGTTTGATGAGATGAGGGGCTGGCAGCTTTCAGGAGCTGTGTCAATGTGGGTAAGAGATATGAAGCTCCAATCCTCGTGAGGAGGTTGATATGGATGACGGGGAGCAAGACCAAGATATGAGAGATATCGGGAATCTGGGCCTTCCGGGCGAGTATATAAGTCCTCGGTTGCCCCCTGCTGTCCCGTAAAAGAAAAGAAGCTCATCCACACATCGGCAGTCACTCATCTTCCCGTTCCGGTCTCCAAGAAAGGCAAGCTCTTAAGCTACTCGATATCATCTCAAAGTACGTTTTCTGCTTCGGTTGCCGTAGGCCATATTGCCATCTCAGTAGCTAACTACTTGCAGCAGATTACCCATCTTCCTAGCCAGGCAAAATGAACACCATGAACAACTTCATCGCCGTTTTCTTCATCCTCATCGCGCTTGCGTTTGCTGCGCCCACTCCTATCCTCAACGGGGTTGGGATTCCTGGCTTCGACGCGACTAAGGTTCTCCAATTAGAGCAGCTGCTCGCAGAGCTTCAGGAGGTTTCCCTTAGCCAGAGCACTAGCGTTGTCCCTGCTAGTATCCTCGGGACGTTCCTCGCGATTATTTCTAGTGCTGTCGGCAAAGTGCCCTTCGCTGGCCTGGTTTTCGGGCCCATCCTTGCGTCACTTGGCGGTCTCCTCGGCGGCCTTGGCAGCTAGGTTGCCACCATCGCCTGCTCAACAACTGGGCGCATTGCTCAGGACCGCTGCAGCCGCCCCGAACGTCTTAAGATTAGGACTTGTCCTAGATCCACATGCGAGATGCTATAGAAATGGACGCACTACTTCGAATGAGCTAATAAAGACATTTTGATTTTATTGTGAGCCAGATCCTCGGATCGAGCTGCCCGTTCTACCGTGACTCTTCGTAGGCCCTTGAAACAGGGAGACTTGAGATTTCTAATTTCACGCCCGCCGCATGACGGTGTGTTCAGCTTGTTTTGGTGATGTGGGTGAGGGAACTGTCAGTGGTCGAACTCGCGCTGGGCAGAGACGAGCCATGCACTCTTCGAGGACGAAGCTGAAGTAGCTGATTTGAGCATGGTTGGAATGGTGGGAGAGGCTTCAGACACCAGTTCCGACTTATTATTGATAAAGTAGTATCCTTCACTAGCAAAACGACCGGGTACGTCATCGAGAAGTACATGGCTTCATGAGGTTGTCTACGGAGCACTTAGGGGCTCACCCTGAACTTTGGGGGCACCCAGTTCTGGATCTCAATATTTATTTCTTAAAAAAATTTGCCTAGATGGGCCAAATTTGCTGTTTCATATGGAGGCAGGAGATGATGTTGCCGTCAAAGGTGTTGATATACAGGACCTGCTCACAACCAAGCTATCTGTAACGCTATGTCTGGTTGTTTAATGAATGGGCCTTAGCTTGGTTGAATCGATGATTCGCAACACATCGAGCAGACCCAAGCTGAATCTGGTTTGTGACCTCTCTGTCTTGACGGGAAGTTGAAGATTAGGGAATGAAATGGTACCGCTGTACCCAAGCAGACAGAAACTGCAGCATCGTTTCTCATTTTATATTGATCTTTCCCATTTGACGAGGAGTGGCCTTCGTGGTTAGCATTGCAGGTCGATCATTCGCGACGTCGATTTTAAGCTTGACCGTTGACGTCTGGTTGCCATTTGATTGCCAGCCCCCTCGCACCGCCCTGGAGGGTGGCGTTCGTGCACGTGATGCGACACAAGTGGGCACCAGGCTCTGTTTGTTCAAACTTGGAAGTGCTCAGAAGCCACGAGTCCTGCTCCTTCCCGCATCCCAGATTTGGTTCGATGATGCTGGCGCGGCTGGGAAAACTAGCCCGGCACAGTACGAAAAACCAGGAACAGAAACATCCTGGTACTTCGACGAGGACCTGTGCCTGGTGCGTCAGGACATTGTGGTTGCAACGTTTGCAGACTGGGTCGACGGAAGCTGCCTTTCTTCTTCACAAGGCTTCGAAACTAGATATTTCTCGAGGCATTCCTTTCACGCCGAGCTTCAGCCACTTTGCTAGTTTTCTCTATGACCTTGGCACTCTTTGTACGAAGTAAATAGGCCCATGAAAAGAAGATCAATTGATGGTGATTCCTATGATCTGGGAGGGGTCTATGAGGTATTCTCAACCTACCATCAAATTGGAAGCCTCCCTTGCTCTTTCTCCTGGAGGCCTTGAGAGACCTGGGATGTCACTGGAATGAATAGGCATTGCAGCTTCCTCTCGACCTCTCCTCATCTCAAGTGCTGGTGAAGAGAGGATAGAACCCTGATACATTCCAGCACATGAATGTGCCTTCCCTGAATAGGAAAAAGAAGAATCCTCCCTAATTGCCTGGTGAAGTTCCCCCAACCTTCTCTCGGGAAACGATTGATGATTAAGATGATTGAGAGCCTCGTGAAAAATTTTAGTGGGTGTAAAGGAAGAAGGGAAAAAACTTCCTTCGTATGAAGGTTTTCTTCACTTAGGATTCTCATACTAATTTCGAAGGCACGTCTTTGCCTTGGAATGCCACCGGTTGATCCTCGTTGCAACACTTAGTATCTACATTTTTCTTCTTCTTTTCACCCCGCTCATCCTTTCACTCTTCCCTAGGATTCCAAAGCCTCTCTCCTTCACCTTCTACTGATGCTAGGAAGTGGACTAGGGGATGGACACCTGGAGATATTGAGGTATTGTCACAGTGCGAACTATCCATCCAATCGTTGCTCTAGCCGCACGGCAGTGCAAGGGCCTGCAGTAAGTAACCCACAACCTCACCTCATCACTAACCGGCTCTCAGGGTTGTTTCCAACATCGAAAACCATCTTAGACTTCATACCTCGAACCATACGCCCGTCTAGGTCTCGAGAGCCGCCGCTTCCTCAACACTGCCAAGATCTGCTGGCTCCGTGACGATAGCGTTCGCTCGTGACGGGTCCCGACCTAAAATTCCGCTCGAGCAAGCCTTGCCACGACACCGAATTGCCGAATCTTTGGACCTCCCTCCCCAAAGTCGCTCGACCTCTTCCCTCTACCCCTCCGACCCGATTCTTCCTCCCATGACTTAGCTACCGCGTGAATCGGTGTACGCATCTCACGATAGTTGTTTAGAGATGCCCGCGAATAACCGCCTGCCAGCGACTCAACCCTCATCTCCTCCAACCAGCAAGAACGTATCCAAATACGCCAACAAAGACGGCTCTAAATTTATCGCTCTTCCTAAGGCTCCGATAGCCTCTCTACCTCCACAGAGCGGCCCGCCCTCTCCGAATACCATGCCTGCGCCCCAGAACCCAGTGTTGGGTTCTTCCAGCAACGGCCCCCTCAAGGCGTTAACCCAAAAGCAGAAGCGCAGACAGAAAAATGCCGCCAAGGCAGCGGCAGCGGCAGCGGCGGTAGCTCCGACCTTGGTGGCTAACGGCCACAGCCCACCTCCCACTCCCTCGGACCCTCGGGAACCTCTGGCCGCAGCTGCCTCAACACCCTCTGCCTTGGACACGGATGAGGTGCCGACCTCCTGTCCCGCGCAGTCTCTCCCTTCTGGCTCGCAAACCCGTATCCCCCTTCAAAATGGCGTACATGAACCGTTCGATATCTCAGCGGCGCAATCTCAAGCCAAGGGAAAGAAGACTAAGCGAAGCAAGCGAAAGAAGAAAGCCATGACCGATGGGGAGATCTCGCCCACGAGGTCTCGCCCCGTTACAAGACTTCCCGATCTCGAGACGACGAGCGGTTTTGGAACACCAATACGAATGAAGAACGCGAGCGTATCAAGAACTTCTGGATTAATCTGACCGAGGAGGAACGCAAAAACTTGGTCAAACTTGAGAAAGACACCATCCTCTCAAAAATGAAGGAACAGCAGAAGAATACGTGCAGCTGCGCGGTATGCGGACGAAAGCGGAGCGCTATCGAGCAGGAGCTCGAGGGCTTGTATGACAGCTACTATCGAGAGCTGGAAAACTACGCTAATCGCGCGGATGGGTCTTTACTTGGCGGTCCTGGTAACTTCGCTCTACAAACGCGCGAGAACATGGTGGCCTATCATGCGGGAATACCCCCAAGCTCCCATGGGTAGCGATGCGCTTCGTGGCGTTGACGACGAAGAAGACAGCTACCCCGAAGAAGAGCTTGAAGATGACGACGATCCCTACAGTGAAGAGGACATCTCCGACGACGACCGTCGAGAAAATGACCAGGCAATTTCCGATTTTCTTGATTTTGGTAACAGCCTCCAAGTTAAGGGTAAGGAGCCGGGTTTTCTCCCTTTCCAGCCACCGTGCCTTTTTGACCTGCCGTGGCGTCTCCATTTGCTAACTTTTATAAACGTGCTACAGGCGGGATTCTCACGGTTGCCGACGATCTTCTGAAGAATGATGGAAGGAAATTCATTGAGATGATGGAGCAACTCGCAGAACGTCGCATGGCCCGGGAAGAAGGTGTGCCGTCAAGCCGCTATCCTCGGATGATGAGCCATCGAACGAATGGCTCATACCTATCCCCGCACGATCATGGTCACGACGAGGATGACGATCTTGATCACGACCACGACCACGACCATGATCACGACCATGACCACGATCACGATCACGATCACGATCACGACCACGATCACAGCCATGACCACGACCATGATCATCACCACCACGACCACGACCATGATCACGACCATGACCACGATCACGATCACGATCACGACCATGACCACGACCACGATCATGACCACGACCATGGCCACCCTCATACCCATCATGGCCACGTACACAACCATGACGGTCACCACGTTCATAACCACGTCCACGATCATCCCCACGTACATCCTGATGATGAAGGAGATTACGACGATGAAGACGAGGAGGATTACGATGATGACCCAGAAGGCGACTATGACGATGATGAGGACGAGGTCGAGGTATGCATCATGCTACTGTCATGTTCTCCCGTATCAGTTCCGGGATTGTTTCTTCGATTGATAGCTAACCCGTAATTTAGGAGGCGATGACCGATCAGCAGCGCATGGAGGAAGGCCGGCGGATGTTTCAAATCTTCGCCGCCCGTATGTTCGAGCAGAGGGTGCTTAGTGCTTATAAGAAAAACTGGCAACTGAACGAACGGAAAAGCTGCTTCAGGAACTCGACGACGAAAAGCGCCAGGAGGAAGAACGAAAGGCGCAAAAGGCGAGCAAAGCTGCCAAGAAGCGTGATCGTGAAAAGGCAAAGAAACTCGCAAATCAGGAAGCAAAAGCTAAAAGGAAGCCGAGAAGGCCGCCGAGGAGGCCGCAAAGAAGCGTGAGGCAGAGAGGCGCGTCGAAGAACAGCGCAAACTCCTCGAAGACAAGCGAAAGGCGAAGGAAGCACAGAAGAGAAAGGAGGAGGAGGAGCGCGATCGCAAAGAAGCGGAGCGTTTAAAGCGCCAACAGGAGCAAGAACGCAAGATCAAGGAAGCCCGTGATGCCAAGGAACGCGAAAAGAGAACCAAGGAAGAACAGCGGCAGCGGGAGAAGGAGGCTCGCGAGACGAAGGAGCGCCAGGAACGTGAGCAGAAGGAACGCCAAGTACGAGAGCGCCAGCAGCAAAAGGAACGAGACGCTCGGGAACGAAAGGAGCGTCAAGAGACGCAGGACCGTGAGCGCAGGACTAGAGATCCTCAGCTGAAGGGTGATCGCGAAGGCAAAGAGAAGCAAAAGGGCCAATCCAAGTCCACTGCATCCAAGGGAGGTTCTGTCCAAGCGGCGATCCCCAAGGCGGCTGCCGGAAAGAAGCAACCCACCGGGCAGGCGGCGGTTCAACAGCAGGCAAAGCCTGAGAAGCCTGTGGCATCTCAGTCCGTTCCTCTTCAGCACACCCCGTCACCCGCGGCCTTTGCTTCGCCCAAGGTGGCTGTCGCTACACCCATTCTTCACACGAAAACGACCCACCCCATCAGGTCACGAACATCATCTCAGCAGCACGATGTCTCCCTCCCGCCTGCGGTCCCTCTTCCCCAAGGAGCCTTAGCTAGTCACACAGGATCTCCACATTTGGCAACGCCAGACCATTCCAGCCCTGGCCCCGCGATCCAGGCCCCTTCCCTGCTCTCCGGCATGCCGCAAACCGGCTCCCCGTCTATACAGTCGCTTCGCGGAGTTGAGAACACGCCACCTCCTCTTCCACCGTATGGTGTAGGGCGCGGCCTGGGCATCCCCCTCCGCCCGGATTTGGCCATGTCCCCCTTCCGCCAGGCTTACATAATGGCCAGATATTCCCCCAAGCCAGGGAGCATTTCGATATGGTCCAGAATTTATGCCTCTACCTCCTGGCCTGGCTAGCCCTCTCCCACGCGTACCTTACGGAGGGCCTCCCCCGCCAGGGTTTGGGCAATCTGCTGGGGATCCGATGCTCGGCCTAAACCATGCGTTTGGCCTCCCCTCGGAGATGGCTGTTGGCCAGCAATCGCGACAGCTCTCCGGTAGCTTGGATCCCTCACCACCGCCACTTGCCGGGCAACCTATTAGCCGGCCAGCGCCTATTGGCCGCCCGGCGAGCGTTGTTCATGGACAGCGTCCTCTCGATAGACCAGCACGAGAGGCATTTGACGAGGAGCAGGAGCATTTGGGGAGTCGTGCACTTTTAGACGATGATCCCGAGGAGCACATTAGTCTAGGCCAAGGGTCGATCAGGCAGAGGGTTTCCGTCCCAGGACCCAATATCCGAACCCAATTCCCCTCTGGTGGATTTATGGATGCCCCTGGCTTTGGCTCGCCATTTCACCCGCAATGGGGTGGCGCCGCAGCCGCTTTTAGTCCCCAGTCGGGGTTAGGCAGTTCGCTATGGTCAGCTCCAGGCGCTCAATTCGGCGCTCCCGGGGTGCCACCGGTGGCTCAGCTTCGAAGTCGGCCTCAGGTCAATGCTGTCGCTCTCCGTCACATGCTTTGCCTGGCCTGCCAGGCCCTAGCCGACACTGGACAAGCTACGACGAGTGGCTACGTTGATTTTTCCGCCGTTAAATCCACCATTTTTCAGGGCTTGGGCCACGACGTGGCGGACGGGGAGCTTCTCGCCATCTCCGAAACGGAAGGGAATGGGCAGAATGGGGGCGGAACTTTTGACAGCACAATGGACTCTGGGCGACGGTTAATCAGGTGGGTGACGGCTGGTGGCCCCGAGAAGGCGCCACATCATCCACTTGGGGCACCAGGAGATTTTGGAAGCCCCTCGTGAGCAGTGCCGCTCCTGGTGCCGGGCGAGGGTCATAGGAGACCGTAGGGCCGTCACCTCAACGAGCGATCAAACTAGCGCCTGTTGTGGTTGGGAACTCAGTGGAGAATGGTGGAAGGCGTGCATCGGCATTGACGTCCGGCACGACGCTCACAGACCCTGAATTTACCCCCAAGACTGGCCTCAATCCCAATGCGCGGCCGTTTACCAATATAGTTCCTTCATCTGTGTCCCCGCTTTCCGGGGTTATCACACAGACTAAGCCTACCTGTACGAGTACGAGCTTACGTACCACCTTAACCAAAGACTTTTCTTCGAAACTAGGCGCCCATGGCGAGAATAAGAATACCGCTATGAGACAAGTCCAGGATCTCATCGGGATTCCTGACATGGAGTCCACATTGGACCAAAACAAGAAGCTGTCTGTGACTTCAACTGCAGAGCCAGTCTGGAATACTACCGAGGGCCTGACTGCACTTGGAACGGAAGATGCCCCTACGGATCTGGCAGCCGATCCGCGTGATAGATACGTTCTTAGTGATGCTTTGCTGGCGACTGGCCAGCTTGCCCAAGGCACCACCCACATAGACCTGGACCTGGCTTTTCCCCCGGACCTCTTGGCCTATTCCCCGTGTTGCTCCTCCCCTCCAAAGCGCTTCGTGGGGAAGAGCTGACACTCAGTTCATACACACACAGGAGAATGGTCAGCCCCGAACATGGGACGATTTCTGGGCAAGGGCGACGTCCCGCCCCAACTGCTCCATCCCACCACTGCTGGAAGACCATTACTAGATGTGCGGGTTGCAATCTCAACTTTGGAGGGTGGCAAAGCAGAGACCCAGCTGTTTTCCCCGTCTTGTAACCCGCGCCACGCAAAATCTCCAGACCTGGAGCGTGCAACGCCAGTTAGCGGGCCTTGCCTCAATGCATGGTCCACAAGTCGAGGATGACCTTAGGCCTGTTCGTGGTGGCTGGGTCGAGGGATAGATAGGCGGCTCCTGAGTCTATCGTCAAGTCGGGCGACGCGCATGGAAATGTTACGAGGTGATGACGCTGTCTTGTCGAGGGGACTAGGTGATAGCTGGCTCCCCCTCTTTCTCAGCGCAGGGCACCATTTGTTTGAAGGAGGGGAGTAAGAAGAGATGAGTGTACGGAACGGGCTTTGCGGGAGAAGACGTGAGGTCGGACATGGCCTTTAATGGCTAGCACTATTAGCACAGCTATGCTGCCTTATAGGAATGGATCAACATCCATCGATAGTAAACACAGATGCTTGAAAGCCTACTCCCTACTGCACCTCGTATGTGCTGTTTCAACGACAAGATCATACTAGTTAATTATTGCCCGTTTGCGAGTTTCACATGTTACTTGTATTCCCTCGGTTTCCTCCTCTTCCTGGCCTGTAACGAAAGGGGCGATGGGTGGCCTTGGACCTAGTTGTCGCATAACACATGTAGTGGCCGTTCCCCCTTCGCTTGTATTACTGGTGAAAGAGCTACTTGAGAAGGAAAAGTGACGGCTATACGACGCCGTAGCAATCGATATCCTTGTGCGCGATTACAGGGCAGTTATCACGATGAGAGAGAGAGAGAGAGAGAAAGTAGCGTCCAAAGATTGAAATCCGTTTTCTACATGTATGTGGAAGGGAGGGAAGCCCAAGAAACGGCAGCCCATTCCAAATGCGTTTCGTTAATGGCGACAAGATAATAAACAGGGAGGAAACATTCCAGGAAGAAGATGGCAAGTTAGGTAGACGATGTATAAAAAAGAAAAAAAAAGAAAAACGCAACCGAAAAACAACAACCAAAGGGGCAAGTCCTAGGATCGAGCCAACACTAAACAGACGGTGAGAGTCAAGGAAAAAAATTGAACAGGAGAGCGAGAAAAATTGTCATTAAATGTACCAGTTTCAACCTTGCGCCTTTTGCAAACATCTCTCTCCTCGCCTCCGCCCTCAACAGCAGCAGGCTTTTGCGGCGAGCCAAAAAAAAAAAAAAGTTGTTGACTGCCACGATCCTAATTGCGATGAGGGCCGTTTCGACCGAACTCAAAACACTCCCTTACTTCCCCGTGCATGCCAAGTTGCGCACGCCAAGTTGCGCATACACGAGGACACGTGCGAAGCTCAATCGAGCTTTGCACCAGCCCTCCGACGGACGAGCCGCACCCTATGACACTCGAGACTCGAGATCAAAGGCGCCTAGTACCTGGTCTGGTCCTGGAATGGGTCGTTCTGGGGCGGGGCGCCACCCTCGGGTCCGTAACCCTGGGTGTTACCGGGCTGGCTGGTCATGAGGGGTTGCCTGTCGCTGACGTTGCGGGCGCGAGTTCCGGCGCTCGAGGCCTTTGCAATGGCAGCAGCCTCAGCCTTGGCGGCGAGCTTCTTTTGCTGGGCCCTGTCGCGGCAGCAGAAGTAGGTCATCATACCGATGGAGAGGACAAGGGCGGAGGCGAAGATAATCGAGACGATGATACCGCTCGTGTCGAGCTTGTTGACCTTCTCCATGCAGGTGGTCTGGCCCTTGGAATCCATTCGGCAGAGGTAGCCGCTCAGGCACTTGACCTTCTCCATGGGGCGTTCCTCGCAGTTGCCTTCGGGATCGCAAATGCTCTCCGTGACGGTGCTGGTTTGGTAGCACTCGGTGCCCTGGGAGGGCTTATCGAGGTCAGTCACCGTCTGAGCGCCAGTGATGCGGGCGGGCGTAGCGGCTGTGGTTGTCGCGGGGTCACCTCGACGGCCTTGTCCTCGACGGTCTGCGCAGGCGTGGCCTCGTCCTCGGTAGGAGTCGCCTTGTTATTGACGGTTTGAGTGTTGGCAGCAGCCTTGGTGTTGGCGTTGCCCTTGCTATTGTTGGCGGGCTTCTCTTCTTCTTCTTCGGTTGGCGTTTCCTCCTCCTCTTCGGCGTTGTTGTTGCTGCTTCCACCACGTTGCCTCCGTCGAAGTTCCTTGCCAATGGGCTGGTTGGTAGCATCTTCGCAAAGGTAGATGATGGCGGAGGCATCAAGAGCCGAGTCATCGGCGCTGCAACCGGCGTTCAGCAGACACTGCTCGATATCGGACTGGATGGAGCCTTCGGTCAGGGCGGCGAGGCAGCTTTTGGTCACGGTGGCGTCTCCGCAGCGCGAGGCGACGGAGAGCCCTTCAGCCTGCCCATGCAGACACCGCACCGCATGCTCAGACAGAGCAGATACGGCGGGGAGGAGAACGATGGATGTCTTGGAGAACCGCATTTTTTTCTTTTGCCCTTTTGGCTTGGTAGATGGTGTTGGGTATCAGAAAGGGTGGATGGATTACTCGACGAGGGGCGGGGATTCCCTCAGGGGTTTATTTTAGGCAAGACGCGGAGGAGGCGGTTGCGGACAAAACCGTCGGGTCAAGAAAAGGGGTTTCGCGGTTGGAAGCAGACCGATCGTAGTCGTGATTTCTACTTTTCGGCTTGCGTGAAAACCGATAGAGAGTTGAGATGGGCCGAAGAAAAGACGAGGCAGAGGTTTTTGGCGGATGGAGGGATGAAGAGATTAATTTTTTTCTCTCCTTGTCTGGAGGCCTGGGCTGAGCCTGCAGGGATATTCAGGGGCGCCACTTCGAGATTGGGCGGGAAAGAGGCGGCTGGTGAGGTGAGCGTCGGGTTAGTCGGCTGTTTGCCCAATATCTCGAAGCGAAGCGAAGAAGCGAGAAAAGGATAGTATACAGTCTCCCTAACGAGGGGGAAAATATGATTCGAACAAATAAACACAGCAACACAAGCATAAAATGCAAAGAAGAAGATCGAAGAGAAGAATGGATGCAGAGATCGTCGAAGACTTGGTGGAAAGGGCCAGAGGGCATTAGATGAAGCCGCGTTTTGGGCCCGGTACTTGCAATTTTGGTCGCCCAGCAAGCCCAGCACAGAAAGGGGGCTGAGGAGCTGAACCAGGCTGTGAGGCGCACGCACGCATGCGATGGAAGGGGGCAGGATCGCGTTGTGTGGGTATTCGCCAACAGGACGGAGTACTTGGGGGTACCTTGCTAAGGCCCAGGATCGGACGAGCCAATATTATGAGCATGAGCCAGAGCTGACTAGGCCAAGTAGGCCAAGTAGGCCAAGGGGCTGCGTGCCTTCGCTCCTCTTACGTGAAGACTACCGAGTACACTCTGACTGATCCATTAAATTGGAATGGATCTTCCTGCTCATTTCTTCGTATGGCAAGGCAAGCCTGAATGGACTTCAGGGGGCGCAAAGCCATCCACGCCGCTTGGCCTGAGGTTGAAGGTTCCAGTGCAGTGCACAGGAAAACGATGGAATCAATTGATCTGATCCTAGAGGTAGTGCTTAAGGGACCATTGAACCTAGTGTAGAGCGGTGCCAATGCCCATGCTGGCTCCTACTCCTTGTTCTTCTTGTCCTGGACTCCTATTCCTGAACTGCGGCCTCCCACCAAGGTGCCTGTCTGTCCCGACCGTATCCCAGGGTCCTCATCATACATATGTACCCACTCCCATCAAGATTTTTTGCTCTGTGGACTCGAGAAGGTCGGACAGATTTATTCTTAAATGCTAGAACCTCCCACCACGTCTGTTTTCACGACATCGACACTTTTCCCCAGCCAGTGGCTCTCCATCCCCTTTGCTCATCAGCCATCAATTGCGATTCCGCAGTGCCATGAGGGCACTCATCCACGTGGCGGAGGCGCGATCCGTATCAAGTTAAAGCCGTGAGGCTGATCATTTCTTACTGTATCCCGCAGGTAATCTTGTGAAGTGGGTGTGCACCGCCTCGGTGGAGAGTCGATGCTTCTGTGGCAATGCTCCTATTGGCCGTAGGAAGTGGTTGGCGAAGCTGTGTCTCAAAAAACGATCCGATGCTTGCAATAATAACTTGTCGCGGATGACTCCCCAAAACCCCCATGTCAGCAAATCATTCCCCGCCAGCACCCAATTGAGTTGACCGCAGGAATCAACCACTGGGCGGTGGAATGGATTTATCCATTGGATCCATCCAGCGATCAATTGGATGTCATTGCACGACAAGTCATAGGTCACAGTTGGGGTTGAGGACAAGCGGAAAGGAATCGTGAGTGAAGCATTTTCTTTTCTGGAGGGCCAGGCCACACCACGCCCGGCGCCGAGGAAAAGGGACTCTGTCTTTGTCAACTTGGGGCATGCATTGGGTATTTTAGGAAACGGGCCGGGGGCTTCGAGCTCTATTCCCCGCTTGAGTCGGCGCAAAGGTTCATCAACGGATGAGCCCTACATCCCTTGATCCATCCATGGATGAATGCAACGACATCACAGAGGCCGTCTTACCACACAACTGGGTGTTATTACACTATGGTTCCATCCCGGGTGGGAGGTGTCCCTGTATTATTAAACTTAGATATCCGTGAACGAGGTTGCCTTTTAAAAGCCCGGTGATATGACTAAATGAGGGCAATAGTCGACCAAGAACCCTCTCCTCTTCTCCCGCGACTACCCACACTGCGAACCTATCATAACTTGTGATCAACATACTATCTCTTCTTCTTTACTGTTGATCATCGCTCCCTTCCCCTCTACCTTGGAATCCTATTTGGAGACCTCTTCAATAGTAATCAAGGATCCCTCTGACCAACAAGTTAAGTTTAAAGCACGGAAACCACCTTAAACTGTGCACCCAAGTTTCGTTTCTCTCTCGCCTCATGTTCTCCCCGCTCCTTCCCTCACTTTCCTCTCTCCCTCTCCCCCTTCCCTTGAAACTATTATCTTTCCGAACCACGTTTCTCAGTGGTGTGAGGAGCGCTTTCCCAACGTTCTAGCATGACGTGGCGTGACGTTACAATATCGGAGGACAAAGGGCGAAAGGGGGAAGAATCAACTCGACAATCTCAAGAGCCACAAATCATTCGCTAGAGCCTTCTAGTTACGAGATCTCGGTGATTGTGCCAGCTCGCTTGTGCGCCCAGCTCGATCGTTGGGCGCTCGGCTGTCCGCATCCGAATTTAGCACGGTTCATGTTGCCTACTTCTAAACTCCCTCAGGATCTGCCCGCACGAACTCTCAATTTTTGACAAGGCTTTCCAATACTCCACCCGGGCTTACGACTTGCCCTCGGACAAAGCGGCAAAGTCACATATATGCAAACATATATAGATATATCTCTTGAGAGTGAGATGTCGCATTTTCATCGACTATCAGACAGGCGTTTGGTGCGTGTGTGTCCAACCTTCCCCACGCTAACACCGCTAACAATGGGGGTGGGACGGGCGTGGGCGCGGGAGGGTGCTTCCCTTGGCTATTCCTTGACATTATCGGCGGTTTTAAGTTGATGCGCAACAGGGTCCACATACTTTTTCCTCGAGGAGACTTGTGATACGAAATTGATAGACTGGCCACCGCCAACCTTCCACAGTCATTTCCTCGACCGTCGACGCGATGATATGCCCCATCGTAATGGAGCGGCCACGGGGTGGCTCATTATGTTTGTACCTGCCGGCTTCTTCGTTCCCGTTCCCCGAACGCGAAGCGGATGCGTTGCGCAACCTGGTGGCGAGGGACGGGGAAGCGAAGTGAGGCGAGGCAAATGGGTACCACAGGCATTTGACTACAACGGCCCGGACGAACCCCAACCTAACTTGGATAATCCGCTCCCCGCCCTCGCCCTCGCCTCATTCTTGTGGACGGGAAATACCTCTGTCCCGGTGGGTGGAGACGGCCATCTGGCCGGCATCTCAGATGATACCCTGTCACCTTGCTCGCATCAATGGTCTCGACCCCGAAAAGAAGGTGAATAGGAAGGAAAAGGGTAAGATGCGAGGTGGGAGCAGCAAGGGATCCGGCGTCTTGCATTGGGGCCCGAGTTTTTGATGGCCGTTTTCAACGCATCGCATGGGTGCATACTGATGGATGGTGCGTGCGATCCGCCCCTGGGAAGCCCGAATAGGAACAGGCTTGCAACCCTTTTCCCAAGTCCGGGCCAACAGGCTTCTGCCATGTCAGTTGGGCAGGAGACGTCCAACCGCCGGCCGGCACTGGCTCGATGACCTGGTGCTTCCTGCTCGCTCGTGGGCATGAAGCGCAAGCGCTTGCACTCGCTCACCTTGTGTAAAACCTGAACTCACCCAACGTCCGGCCGTGCAGTCGCACCACCCCTTCCCCTACTCGGGTATGTGGTTGGTCAGCTGAACGAACCCGGCCGGGAAAGGGTTCCCTCTCTTATTTTCTTCCTGCCTCTTCCCTCGCATGCCCGTTTGCCTAATAAGTTTTTCTTCTAGGCTTTTTTGTTTCTTTTCGCATTACATGAACGGGATGGAATAGAAGAAGCCGCCCCATTGGCTTCCACACCCGGTCCCTCCTGATTGACAGAGACGAAAAGCAGGAAACGGAAATTACATGCATCCTGTAAAGTCCGCAGTGAGAAAGGCCTTTTGGCCTACAGAGGTAGAGGGGGTCACTAGAAGGAAGAGGGGGTTTAATCCAAGAATGGCGGATGGGTTACGCAAGTCTATTCGGAGATGGACATTGTCGTCAGATCGCATTTGCGCCCGCGTCCCCACCTTGGGTGACAGGGGAAAGCAATGTCTGATGTGAGCAATCGCGTTTCCGTTCATGTGTTGGCACACATGACGAGAGTCGACGTCGTCGTGGTTCTGGGCCCCATCTCGTAGCTGTGGCCAGCACAACTCACCGTGTTTCTCTCCTGCTCACCTACACTTTTTCAACCAACAGGCGGGCCACTTTTTGCTCTGACCGACAACTGGACCGCCCCAGACAGAGAGGTCTGGCGCTGCAAACGGCGCCAATAATAATTCCGACCACGCTATTAATACACCCGACCATCCATTGATAGATACACATCATGGATAGATCTATCCATTCATGATGGATGTACAGCAAAGACGTTCTCGGGCTGGCTTAGCTGCCTACATGTACCCCTGCCCTATGTCTTGTCGACCTCACTGGACCCTGCCCCCTTCTTCCTTCATCTTTTTTTTTTTTTTTTTTTTTCATTTTCATTTTCATTTTCATCTTCTTTTTCCTTGCCCTTTCCATTTTCTCCCTCCCCCTTTTTTTTTTTTGTTCCTTTTCTTTTTCTTTTCATATTTGTTCTTTGATTTTCTTTTCTTGTTCTTTAATTTTGTTCCCCCACCCCCACCACCCATACACCCGCATCCATCCACCCTCTCTCTCATTGATCCGCACACGCGCCAATTCATACATACCTCTCTTCCAATTTCAGTCCGGCTATAAATATTTTTCCCCTGTCTTCTTCTCTCTTCCTCTTCCCTGTCTCCCTTTTCCTTTTCTGCCTCTTCGCCTCTCAAGGAAAGCTGATTACAATGACAAGTGATGAGAAGAATGGGCGGATAAGGATCGTCCCTCGTCAAGGCGCTGCATAATGGCCCGTACATTGAACCCACTCTTTGTTGGATTCAGTGGTCCGGTCAAAAACCAGACGCCAGACGAGGGGCAACAGGGGCTTCATATGTATGATCGGGAACGTGCCGGGTTTAATTTATCAACTCGGGGGTCCCAAGAGGATGTCGCTCCCGAGCGACCCACTCCCGCCGTTGCCAGTTATTCGGCATCTTCTTTGAAACAAGCGAAAAACCTCGATTTTGCAGGTCATAATAGCGTTTGTCCAGTCGTATGTCATCCTGCCGTTTAGGTAGGTCCACGCAAAAACCTAGTTCGTCGATGAACGAGCCCACTTTCAAGTCCATGCCAAGAGTCGGGGAACGAGTATCCGGCCCGGCCCGGCCTTTTATACATATACACATGCACACAGACCTGTATCTTTGGAGGACCCCCATGCACAAGCACTTGCTTGTCAAACAACGGCCAGCCTGCCTCCATCAGGGCGTTTCTGTCTTTCTTTCTTTTTATTCACATTTGATTCTGATTTCAATTTGTGTCTAGCTTTGTTCTTTTTCTTTTCTATATTTTCCTCGTGCCCCGTCGAACATCTAATCTATGGTGTCTGTCTCCTTTCGTCCCGTCGTATTCCCTCTCCACTAGTTTCTTTAACCCCTTGCCCCAACAAGCACCCCACGGTGACCAAAGATAGGAGAGTCGTGTCTCTTTTGGGGGTTGAAATCGCCCTTTCCCCAGATCAGCTCTTTCAGCTCTAGCCTTTTTTCTTTTTCTTTTTCTTTTCGTCACCTAGGTGGTGCCAGTGGACATAGCCGAACTGTCCACTATCGGACGAATTATTATTTATCAAAAGCCGGCGACCAAACGGCAGAGCCAAGCCGAATCCAGAATCTGTCACTGAACTAATACATCTCTCCTCTCTTGCTGGCGGTTGTTTTGAGCACGAGCCCGGTGTCGCCTCCCGGGGAGCACCACCCCTTCTTCCGGCAACTTAGGCCAATTCCAACTTTAGCACTTCCAAAAGGGACAGGTATTTGGAGAGGGAGCAAGAAAGAGACAACAAGGGGGAAGGGAAAAAAGAAAAGAAAGGACCAGAAAGAGCAACACACAAAAAGAAAAACTGGGGACCCGGCTGGAACCAGCCTAGGTGTGATTATTACAGACTTCCCGCCCGCGCCGCCCAACACCTTGGTTTTCAACAGCTGCGTGTGCTTTCCCACCAAACTCCGGGCGGGCGAGCAAGGCGATTGAACACTGACGCAAAGCAAGGCGCTCGCTCCGGAGCACGATATTAGGCAACACAGAAGGGAACCGCATTCTTTCCTCCTCCTCTCTTGCCCTTCCTTCCCGAGCCTCTCACGTCTTTCCCCATTTTCATATCCCCGTCTCTACCAATACGTATTGACCTTGTGTGTTTGGTGATTGACTCGAGAGCTGCGTGTGGTTTCGAACACGAAGCTTCCCGGCTACCGGGGACATTGAGTGTGTTCTTGAATCAGACGCCCACGACCACACAGCCAGCGATTGGTACCGCAGCTGCTTGGAACAAGGCGACCAGGGCTGGTGTGTGTGCAGGTGTGCAGGTGTGTGTGTGCACATCTGGCGTGTTCCCGGCGATTGAACAACCCCCCTTCCCCTACCCTACCCTTTTCTCACTCTTCGGGAGGAACCTCTCCCATTAACAGAGCTGGACACAGACCCATCAATACCCTGACCTAAACCCCCAGTCCCTGCCCCCATGACCTGGGCAAGCCCCATCCATTGTCCATCACCATCGCCCGTCATCCATCATCTATTATCACCCTGTCTCCATCCCACACGCAAATCCCAACCCACATCCGGAACCCAAAAACACATTGGTGCACCCAGATACCTCGAGCACTGGCAGAACCCGTTGCCCTCCCAGTAGCTCCCTAGCCCATATTTATACACCTCGTCCCAGACTTGTTATGAGCTAGCCTTCTCTGTCGTTCTTTTGTCTTTCCCCTGCATACCAGGATCGTGTAAACCCCAAACAGCCGAGCAGTGTGGTACACGTATGAGCTGGCATTCAAACCGCCTTGCTTTTGCCTTGAATTTCTCATTTCTCCAGTTTGCCCTTGCAAGGTCTCACTTTGCTCATCAGTCGGATCGCATCCCGAAAGGGGGAAAAGAAAAGAAACTGAGGTTGATTATAACTTTTTTCCTTCCCCTCCCCTCCCCCTTCTCAGGACAAGGGCCGCCCCCTAACCACCGAAGAAAAAGAGAAAAGTAAAAAGAAAGAAAAAGAGGAAAAGAAGAAGAAAAAGAGGGGAGAAAGGAACGGTTTCCTCCAACGACGATTTACACCGATGGCCAAGCCGGGTGCACAAGCCTGCGCAGATTCCCGTGACAGTCAGCAAACCTCTGACCTGTGTTCTTCGACCTGTTTACAACGGAAAAGGCTTCCTTTGACCGAACGGTATAGACCAAGTCAGTCTAACCGTTCCTCTTTTTCCTTTTTTCTTTTTTCTTTCCCTCCCCTCTCCTCCCCTTCCCCGTCCCGTTTTCCAGGGACTTTGTCAACCGGTCGGTGTGCGCACCAGATATCAGATCAGATCATCTAACAATGGCTTCCGACCTGTAGGATTCGGGCTTGATCCGAAGACAAACTCCGATACGATACTGGCAGCCTTGAGGGAAACCAAGGACACTTGGGGCTGTGTGCCGTTTGTCTGACCGAATCTATCTCATCCTCTGTTGTTCGCTGCATCTTTCGCTTCGCACCCCTCCCCCTTTTCCGCTTTGAAAAGGAGCGAAAGGAGGAGACGGGAAAAAGGAAAAAGAGCCCCCATCCTCATCTCATCACCTTTTCCCCAGGTCTCCCAACGCCCAACATCCTACCTTGCTTACAGCAAGTCCCGGGATCACAGTCTCGCCGTCGACCGCACTTTCAAGCTTTGTGACACCCATTTCGGCCTTGCCTCCGCCAACGACGTAGCCTAGCTTCACTTTCGCTTCCCTTCTCATTCACCCCCTCGCATCATCTCGGCGGCTCATCTCTTAGCTACGAGTCTCCAAAAGTGGCATGCATCTTTAGTTTTTTTCTTTCTTTTTCTTCCCTTTGGAAAAACGCACTGGTTCTCGGACACTTGTTTGGATCCCTTGCTGCCGTATCCCGAGAGACACCCGCGAGAGTCATACCCTTCCACCTTTTCCGCCGTTAAGCTTGCTGGCATCTCCCATTTCGTTAGCCGACCCTCACCTTAATTCCCTTCCCCGGTCCGCCCACGCGTGGGTATATCTTGCCATTTGGCGGAGCCACTTCTCCTTCTCCTTCACTTCCTCTTCCTTTTTCTTTTTTTCCCTATTCCCTTGTTTCGTTTTGCCTCGTTCCTTCTTTCCTCCATATCTTTACCTACAGCCCCCTCACTTTCACCCAAGATGAGGTGCTCCTTCCTTGAAGAGGTTCCCTTGTGTAAGTGAATAGCCCCATTTTCTTTTCATTCGTGATTCACATCCCGAGGCATCAGACTTGCCAGCAAACCTGAATGCCACCTACACCCCTGCCTATTGATGGTGAAGCCTTTGGGAAATAAGAAGCATAGACACTCTTCTTCTTCTTCTTCTTCTTCCACCTCTAGTTTCAACGCCGCTTCAGCCCATCCTTTCTTTATCCTAATCCAACAACTAATCACTCTTCCAACATCAAGGTAGCTCTCTTGTTCTACCACATCCGGAGCAACTCAACATAAGATTGTGTACCGCAAATCGACCCGACCAGGCTGACTCGTCTCGCTCTTTTTCGACTCACTCACATCAATTGCAGATAGGATCCGGCCATCCACAAGGTATGCTGCTCCCCATCAGCCACGACCAAAGTCATTCCCCTCTTCCTCTCTGTCCCTCGGAGGCCAGTGCTACACACTCTCACGTTTTCCCTTGTTCTCTATGTTGTGGCCTCCTCTTGTGCTACCTCCGCAGCCTGCATTTCCACCCAACGCCGTGTGCATGGCTCGTGACATATCCTTCAACCCACACCAACGCCCGCCCTCCTGCCCTCCCGCCCTCCCTTTCCCGAACCCTGAAGAGGGACTATATCGGACGAGGAACGAGGAACAAATAACTAACTAATTCTCGACCAACGTACTTTGATAGCAGACAATCGACAACCTTTTCACAAAGACCAAGACGCCGCGAGCACTCGTCTTTGGCAACGAGCTCGTTTGAGGGTAAGAGTCACCAGACAGCTAAGAGTAAACTCATAAGAGACGATGACGACTTACATTTCTTCAAAACTAGTCTATCGGCGCAATGGCCGAGCCGCAAGAGAGATCCAAGATTACCCCGCTCTCGGCCTGGGATCAGTCGAGTTCTCGGTTCCATATCCGCCTTGTGCTCAATTTCGAGCTCGATGACTCGAAGCGAAAGGAGGTGGCCGCCCATCTCGGCAGCGTACTGAAACGACTGTCGGCAGAACGCCCCGACCTAGCCGGACGCCTCCACGTTAACGGAGAGTTTGACGGGGAGCGCCACGGAGAACGACCAGGCTGGATCTACCTCCGCGAATCGCCCGATTTCGACATTCCTCTAGAGATCGTCAACGTGGAGGATAAGGTCCGCTCCTTTCAAGATCTCAAGGCGGATTCGTTCCCTGCGAAGGATTTTATCGACCCTCTCTTCGGATACACGGGCCCCTCCCTCTTTTGCGGACTCGGCGTCCCTGCTGCCGTTGTTCGGGTCCTTTTGTTAAAGGCGGGATGCTTCTCGCGACTTTTGTGCACCACGCCTTTGGCGATGGCGAATGTCTGATGGAGTTTCTGGAGACTTTCTCAGCAGCGTCGCGCGGGGAGAGCACTCCGAGACCAGGCAACCGCTGCCTTGATTTTGCAAAGAGGACCAGGGCGAACGGCGTGACGAGCGAGAGGCAACCTTCTTTTCACCAGCTTCTCAAGAAATGCCCCGAGTATGTGGAGCTGAGCAAACCCATGGGGCCAAACCAACCGACTCTGCGGCCTGGCGGGGAAAGCGAAAGCACCTACGTCAAGGATGGGAAGATTTTTGTCCTCCGCAAAGAAAAGATACGAAAACTCAAGGAGTTGGTGATGCATCATGCGCCCGCCGAACGCTTACCGTCGTCCTACATCTGCTTATCGACCTTGTTTTGGGTTTTCGCCGCCAACTCCAGGATGAGAAGCGAAGAGGATCAACCAAGCTGGGAATCTCACGGGCGAGCCACCATGACAAACCCCGTCAACTGGCGATTTAGGGCCTTCCAAGAAGAAAATAAGGGTTACTACGGTAACTCTGCGGCACTGGCCCAGATGGTGACCTCGGTCCAAGAGGTCAGTTTGGCCGCGCACGACTGGCAGGCATACGCTAGATTGGTACGGGCCTCAGAAGACGCGATCCGCAACGTGAACGAAAAGTTTGTTCGGAGGCGGACGAGGCTCTTCGAGGCGGCTCCTAACCCACGATTCCTCGGCCTATACATGGACCCCCGGATCCCCCAGGACCTTGCCTTCAACACTTGGAGGGACTTTGGAGCCGATACTTTGTGGGATCTCTGTGGTACAGGATCCAACGGAAGCGGGATTGGTGGGGGTATCGTCAAGCCAGACTCTCTACGACGATCGCAAGACAGTTGGAATATGGGAGGTACCTTGATCCTACCGGCTCGTGGCGACTCCGACCTCTACGAAGTTCTTTTGACAATTCCTAAGCCGGCAATGGACCAGCTCAAGTCGACAGAGAGATTCATGCGCTGGATCGACCGAGTACTCGACTAACAAGAAAAAGAAAAACACCCCCAACCCCAACAAGAAAGATACAAGGACAAAGGGGAAGAACAAGACCAAAGAAAAAGAAAGACCAGTACCTACCCGCAAAGAATAGAACCGGATGCCAGCAATGTCCCCTTCCTACCTCCTTCTACCATCGCTGCTGTTGGGAGAAAGCATATGCGGTGGCGGGTGTCACACATCAACCTCCCAGAGGCTATTCAAGACTGATAACGTTTTACACCCTTGCTCCCCCTCAGCACTCTTCCCTTCACTACACGATTTGACATTCAGGGGACGTTCATTTTAGTTGAACCGAATAATGGGGAGAGCAGAGAGAGCAGAGGGAAGAGAGAACTATGTGAGCTCTCTTTTGCTTTTGCTGTTGCTGTTGCGTTCTCGTCCAGTTTTTACTTTACGCAAACCTCGTTTCGGCTCTCCAATACGTCTTTTTAGTTTTTATTTTCATTTCATCTTGTTTCCCGTGGTCTTTTCTTGGACCTTCCCCTCCCCCTCGCCCTCTCCACAATCCCGGTTCACGTTCTTGACTTTCGGTTTCATTTACTTTCCTCATTTCACTGTGTATTCAGGCCTCCACTACTACCACTTAGACAGATTCCCGCCAGAGCAAAAAGGCTGCAAGGCATGTATCATCATATAGGGAGGCACGCAAAAGGGAGCATCAATTGATTCAGGCATCGGACGCCATGGCATGTTCGGAATAAAACAGAAAACAAACAATGGGGTGCAGTGATTCGACGCAAACTCGGGCGTGTGAGATGGACGGCAGAGATATCAAAAAGATTGCTTTTTCCTCGTTACTCATGTCCGTCTTTTCTTTCCTTTGGCGCTCTCCTTGTCATTCTTGCCTGGTCCTTGTTTCCTTTTTCTTTCCTTTTTCTTTTCCTTGTTTCCCCCATGTTTCCTTTTTTCCTTGGGTTCCTTTTTCTTTTTCTTTTTCTTTTTGGCCCGTCGCCAATGCCGTACCGGTTGGTTTTCTCGTTTCTCAGATTGGAATTTGACCATTTAGCAAAGTTTTTGGTGGGGACAGGTTAGAATGATTGATATGGAAAGGCGCACTAAGGAAGATCAGATGAATCAGAATGGTATACCCACTGACTGGGTTTTGACGAATAAGAAGAATAATTTCCACCTCAATATGGATTGATCCAGTTAGTAAAATAAAATCTCGGCGACTTACGAGGCATGGGGAACATTGAAGGCACTGGATGGATGAGAGCTGGAACAAAAGCAGCATCAAGTACGGTAGTACATGACCACGCCATCGTGTCCTCGCCGCCACGCTTAATTCAGAGCGGGATGCAGAGCCGGAGAAGCCGCGAAAGAAAGGAAGAGGACGAAAAGCAACGAGAACGAAGGAAAGAATAAATTAAGGCCCCGCATCGCCGCTACGACGACGACGGCGACGACGGCGACGACGGCTACGACACAAAGCGACGATGGCTGTCCCCCTCCAGGAAGAATGATGAGGGTCATAGCAAACACACGACAAGGTGGATACGCCTACGCCACTGCCACCCACGTAGGCATCAACACAAACAAGGGGAGGAAAGTGGTTTTTCTTTTCTTTCTTTTCTTATATTTGAATTAACATGAGAAATAAAAGGAAGAATAAAGAAAGGGAGGAACAAGCAAAGACAAGAAAAAGAAAGGGAGCGGAGGAGCAATACAAATACCGCGGTGTTGTGGCTGTGAGGAAATCTCGAGTGCTCCAGCTCCAGCGCTCTTTCCTTCTTTTTTTTTTCTTTCCTTCTTTTCTTTTTAAACTTGGTCGAAACTGACGTACAAGTACATCATCGCCACGATCCCGGCTTCCCCAGATTATTCTGATAAGGGAAGGTGTGTGATGGTGGGTATCAATTGAATGATTAGGCTTGGGCTTGCGTAGCGTAGCGTCCTGGCCGGTGGTTTGGGGCCGGAGGTGGGTAACATAAGCAAGACGTCATCGCTCAGGCGTTTTGATGGGTGAGGGGGCGTCCTCCCACGCCTGGCTGAAGGGGACAGGACAGGGCGGGCGGACATGTGCCGGGCTGGCCGTGGGATGTACCCGCTGGAAACCGAGTAGATATAAAACGGAGGGAGGATGATGAATGGATTTGGGATTAGGATTTCTCCCGCTTTCCCTTTGCGACTGAAACTTCTTTTTCAACTCTCTTTCTTTTACGATAATTCGATTCTCCTGAGCAACGCGACCCAAATCAGACCTTTTTTTTTCGTTCTTACAATACCCCTTCCACCGACAAGACACCTCCACAAGTCATCATGCCTCTCGTTGTCCCCGGCGTCACGACCGAGTCCACGAACAAGACGGACCAGTGGATGCAGAAGCTTGTGGGGAAGACGCTGTCTGATGACAAGAGCGACGAGGTGGTAAGCTAGCTCCAGTTTTCTCGCTTGTCCTTTTTTCCGTTGCTACGTGTGTGTGTGCTAACGCTGGTCTGTTGTTTCCTTGTTCGCCAGTGCTTCTGCAAAAAGACCTGCCTGAGCAGTGCCGCGTCATCCAGCCCGGTCAAATGGTGACCAAAGACTACCGACCCGAGAGACTGAATGTGCAAGTTAACAAGGACGGCACCGTTGCGCATGTGCACTACGGTTGATCATGATGCCGTAGAATATGGTGGGGAGGATGAAATTCCCGTGTCTTGCCCTCTCTAGAATGACAATGCTAAAGGGGAATGGATGAGAGGTTTTTGTTCTTGTTGTTGTATCGATAGTCTATGGAGCCTAGGAGCTCGAAGTAAACCTATGAAACACGAATTATCACGACGTTTTGAAGCTTCATGCTCTTGCTCTCTCTCTTGAATAGAACTTTCATACCCTGCCTACGGCAAGATACAAGCTTGCGACACATGATTTTCCCCATTCTCGAGTAATGCTTCGACTACTATCCTAGCATGCGAGTTAAGCTCATCGATTCTCTTAAAATGGGTGCTATTCTACGTTTTTGCTCCCCGTCTTGTTCCAAAAATAAGGAGCGCATGCGACAGTCGTGAGGTAACGAAGCGAACAAAAATTACCCCGCCATTGAGGTATCTTTGTACCTCTTACCACCACTTTCCTGATTCCGACTGCGGGGCACCTTCTGTGTGGTGGTTTCCTCCCACGGCCCCGCGATAGATCGTGGGCCAAGATTGCCATTGGAGACCAGAAACTTAGCTCTTTGACTATCATCATTTTTTTCCAACTCTTCCCCATTGCGTTTTGTCTCTCTTGCTCTTCTTTTTGATACCTTTGTTCTTCAAAGATAATACCAAGCTCTATATCCTCCATTCGAAAGCTTCCCAAAACCCACGCGACCCTCTTTCTTTCGACTCGAGACTAGGACGAGAAAACCAATTTTCACCTATCGACCCACCCCGCCGACCCGTGTCCATCTGTGCCCCGCGTCTTGGATCATCTCCGATTTCACGGTCCAGGAGCTTCCTCCTCCTTGAATATCACGACAGCTACCGTAAACCGGCATCTTCCCACCTTCGGCCCCCTTCGTTTTCCTCCTCAACCACCTTTATACATCACACACCTTCACCATGTTTAAGAAAGAGTAAGCAACTCAGAAACCCCTCCCCAAGCTCCAAACCACCGACCCATCGCCTCCTTTCTCTTCGACCCCATGTCCTCCCTATCCAACAACCCGAAGAGACAACTGTCTCTCTCTCTCTCTCTATTATATATATATACATATCCCACCTCTCTCCCACCATCAAATCCCCAAACCAAGCTAACCATCCGGGCACCCACGCCCCTCTCCCACCACCCAGCATCACCCCCGGCACCAAATCCAAGCTCAAGTCCTCGGTCCAGCGCGGCATCCGCCAGAGCGTCCTCACCACCTTCCCCCTCCTCACCCCGCACATCGACGCCGTCCTCCCCAAAAAGGCCGACCTCACCTCCATCAAGCTCCCCGACCGCGCCATCCTCTACGCCGTCGACGGCGTCCCCTCTTCTTCCAGCCCGACGGCTCCGCGGGGCCCATCGTCCCCCACCTCCGCCTCGTCCACCGCTACCCCACCGCCTTCCCCTCCATCCGCATCGATAGGGGCGCCGTCCGCTTCGTCCTCTCCGGCGCCACCCTCATGGCCCCCGGCCTCACCTCGGTCGGGGGCCGCCTTCCCGAGCCCAGGGACGGTCCGGCGCCCAACGGCGCGGCCGAGGGCGAGGTCGACGGCCACTGGAGCAGGGAGCTGGCCAAGGGCGAGGTTGTCGTCGTCATGGCCGAGGGGAAGACGGAAGCTTGCGCTGTCGGCATCTTGGTCGAGGGTACCGAAGGCGTCAAGGAAAAGAAGAAGGGCCCCGTTATTGAAGAGGCGCATTACCTCGGAGATGGCTTGTGGAACATAAACTTGGATTGAATGGGATCATCTCTTTCTAGGGGGCTTTTTTACTAGGGATTCTCACGAAATTATGTCGAGTCATCATTACCGGGGCACGAGGTTGTACGGATCGCACCTGGCTCTGTTGTTGTATAGTCTCTTCACCAGCGTTTGGCCATAAAACATGAAAACAATGAAATTCTCTTCCACGACAGGTTAGCGATGTAGGAGCCTGGCCATATGTTTGTCTCTCTTCGCTGCTCTTGACCAGCTTACCGCTACGAGTGTTTGCATTTTAGTGGGAACCCTCCAGACTTTACTTGCACTTCTTGATTGAAAAGCTACGCGCTTAGTTATCTAGCCTGCTTTGGGGGAGACATAAAAACTAGAGTAGGGCGGGATATCCCACCGGGTATCATCAACGATACTAAGAAAAGAAACGCCTGATCCCGAGCCTCATAAAGGGGCGGCCTTGACGGTCCGCCACGGATACACCCCAGAATTTGAGTGGAGAAGGGGAAAAAACAAAGGAAAGTAAAATAGCGCAGACATGCTCAAGATGAGAGACATCGACTTCTAGAACGTGTCTGTCGTGTGCGATAGCATGGCAGGACAGAAATGTCCATGTACCAAAGCCGTGGTAGAGGGTGGGCGTGAGCCCGGTTTGTGAAGCATAAGATCTCTGCGGCTTAATCGTAAATGTCGTTCATTGGGTCTTCCTCCTCTTCAGACTTTTGAACAGGAGGCTGAGGGAGAGGTCTACCGAAAGTGGGTGCAAGATGAGCCGGCAAGTAACTAGCAGGTCCACGACCAACATTAAGTGCATCGTAGCCAATCATCCCGGCTGAAGGACCCGACTCCTCCGCAGAGGCCCCGTTCTTAATCGAGCTGGGTTCTCCGTTGGTGTTTTGCCCGCTTTCCTTAGGAGCCGAGGGAGCAGAACGGTTGCTGGGGTCGGACGTATCGCCGTGGTTGACGAAAAGGCGGCGGACTACTGTGCCGGCAGAGCTGCTCGACGTGGAGGAATATGAGCTTAACTCCTCAGAAGTGTCATCCTCATCTTCTTCAGGAATGGGAACCACCTCCTGAGCCATGCGATTGAGGAGCACTCTGTGGCGTCTAGCCGCGCGGTTGGGGCGTGCGTAGGGATCCTCTTCCTCTCCTTGCTCTAGCTGTGGACCGCTCCTGATTTCGAAATTGGGCTTGGGGATAGGCAACATTTTGGGAGCCTTTACCTGAGGCGAAGCCCTCTCTCCGGAATCCGGAGTACGGCCTTGGACGGCTTCTCTTTCCGCCTTCTCACGCTGTTCGGCTTCATGTCCGGCCTCGATTTCCTCAAGCTCGGCTTTGGTGATTATGCGGGGATGCCGACGTAGACACGAGGCCTCTCAGCCTCCCGTTCATAGATGGCCTCGCGGTCTTTGCTATACTTTTTCCACTCTCCTGAGTTTTGCCATTCGACCCGCTGATCGCGACATTTGTCACAGCCAACCGTTCGGGGAGGCTGACGGAGGGCTGGGGTAAGAGATGAACCGCAACAGCATTTTCCCAAGCAGCAGGAGCAGCTTCCGCAAGCACCACATGCATAGCATGAACTCTGGCGATCGTCGGACCCGGTGGGTGGGTTCCGACAGCAGCAGTCGAACTCGCAGCAGTCACACTCATGGCACGGTCCGGTGGCGACGCAGGTCGAACACGACTCGCAGGATGAGCAGTAACACCTAGCTTTGTAGATGCAGTGGTTGCAAGGACCTGTATCATTGACTTAGCATTACCCATCATTTTTGAATGCTTGGGGCCAAAGGCTGCTAGTAGTGGGCTGTTACTTACTGTGGGGAGGAGGAGGAAGATCATGGATGGTGACTGGGTATGAGGTAAAGCCAATGGCAACTTGGCCTCCCTTGACCAAGCGATCAATTTCCGGATGAACAGACAGAGCCTAACAGTATCCATCCGCTTCATTTAGTATTGAAAAAGCAGACTATGGGGAGGGCAAGCCAAAATATTGGACAGGGCTCAACTCACGTAACGCTGCAAGTCAACGATCCTGGCCAAGTCGTACTCCTTTCAAAAGCAACCCGCCATTCATAAGACATCCACCAGTTGGTCGAAATCTTTCTTTCTCCGCCGCCATTCGGCGCGCTATTATAATCAAATGCGGGTTGGGGAGGAGTCACCGTGATCATCCCAGGCTGGTTAAGCGTCACTGATCCGAGTTGCGGCAGAGTGATATGGGGAGGGACAGCGGGAAGCTGCCTTCCATCCCAGCCATGGCTTGTTGATTGAGCATAGCGATGGGCCATCGCAGCTTGTCTCAGTAAAAGCTCCCGAAGAGCGTCGTCTATGGGTTCACCTGGCTTGGGGGTATGATGCTAAAGACGGGGCCGTTGGGTGTGTTGGTAAGCTTCAGACTAACCTCGATGCCTTCGTTCGAAAGCTCTGGAGGGGGCTAGGGTTGTGTTCGAACTGGCTGGATGGAGGGTTAGAAACGGTGGGAGGATTTCTGGGCGTGCCTTCCTGCGAGAGTTGGTCCAGAGCCAAACTTTTCTTTGAGGTTGGCTTGGTCGCCGACACGTGTTTGAGGCCGGACTCGCCATTTTCATCTGCCTCTGATCCTGTGTGAGCGGGGACCCCGCCGGCCTCATCGCCTCCCTTGTTTTTGGGTCGAAGTTGAGCAGCATAATATTCCTCTATGGATCTCTGTGCTTCGATGGCTTTGCGGAGGAGCACGGCTGACTTCGCTGCACTAGAAGAGGTGATGGCAGCTGCTTCGCCGAGATCGGACTGGGGGCCACTAGGTTTCGTACCGCTACCACTGCCATCCTCGCTCTTGGATGCAAGGCGATTCTCGAGTTCAGCCTCTCTAGCCGTAATAGTAGTCAAGCCGTCGTTTGGCTTGGCCTGGTAAACTACGACGGCGAGCTCAGCATCAGCGGGTCGCGATGTTTCATCGTTCTCGCGGTCTTCGCTGTTCGCCATGGCAAAGATATCGCTCGGGTATCGATGACTTTGAAAATAAAATAAAGGCGCTCTAGGGAGTAAGAAGCTGATCAATAAATATCTTTTTGGGTTCCTTTACCTGGGCATCAGGGAAAGGTGTGATGAAAGGGTGTTTTGTTCAGATGGAATTTCAGATTAGAGCACATCAAGATGGTGGAAGGAAAGGAGGAAAGGAAACACTGGTAGATATTATACATAGAGATATGTTATGGTGAGCCATAGGGCGAAGTTATGGATATGAAGCTAAGGATGGGCTCGCGATGATAGATTTGGTGGATGAGGAGAAGGGTGATTAAGATGGCCAGTATCAAAAGGTCAAGTTACAGTATCAATTCACTAGAAACTAGAGTGGCTTGGGATGGAAGGTGCAATGGAGGTCGGTGTTGGGAATACAAACAGGCCAGGAGCTATGGACATATGTGGGAATAAAAGAGTAAGAAAAGAGAACCCGATGAGGTCGACGAAAGAATATGACCGCCGCTCAAGGTCGGTTGACGAACTTGTGTTCAAAAGGAGAGGTTAGCCTTCCTCCGACCTTAGTTGCTAGCATCCACGCCCTGCGGGTTATCCCCAAGCTCTCGCTTTCTCTTCTTCTCCTCCAGAAGCTTGTCGTATTTGGCATTATTCCGAGCCATAGCTGCATCACCGACAATTTCGTTCTGCGTCTGGACGAACTCACGGATCCAATCCATATCGAAAAAGCCTTCCTCATCCCTGAAGGGCTTTCCGGGTACGATGCCGTACGAAGTGTCGTCTTCGAGGATGATCCGCTTGAGCCCCTTTAGCATGCACCCTCTGTAAGTGGTATTCATGTCCTCATAACCTGGAAGGGCCTGGAAGTAGCCCTTGATAAGCTTGTTCCAGATATCTAGCCTTTGGCGTTCTATCAGGTAATCCCTGCGTCTCTGGTTATATTCTGCTTCGACGGGGAACCGGGCGAAGACGCCAGCCTTGACTGCGTCTCGAGTATACCTCTTCTCGAGGAACCTTCCCTCAGCCCGGCACCGCGGAATAAAATCCTCGATCCAGCCGCGATAACATGGCCGTGTGTTCATACGGCGCCGGTCGTTGGCCTTGAGTCGTTTACGGTCTTCGGCGATGGCCTGTTGGACAGCGGAGGAGGGCCCAGGCGCATTCTCGTCCTGCTTGTCATCCGTAGCCTCGGAGGGGAGAGGACGAACCCAAAATAAGGGGCAGGTTGCGGCGTACTCGTACAAATCGTCCAGCGAGTTAAACGGCTCCTCCCAGTAACCATCAACCTCCAAGCCGAGAACGCTCAGTACTACCATAGGGTCTTCCGAGATCTTGATCTTTGCGAGATTGCGATTCATCTCCTCAACCTCAGGAACCCGAATTGAGAGAGCGGTCTCGTCAATGGCGAGGCCAAAATAGCGAATCATGGAGCCGAGAATGTTCCAGAGATCCCCGTGAGCGTGCTTGAACAACACCCACTGGAATGCTTGAAGAGAAGGAGAGATGGCTACATCTACCTGGATGAAGCGAGGTGGGCTTCCCTCTACCTTTGCAACATCCTCAAACTCCTCGGGCCAAGGCAGGGCGTAGTGTGCTCCTCGGTCATGCTTTTCTCGTATCATCCGCGAGGCACCCAGAGCTTTCATTATCTCCTCAAGTGGCCCGATTGGCTCTGAACCATGGCCACTGGGGTTCTGATACTGGGAGGGAATCCCAAAGATTTCCTGTCGGCTCCATGTGACGAGGATATCGACATCCCCGAAGTCCTTCTTCGCTGGCCCATCAATGGGAGAAGCGACGCAGACGTAAATGTTTCTTAGTGCTCGGTGGCAACGATCCTTTACGTGACTGTATACTTTGGCTGGCATCCGAGGTGTGTAGAGTGGCTCAGGGCCGGACGAAAATATGGAACCGCCCATGATGTACTGGCCCAATTCAACGATATTCCTATCCTCCCTTGCTCTGTTGTCCCTGAACACTCCTGCTGGATGCCGGAAAGGTGTCTTTTGAGTGTTTAGACCAGGCGAGAACTAGGAAAACACAACAGGGGGCCTTTTGTTGGTTTTGATGTGGTGGCGACAGTGTATAGACCTTTGAGGTAGTCCTTAGTAGAGATTAGTGAAGAGAAATCTATGCAACGCCTCGCTCATGAAGTTCACTTCCATTGAGGTTCAGATCTAGTCAAGCGGAGACTCAATTTAGAAGACTAGGCCAGCAAGAAGAACGAATAGTTAAATATGGGATGTTACGAGGAAGATCTAGAACAAGCCAAATTATATAAAGGGATATTGGGAATGCCCCCTGGAGCCTATTGAGTTTCTTTGAGAAATAGATGACTGGAGTTGGCCGGGGTGAGTCAAGCAGAGGCTGAGCTTAGCCCATTCCATAAAAGAACCAGGCTGGTTCGTGGAGGATCGACACACCTATGAATCACGATTGCAAAAACAAACGATTCCGAATTGCAAGGCTTAATAGATCAATGTAGCTGGTTAAAAGGAAGGCGCGAGGGATGAAGTGGAGTGAATGTGCCGGCGGCCGAGAGCCGTAGAGGGGCACAGAATTCGAATCGTCGAGGGCAAACAAGCGGACTCGGCCACGGCGACCACCACGTAAACCGTGCGAATCCTCCCGCTTCTCTCAGCTCGGTCGACTTCTCACCACCCCTTGCCTACTCAAAAGCCACCAAACTCGTGGCGTGCCCGATTTGTAGCGCCTGTTGCTCAAGGCCCTTTTCCTCGCTCTTTACCCTCCACCTCCAAATCTACGTCAATTTCTGTGGTGGCGGGACATTTCTCCATTTTCTTTCGACAACCGCGCTCACTGCCATCTGAGACCGCCGAGGTTGCACACCCCGCACAAACACGAGGAACGGTTTCTCTGGAAGGAGAGGCGGTTTATATTGGGTCAAGATGCCGCGACCGCCGACCATGGAGGACGACATGAGGAAGCACTTCTTCCGGCATGGAGATAGCGATCCGGTTAGAATGTACCATTGCGCCTGATGCGCGGCGTGTCTTGACTGTCTAAAAACAAGTTCTAATTTTCTATCCACAGAGTCTCTACACTGAGAAGCGCAATTGTCACCTGTGCCAGATTCGCAGCTTCCCCACCCATGAAGACTACCCTATCACCGTCATTAACGAGGTCGACGATGAGCCTCTTCCCTTTGATTTCCGCTTCATCAACGAGGTGGTCCTAGGTGAGGGTGTGGAGCCCGCCGAGGATAGTTTCCGAAGCGGCTGCGAATGCCGCAAAGACGAACTGTGTCAGTTTAGCGAATGCCAGTGCCTGGGCGACGTCGAGGACTCGGATTCGACTCGGACGGCCCCGCGAGGCAAAATCGCCGACTACAGGTCTACGCGTACCAGACCCGTGGCCAGAGAGCGGGCATGCTCAACCCCGCATGCTCAAGAGGGAATGCCGCGCGCCCATCTACGAGTGCCATGATGGATGCGCCTGTAGCGAGGAGTGCCCGAACCGCGTTGTTGAACGCGGCCGCCGGGTGCCCTTGCAGATTTTTAGAACCAAGAACCGAGGATGGGGTAAGCACTTGAGTGGGCTCTGGTTCCCGAATATGCCCTATCTCTGTGGCTAACATGTGCTCTCTTCTTCTCCTTTGCTAGAGTACGCTGTCCCCAGGATATCCAAAAGGCCAGTTCGTCGACGGGTACTTTGGCGAGGTGATCACAGCGGACGAGGCCGACGAGCGTAGAAGAGAGTCGGATTGCCCAGCGCAAAGATGTGTACCTCTTTGCCCTGGATAAGTTCAACGACCCAGACTCTCTCGACCCCCGACTTTCCCAGCCCGCCTTGCTCGTGGATGGCGAATTCATGTCCGGGCCTACGCGTTTCATCAACCACTCGTGCGAGCCTAACCTTCGCATCTATGCACGCGTGGGCGACCACGCAGACAAGCACCTCCACGACCTTGCCTTATTTGCCATTACTGACATCAAGAGGAATACGGAGCTCACGTTTGATTACATTGACGGTGTGGAAGAGGATGAAGACGATCTATCTAACCCTGAAAGGTTGAAAGAGATGGCCAAGTGCCTCTGCGGTAGTAAAAGTGTCGGGGATATCTGTGGTGAACAAAGAAATCACCTACGCATCAGGGCCTATTCACTCGGCCAGCCAGCGATTCCTCACTTCCCCACTTTCCCCATGATGGCTTTTCAAATCTTGGCGTGATGGTGGTCTGATAAGGGAATGGGCGATGCCACTGCTGTCACCAAACGGCCCTAGTGCCTTGGTGTGCCTGAACCAGGGGCACCTCCCGTGCCGGCCAGTCCTGGGCAAACGAACTGGCACCTAGTGCTGATTTAGGTCACTGCCAAACTTGGCCCTGAGACTTCTAATCCAATGAGGTTAGGCGTGTTTCGAAGATGGCCTGAGTGCTAGACACGACCAACATCAACGACTCCAGGATAAATCGTCCGGAAAGCAAGCTTCGATGAGAGAAGGATGACTTGGCCGAGGACGCGAATTTTATCTTCTCACAAAACATGGGTCAGTTGCCGATAACCCTCACGCCCGGTGTTAGAGCGTCCGATGGATCATTAGAATTGTCGACAGCGTGGTGAGCTAGGCCAACATTCGTGGGATATTAATGGTGCTACCACGACTATGGAAGGAAATTGGGAACTTGACCGAGAGGCATTACAACCAATATAGCAATACAGATATAGGGAGGGCCAGCTGTGGTCTGAGAGAGAGGTCAACCTGGATGGAGATTCGGCCGATAGGCTGGGTCGGGGGCTTATTCCAAATTCAGGGTCCCGGGACGCCCTGAAAGCGCGAGGAGCGGAACCTGCCAAGGACAGCCGAAGTGACCTGTTCTGTGGACAGCGCCCACAAAAGCGCATCAATGATGGCAGATAATGGAACAGATAATGGAACAGACACCGCCGTACCTTTATTTGGAGCTTGGGAGGATTTGACCTGGTGGCTGAATTGTCCGATATGAAACGACACTGTACAAAGTACTTTATCTCACTTTTATCTGTTGTTGACCACCTCTGCTCCGTGAAAAATACACAAAGGAGCTATGGCCACAGTGTCAACTATGCCACTTGGTGCCACTGGCCTCGATTCGTCCCAGCCTAGAATTTGCACAGATCCACCCTCGAATTGGCAGGAATCAAATTGAGAGGGACCTGTTGCGTTGGCCTGCCCACCCAATTGCGATTGGTGATAATAATAGCGATTACCAGCTTATCCCAGCTTGGAGGGGGTCGTCATCATCAATAGAACAGAAGAAGCTCCGCATCCTACTCCCTTGAGCTTCGCGTCCTTCGCTTTAGCACCTTTTGTGTTCTGCTTCACCCTGCTTACGCATATCTGTCCGACTGGACACCCTTCCCCTAATTGAGACCGCGTGCGACATTCAACGGGGTCCAACCCTCCCTCCCTTCCTCTCGGAGCCCTGCCGCCCGTTATCTCGAGTCCCGCGCCCTCGTAGTCCACAAACGCTGCTCGGCCGCCTTACCCGACCTGCCTTGCCGCTCGTCCATTTGACACTGACCCGTCGTCTTACCCTTGGCTCGCGCTGAAGTACGAGGAGCCTGCCTCCTCCTTGATATTCCCGATGGTCGCGCCGGCAATCCCTGAGTATGCACGATATCAGACGAACCCTTCGCACCCGGTCTAGCGCCGCGAGATGCTCCTAACCCCCCTTGTCCGCCCGTACACTAAACGAAGTTCTTCTACAGGCTGACCGAAGAGGTCCTGCACGAGTCGATTGATGCCCGCACCGAGTCCTTGATCACACTCCGAGAGCTTGGTCCCCGGATCTTGTCCATATCCTCAAGCATGCCGTTCGAAACCCGAACAAACAGGTACGCCTATCTTCTCTTCTCACGATGGCAGGGAGGCTAGCCTAGTCGGAGAGTCGGCCTCGACCGAGCCCGGTGCCTCGATTTATAGGTCAATGAATCGTAACTGACCAAGGGGAGCAGGTTGGCGTCTACCACCACGTTACCGGTGTCGATGCCTCATCCTCGGCCAGTCTTGCCGCATACATCAACACTTTGACACACACCGAAACCCATCCTCACCAACAGCAGACTAAGATCGCCGAGGGCCTATACTGGTACATCTTGCCCATGCTCACACGATCCTGCCTCGAGCGATGATTGCGCGCTAACGTCTCTTTTCCTCTGATTAGCTGTTACAATGCCTTCTCCCGACTTGACATGCGCGTGCACGTCACAATCCCCGGTTCCGTGGAGGCGTACTGCGTTGACGAGCGCGGCGAGCAGAAACCCGCCACAGAAGAGCTTTGGCTTGAGACATACCTCTGCAGTGTCCTCCGCGCCTATTCCTACGCCGACGATGGCAGTGGAGAAACCATCCGCAAAATCATGGGAGTGAGGAGGTTCAACCCCGTGACCAACACCGAGTCCGAGCACAGGTTCCTCAACGCTGCGGAACAGTTGTTTTTCAAGGGTACGGTCGCGCTTCGCGGCAGGAAGCACTGCTCCGAAGAAGATTTTTCGAATTTCGCTAACCCCGTGCGAACAATATAGGCTGGCAACTCGGCTCTGATTCCATTGTGCAAGTACCCAGTAACGTTGCGAACCACTTGACGACCGGCCTCCTCAGATACTTCGAGACTACGGGACGCTATGCCTCGGGCATCAACTTGTTCGAGAAGCTCAGGACGCAAAACATCGAGGTATCCTCGCTTCTCGCCAAGATCCTGTTTATGGGCAATGAGGAAGTGCGCGGCGTGAGGATACTCCACGAAGCTCTCAAGGAGACCCCCATGGACTACTCTATGCTCGATACCCAGGCCGAGTTCCTCTTGAAGAAGGCTCAGACCGCCCCCACGCCGGAGCAGAGAGACGAGAGGTTACGGCTGGCCCTCGGATGTGCAGACAGGAGCACCGTCGCCGCGCCGAGCGAATTCAGGACATGGGCGCGGTTGGCCGAGGTTTATGTCGCCATGGAGGACTGGGAACACGCTCTCGCCGTCTTGAACTCGTGCCCCATGTTCACCTACCAGGACAAGGACGCTCCCATCATGCCTGAGCCCAAGGACGTCTACCTCCCCACCCTCGCCGCGACCCGCCTCGACGAAATCGACAGCGAGCCCGAGTCCCGCTACTCGGAGCAGGTCGACCCCAACCTGCTCAACCTCCGGGCGGCGTCATACAAGGGAACGTTTAGGCTGGCCTACAACATTCTTACCGAGATGACTGCCAAGCTCGGGTGGGACCAACTCCTTAGGATCCGTAGCAACGTGTTCGTTATGGAGGACGAGTACCGGAACGAGAAGCAGGACCAGCCCGCCAAGCAAGCTACGCAACTCGATGCGCGCAACCCCAGCACAGACGGACTCCGTGGGAGCCGCTCCTCGGCCAACGGTGACGATTCCGGCTCGGACTCCGACTCCGACTCCGAGGTTGATGCGAACAAGGAGGAGGCCGTGGATGCGCCCAAGACGAACGGTGACTCTTCGCCAGAGAAGCCTTCCAATACGATAGACCCGGATGTGGTAAAGGCCGATGCCGAACAGGTAAGACAATCCATTGCCCTTTGATTCCTTTTCTTCTCTCTCTATCCCCAACTTTCCCGGAAAAGTCGCTTTGCAATAGGCGCTCGAATAGAAAAGCTAACAAGCGGGATAAAATCCCCCTAAAAATCTAGGCCGAGTCAAGCGAGCAAGCCCTCTCCAAGCTGAATAACAAGCGCCTCTGCGAGCGCTGGCTCGACAGCCTCTTCATGGTCCTCTACGAAGACCTCCGCGTATACACCATCTGGCGCACCCAGATGGCGCAATACCGCGCCCAATCCATGCAGTACAAGAAATCCGCCGAGGAGTGGAGATCCTCGGCGCCCTCGCCAGCCGCCTCCAGCACGTCGACGAGGCCGTCGAAGCCTTCCGCGCCTGCCTTGGCCAGCGCTTCTCCCCAAGGCCCTCGCCGGCATCCTCCGCGCCCTCGAGCGCCGCGGCCGCTCCTCGTGGGATCCCCACGCCGCCGTCGCCGCCCGCTCCGCCGCCCGCGCGGCCAACCCCGCCCCCAATACCAACTCTACCCGTGACACCGTCGCCGCCGTCATCCGCCTCATCACCTGGCAGTACAGGTGGTACTCGGAGTTCTCCCCCGAGCTCCTCCACACCATCCGCGCCCTCATTGAGGACGAGGGCGCTCTCAAGATTCGCAGCATCATTCAGGCCACGAGCCTGCCCCAAAACGTCCTCGACCTGACCCACCACTACGCCGCCCTCTGCGCAACGTTTAGAGCAGCGGCACGGACGGCTAGACCCTCCATTCTCCCTTCAAACCTAGGTATTTCAGAGAGATCCAAGCGAGGTTGGTGGACAAGTTGGGGAGGCGCTACTAGTATGGGGAGACAGACGAAACGGATATTTGCTAGGGAAGAAAGGCAACGAGCGTGGAGAGCGAGCTGGGGGTTCTCAAGTGGCAGGGGTTGGTTGTTTTGTTACGACATCTTCCCCAAGAGTTTTATCCTTTTCAAAATAGTTGGCCGGACCCGGAGGTTAGAATAGTTTATAGTTCTCGTCCTGAAGCGTGGCTGTTGACAGCGGCCTCCCTTTTAACGTTTGTGCTTTGCTCTCAACGAGAAACGAATCACTTAGTCACTCTAGCGAGATAGACTTCCTGAGCTGTTTTCTGTTCACGAGGTTAGATGGGATTCAAAAGAAAACATCGATTCATGTTAAGAATAGCTTGTCAACGCTCGCTTTACTTGAATCGGGCACGAGTATGGCCACACTTTCATGATCCGACTGGCCTCTCTTGACACCCAGATAGGGCCACGTTATTACAACGCGTACAGTAATCACCATTGGTTAAGCGCAATTTGTTTTGCTTGTTGAAAAAGCGTTATATCTTATTTTGCTCGCAGCCAAAATCATTGATTTAGGCCTCGACGCTTCATCTCCTCGCCCAAGTAATATTAGGGGAAAAACGAAGCCTCCAATTGAAACAAAAACACCAGTGTTCCTCCTCCCTATCTCTTTTTGTATCGCCGGTTGAAGTGGGACATATCATCATTACACCCTGGATCCATCAAGTTGAGTTTTTATAACCCATGAGAAAGACATGAAAAAAAAAAGACCAGAAAAAAACCAAAACGTCCTGTTACCCTGTCCCCGCACCCATGCAAGCCATGCTGTTGAAACCAAAGACTGCCTTTTGTTGGTTGAACTCGGTTCAAACCGCGGAAACCCTTAATATAAAAGCAAAAAGAAACAAAAAGAAACGAAAAAAACGTGCCTACATCATCCTTCCTTGCAGAGGACGTAGTAGACTCGTTTAGAATGCTGAAATGTGGTATCTAGTGTCTATCCGAGAGTTGAAGCCTCGGGTGGTGTACAAGCAGGGGAGTATTCAGAGAATTTAGTATCGGTAGCTACAAGGAAAGGTTAGGTTAGCATACGGAGCGAGATCAAAGAGATGGTAGTGGACGGATGATGGAAAAACATACATGTCGGACTTGAAGGGGCCCTCAACGGGGAGACCAAGGTACTCGGCCTGAACGGAGGTGAGCTGGGAGAGCTCAACGTTGCAGTGAGCAAGATGGAGCCTGGCGACCTCCTCGTCGAGGATCTTGGGGAGGACGTAGACGCCAACGTCGAGCTTCTTGGTCTTTCCGAACTCAATGTACTTCTTGCCCCAAGCCTCGTCGTTGCTCTTGTAGAGCATGATCTGGGCAAGGACCTGGTTGGTGAAGGAGCAGGACATGACGAACGAGGAGTGACCAGTGGCACAGCCGAGGTTGACGAGACGGCCCTCAGCAAGAAGGATGATGTGCCTGCCGTTCTTGAGGAGGAAGCGGTCAACCTGGGGCTTGATGTTCTGGACGCTCTGGGCGTTGGCCTTGAGCCAGGCAACGTCGATTTCGATATCGAAGTGACCAATGTCTATAGAGGTGTGAGATGTCAGTTACAGGCCGTTTCTCTGCTTGGCTAGGGTGGGGGTGATAGAAAAAAACTTACTGCAGACAATGGCGTCGTTGGGCATGGCCTCGAAGTGGGTGCCGACGAGGATGTCTCGGCAGCCAGTGGTAGTGACGAAGATCTGACCAACGGAAGCGGCCTTCTCCATGGTAGTGACCTGGAAGCCAGCCATGGCAGCCTGGAGGGCGTTGATGGGGTCGACCTCAGTGACGATGACGCGGGCACCCATGCCAGCAAGGGCGACGGCGCAGCCCTTGCCGACATCACCGTAACCGGCAACAACGGCGATCTTGCCAGCAATCATGACATCGGTGGCACGCTTGATACCGTCAATGAGGGACTCACGGCAACCGTACAAGTTGTCAAACTTGGACTTGGTGACGGAGTCGTTGACGTTGATGGAGGGGACGAGGAGCTCGCCAGCCTTGAGCATTCGGTAGAGGTGGTGAACACCAGTGGTGGTCTCCTCGGAGACACCATAGCAGCCCTTGAGCATCTCGGGGTACTTCTTGTGGACGAGGGTGGTGAGGTCACCGCCGTCATCGAGAATGAGGTTGAGGGTCTGGCCATCCTTGAAGGCCTTGAGCTGCTGCTCGAGGCACCAGTTGTACTCATCCTCGGTCTCACCCTTCCAGGCGAAGACGGGGACACCGGCGGCGGCAATGGCAGCAGCGGCGTGGTCCTGGGTGGAGAAGATGTTGCAAGAGGTCCAGGTGACCTCAGCACCGAGAGAGGTGAGGGTCTCGATGAGGACGGCAGTCTGGATGGTCATGTGAAGGCAGCCAGCAATGCGAGCGCCCTTAAGAGGCTGATCAGAGGCGTACTTCTCACGGATGGACATGAGACCGGGCATCTCGTTCTCAGCGAGCTCAATCTCCTTGCGGCCAAAGGCCGCGAGGGAGAGGTCGGCGACCTTGAACGTGTGAGCGGGAGCAGACATTGTGAGGGATGGGTGAAATGTGTATGTATGGGATGGAGAGTTGAGAGAATGCAAAGCTTAGTCTCGACAAGAAGAATGATCGAGATGTAGGAATGGAAGGTGGGGAAGGATGAAGGGGAAAGAGAAGAGGAAGGTCCAAAAGGAGAGAGAAAAAAATACAACGAGGTAGGGAAGGAGCTTTTAGTCTTTCCTGCTGAGAGAAGGAGGGAGAAGGAGGGGGAGGGGTCACAGAAAAAGTGCAGAAGGAACCACCCGGAGCTCGCTTCCTTGTTGCTTGTGGTTACAAGGGTTGGCGGGGAAGGTGCAGCTTTTTGCGTTGAATTTTTTCTCTCTTTCTCGGCGGGGAAGGTGGGGGCGGGGCTGGGAAGACCCCGTTTCTGAGACATCGGTGGCCACGGCAGTCGTTGAGTAAGAGCTCAGGAGCTCCTGGAACTCCTGAAATCGGCCTACACGTGGGTGAGACTGTACAGTGGACGGAATTTAGCTCACTGGTTGGTCTCGTATCTTTCTGTCCACCCAACAATGCACCGGCTGGTCCATTGGCCCTCCGGCCTGCCGATAAGGCCTACAGTCGATTTACAGGTTGAATGAGCTGAGGCTCCTTGAGCGTATATAGCTGTAGCGTTGGAATCACCGACACACCGAAGTCCATCTCGCCAGGACAATCTCAAGATTTACTCCCACTGTACTGCCTGCTTTACATTCATCCATCCATGGATCTCGATGGATCCGTCAAAATGGATCCATTGTATCGATTCTTTGATTACTGCCTAAAGGATCCGCTGGCCATGGTCTCAGCCTCCTCCTTCCCATTTGATCCCCTCATGCCGCTCTCCCAATCGCCCAAAAGGACTTGATGCCTATGTCACCCTCCACTGTCAAAGTACCTAGACATACAGCTGTGACATTCTAACCTTATATATCGCCCGAAGCTGCATGGTTTGCCCTGGTGCTGACCGCTTTACTGATCAACCACACCTTTTTGTTTCTGGTTGCATGAATAAGCAACGGACACGGAAGGATTAAGGATGCTGACGTCTAGTAATTCATATCAAGCAGAGACACTCAGGGGTTGGTGGGCAACAAGAGGGAATCGATTCATGACATCCAGCATTAAAACAGCTCCCATCAAGTGTCATACGTTGTGTAATACATGTGGCCCAGCCTCTCCCCAACGCCAGTAATATGCAATTATAGACCACTCCACCCGTCTACAACCTCGCACCGACTTTTTCTTGAGAGCCCCAAAATTCATAGAACTTCCTTTTGCCTCTGCTGGGAACCTCTCCTCGGACCAGAAGAGAGCTTCTATCTTGTGGGGTGTGCATTTCACCTCACTGCGCCACCAAGTTGTGTCCGAGGGACTCTGGTGAGGACTTCAGGCGGGGTAACCCCATCTTTGCCCGTCCAGTAAGAATAAACCAGGAAATCAAAACGGAGAAAAAGCAAAAAAACTCGCTGTAATCATCTATCACCCTTGGAATGTTCTTCATTTGGGCATCAAATTCTCCCTGACAGCAAACATCTTGGCACTGGCATTCGCGGTGAAGCCATCCACTTGCTTAGCATACTGCTCGACTTGCTTCGCGTTGAGCATGCCCTCGAGCCTGCTGGGCTCCTGAGGGAGCTTGAACAGCCTCTGCCACTCATCCTCGGGAAGAGGTTGCTGCTTGGCAGCGACACGGGCCGCGTTCTCGGCCTTGCGCTTGGTCTGCCATTGAGTAATCTTGGCCTGCTCACGTCCGAGTTGTCGTTGGTAGAACTGGAAGTTGTTGAGGTCGGTGTAGTGGGACTCGATGCTGTCGAGGAGGAGGTCGCAGGTCTTCTCAAGGAAAGGATCGACGGAAACATCGAGGTTGTCGAGAGAGGGGTAGAGAGGGGGTTGACGGGGTCCTCGAGGAGATCGTCGAGAGACGCGGAGGCTCAGAGGGATCCCGGATGGGAGCCGAGGGGATTTGGTGGAGGAAGGAGGTGAGAAGGTGAGAGTTATGGACGACGACAGGGAACTCGACCACGATATCCTTGAAGGTGAGCTTGGACTTTTGGAGGCTAAGTAGAGACGACGGTAATTAGCACAGGGTTCACGCCAAAATATGGTAAAATCGGATTCCGAGCATGGGAGGAAAGAACGCATACCTCTCGGTGGTAAACTTGCCCTCCTTGAAGGCAGCCATGAAGTTAGGCGACAGTTTGAAGGCCCGGATGCTGAGGGCACCCTGGGAGCTGCGGCTGACATCATGCACGAGGGCGACGGTGCGCTCATTCTCCTTCTGGTAGTGGTACTGGTTCTCGATGAAGGCGAGGTTCACAAAGTTGCCCATAGCCGCGCTGGTGTACCATCCTACGTTGTTGGCGTCGATGTTGATCTCCTTCATGAACCTAATCATATCGGCCTGGTAAGTGATGTTGGGCTTCTGGCGCGGGGCGACGGCGGCAAGGGAGGAGGCATCATTCTGGTTCTGGTGCGAGTCGGTGGTGGGCACGTCGAAGATGGGGAAGTTGAACGAGTTGGTCACCTCCAAAATTCCATCCCTATCCATGCCGACGAGCGAACCGGTAGCGGTAGTGGGGAAGGACTGCGAGCAGTGCCTCGAGATCTTCATGAGGACAAGAGCCTCGATCTGCACCGTCTTGAACGGCACCTCTTTGGATGCGTCGGCCATGGTCGCGTCGGTTGGTCGCTTTCAAATTCGATAGGAGATGGAGAAGAAAAATCGAGTTTTTTTCTTCCCTTCGTTTTCTTTCTGGGGAGATGCGACCGAGCCTTGGTGCTTGAAATCGGGATGGGATCGTTGGGTGTATCACGGAATCACCTCCTCTTCTGACGAGGGCCTTGGCTTGGTGGTGTGTCGAAATTGGTGATAAATTTTTGTGGGAGGGGCTAATGGCGGTGGAGAGGGGCAGAAATCCCACCTCCCACCCTGCCATCTGCCAAGGGGACAGCAACCGTTCGCAGCTGGGCAGTTTTGGCTCCGGACCTGCATGCGAAGGTGGGAATGTCCTCGTTCCGATTCGACAATCGCCGACTCCGACGACGTCCCTTCTGACCAGGGTTAGACATCTCCCAAGAAAAAGGACCAGGACCAGCGATATGGAATCGGGGGTTGTTTCGCGGCAGGCCTTGGCTTGTCGAACCCAAATATCTAACGTTATCTCTCTTCTGGCTACTCTAAATCTTGCTCTCTGACATGATTACGCTAGAGCCAGGGCGTTCATCTTCCAAGTCTCAGGCTTGCACCAGATCACATTCCATGGGATAGAATTCCTCGGTCGTTTACAGGTTGATACGTTCCGGGGCGGACCATACAATCCGAGCCAACCCCTTACCTGTAGAGCTATACTTTTCTTCTTCCAAGGCGCCAAAAGCAGACCCTAGGTTCTCTTCACCGCTCAAACCTAAACCCGTGCGTTCGATCGCGTCATCCCAAGTCTTGATTAGATGATCAATCTTCCGTGGGCTTAGCCCACCAACTGCCCATCTGCGATCAACTCCCAAGTCAGACATTTGCAATCCCATGAGCTCATGGTGGTACTTGGTTGCCAAGCAAAAAACAAGTCATAGTTCGTAAAAGACATAACATTGCCCGCTATCAAACTCCATGTATCCGTTGATCCAAGTGCAAATACCTTGTTCCCTCGGCAGATCATCCTGCCCTTTTCGTTTTGGGGTTACTCAGGAGCCCTCCCTTAGACCCCGAATTAACCAAGAGGACGCCTATTTCCGTAATCCAATCAATCCATAACTCCATCTCAAACGCTATTCCGTGAATACTGCCCAGTCCTTTCCTTCTCACTGGCCCGGGATGTAATCATCGCTCCAGTCGATGAGCTTCCACTCCTTCGCGCCAGGGCCTACGACCAGCCTGTGCCTATCGATCTTCCAGTGTGAATACATGGACGCAGTGGCCCTCGCCGCCCGTTTATGACCCGGGGTATGGCCTGCGCGGATGGCATCATCCCTCGAGCGCCAGACGCACGTGGCGAGGTTCCGACCGTCTGAATCTGGGTGACCGAACCAGTACCTGGAAAGAAGCCGACTTGTTAGCCACAACTCGGTTTGACTTTTGTCGGTCCCGTCGGGAACGGCACTGCCGCCATTCCACCTTGGGATTGTGTTTTTTCGTGCGCACCGTGCTTTCCGTGATTTTCTTTTATTCTTCACACTATCCCCCGCCACGGCCTTGTCGGGACTCTTTTTCATCTTCCTCTCCAACCAAAGGAAAAACACGGCATGGGTGAATGGGTGTGTAAACCTACTTTAAGAACCCGCCACACGCTACCGCCTCGGCGTGTGCGCCCTCATCCAGGATCCCCAGGTCCTCGTACACCGTAGTCGGTGGGATCCGTGACCGGAACGCGACGATGAAGAAGGATGTTTCCGCAAAGTTGGCGTCTTGCGAGTCGACCTGGTCGAGCTCGGCGGACTGCCGTAGCTTATCCATGACTTCGGTCCAGTTGAAAGATTCCAGGTAAGAAGCGGTGGCGTAGTCGTCTCGCGTAGCGCGGAGGCTGGTCAAGGCCTTGGCGAAGAGTGCATTTTCATTATCCAGGGTCGACAGGTTGAGGAGATGCTCGGGAGTGGTGTAAGGGGATGTGACGAGCAGCTCGCCGGGGCTCTCTGGCGTTGTTTGCCGCGTTGAGTCCTGGGACGACTCTGGAGTGGTAAAGAACCCCATTCTCGCGTTCTGGCGGGCTTGGTATGTGATGTGTGCGTAATAGAGGCAGGATTGTACGAGGGGCTAATAGCCGGAAGGCTTCAAAGCCTCGAGGAAGGTGGAAGAGGAAGCGGACAATCGGGAGAGCCTAGGGATGAATGTTGAAATGCTTAGAGAGCTTCGACAGGGTGAACGTCGCAGGCTTGACCCTCCGCTTTATACTCTCTTCTCCAGGACACACCGAGTATTACCGAAGCAGGTCCTGGCAGGATGGTGAAGCGGACGCCCGGGATGGCGCGATCGGTCTGGGCTCCACCATCAGCGTTCAACATTCGGACTATCCACGGGAAGGGTCCACCGTCTTCATTATCGACAGGCCACAACCGCCTGCGACGGAGGGACCAGTGGCGCACTTTTCTTGTTTCATCTCATCTCTACATTCCATGATTATATTCCCCCAGAAAATGAGACGGCCTAGCGGCAAACCGTAGTGCAGGGGCCCTCCAAAGGGATTAATAATAATGCTATCCTTGTCGAAGATTGTGTGATCAATACAAACTACATTACTCAGTCCGAAGAGTTAGGATTTTACCTAGGCTCGCACTCTACATGTGCTTTATCCTTGTTATCCCATTATACTCTTTTTGCTCAGAAGCTCCCCAGCAGCGCTTGTGAGGAATAAGTCGGTCGGAGAATATTCCTTGCCCCTTTGTGGCGTTCGACTTTTCTCGGGAGGCGTGGCTGGCGGCTTAGCCGGAACAAGTCTTGACAGTTTAGTAGGCTTCTGGTGCCATTCTTCATTCACTCTTGGACTCTGAAGGAAGCCTGTAGTCGGGATTCCTGAAACCTGTCTCACTAGAACCCTCCTGGGAAGATCGAAAAAAAAAAAAAAAGAAGAAGAAAAAAGAAAACAGGCGCCAAGAGCCATGAAGGCATCCAGGCCCGGCTCAGCAACTTGCAAGCGCCATCCGAAAACCGCCCCACACACCCCGGACTGCCGCCGTCGCGTCGCCGCGTGAATGGGTGAACCCTGCCAGTCCGTGGCCAGCTGTATCTTAAAAGTGTGTGTGCCTTATTCTGTTTAAATCGCCCACAGCTCTGCTTTGTCCTTCTGTTCAGGCACAATGGTCCTGAGCCTTCCTTCGGCGAGCGCACGCTGCACATTGCCGAGAGCCCATTCCTCCATTTTCAGATGGGTCTCGACGGTCCAGGTCCCCATGTGCGGTACCAGGAGCACGGACGGATTCGAGGCAAGTCCAGGTTGGATCTTGGGCTCATTTTCGTACACATCGAGACCCACGGTAGAGACAATCCCGTTGTTCAGGGCATCCACGAGGGCAGCCTCGTCCATGACGGCTCCTCTGGCAGTGTTGACAATAACAACACCCCGTTTCATAATGTCAAACTGCGCTTTCGATATCGTGTGGCGAGTATGCGACTGTGTCCATTCGTGCATATTAGCGCCAAGAGAATAAAACCAAGGGGCGGCGGAAGGAAAGCGAGAAATACTCACGTTAAGTGGTAGGTTCAAACTCAAGACATCGCTCTCTCTTAGAAGCGTCTCGAAGTCCACGTATTCCGCCTCACACTCCTTTTCCTGCGCTTCCGTCAACCTCGTCCTATTATGATATCTTATCTTCATCCCGAAGGCGAGCGCCTTCTTAGCCATATTCCTCCCGATGCCACCCATTCCCAAGATTCCGAGAATCTTGCCCTGGGGGTCGTGGCCCAGAGCAGGCAGAGGCTGGCCACGCCAAGTGCCCTCACGGAGGGCGGACATGGAGACATTGAGGTTACGCAGTGCGCCAATCATAAGCCAGATGGCGATGTCCGCCGTGGCATCGTCCACGGCGGTTGGCGTGTTGGAGACGAGGATAGACCGTGCCGTGCAGGCGGGGATGTCGATTTGGTCGTATCCAGCACCTGTGTTACGATTCTTAGAAAGTGCTCTCAGACAGGAGATGGACAGAGGTGTAGGGCAACCATACCATTGTGGCAAATAAACTTTAGGCTCGAAGGAAGGACGGCGAGAAGCTCTTGGTCAACAAGGCCCGTGATGGCCGCCGACTCAAAGGTTCGAAAAGCAGCGACAACGCCGTCGAAGGCCCCAGAACGGCATTCGGCGATGAACTCAGCTCGGCTGGTAGCCTTGGGAACAATAATGTCTGCGATCTGGCCGATGGAGTTCAACGCCTCATGTGCACTGCAGGACGGTAAAGCATCGTCAGTTTCGTCTTCACAAATGAATCGCACTAGTTAATTGGAGCGAGTAGGATTCTACTGCACGACGGACCAACACCTCTGTGCCGTTTGGTAGCCGAGGGCGCAGAGCACGGCCGCCAAGTTAAGCAACAAGGGTTCGTGAGTTGGGAACCGCGCCGCGCAGTCGGCTCTCGATGTTAAAGTCACACTCAACACTTCCACTTACAGCTCAATAACGCCCAGCTGCAGGACCTTTGGTCTCGCCGACTCGTTTGACATCCCGATGTCAGATGGGTTTAAGCGAGGAGATTCGATTGTCACTTGGCCGAGACCGAACCGACCCGACCGCTTCCAATATATTATCGGATACGCAACGGGGTTAAATCCAAGGGCGTATCGTCAAGCCCGCGTGCACCACTTCAAATGTTCCTTAAAATAGAGATGAAATATCGTCCAACCGTCGTTTCGTCTCCGTCTTAGAATTTGCTTCTTCTGCTTGTAAAGTGGCTTGCCACACAAATGGAGACGGCGATTGCGAGATTCGTGGAGCCCAACGCGGGGGTCGAGCCTTGTCTGCCACCAAATCTAAGTGGGGGTTCTGCTTCTGGCGGTGCTCAACCTTTCATTCGTGACACACACTTGATGGGACTACTTCTCGAATGAGAAGGCCCTTTGTCCGTGGCTCCTTCTGTCGTAATGCTCGACTCAACCTCCGAGAGTTATTAGTCATTCGGGGAAACGAACGGACAGGGCCATGTTGTAGATCCGAGAACGCGGGATTGTCCCTGTTCGAAGCCAAAAAGAAAAAAAAAAAAAAAGAAAGAATCCATGGTTCGTTCTCGCACGTCTTGCTGAGCATCACGCGCGGTTGATCATTGACGAGGTGTCTTTATGCCGCCTCCGCCACTTCATCATTGTCTGCGTGTGCAGATTTTCAACCGCGAGATCGATTTTCCCTCTCCCGGGGATCGTTCCCCAAAAGCCCGGATGGCCTATTTGGCCTAATTCCGTAGCATGGATGCCATGGATTCCCCGCCAGGAACCAGGGTCCCGCGTTGTCCACTTTCCTTCCCCCGGACCACCCCTCCTCTCATGCCCCTCCAAGAAGTCTATTCCCAAACCAGGATCTTTCAAAAGTCGGGACCACTCCCTCCATGATTGTCGGACCGCTGGTCCGAATTGGGCTGACGACAACCAGCGCCGCCCGCCCCGCATAAAAACACACGCACACACGCACACACGCACACACGGAAAGACCCCCATTTCCCCAAAAGCTAGGAGCCTCAATGGATCGATGCATTGCATTGATTCAACCCCGCCAGGAACCGTGGTCGAGAGTCGACTTATCCATCGATCAAGGATCTTGTTCTTTGTTTCTCTCTTCCATCACGCTCTACTGGTGCGAAAAGCAAAAGCGGCGCCTAGGGGGCCCTGCGCGAAATATTGGCCGGGGGTCGGGCTCGCCAAACGGACCACGCCCCTGATCGCAACATCTTGTCTCCTCCAACTAGTTGTCGTGAAAAGCTGACGGTTTGCTTGACCGCACCCCCATCGAGGCATGCGTGCATCGCACGCGGGCCATCGTTCGAGGTGCAACACCCTAGTGTTGTGTGGTTAAGGAACAAGCCGAATATTGGGCGTGGTTCTAGATGAGGGGTGTGTTTGGACTTGGTGTCTTGACCATTGCGCACTCTCAACGTCTTGTCATCTACATGTAGCCTTTCCATTGCGGGCCATGGAGAACAAAATGAGCTTGTCAGATGTGGTGGGATCATGTCGCAACCTAAACTTGACCGCCTACTTACTTGTAGTTAGTCTGTTAAGTTGGTCATTCCTTGAGACATGAGAAGAATCGGACTTTGCACGTATGCTGGAACCTCGAGCAAGTACACATGAAAAGAGGAAACGGGCTGCTATTGACCTAGTACAACACGTCGATCAACACGTCGATCAACACGCAGCACCACTTTTGTAATATTGGTAGTGTTTTTCATATTCATCTTTTTTTCCTGCCGTCGGCTCACCTCACGCGCGCCAATGCCCATCCATGCTATAAAATGCTGTCAAACAAAACTAAAAATCCAAGAGTGAACAAGAAGACGGAATATAAGATTGAAAAAGAACTGAAAGTAAAAGAAAACAGAGCGCAGGAAGAAGAAAAGGAAGAAGAAGAAAAAGCCAGCTCAAGGAATCAGTGAAAATCAAAGAACATAATGTGCCCCACGGGCTAGTATACATGACATATATAAACACACAGGTTGAACCAGATGGACCCGTATCAATGCGGTTGCCTTTTTGTGAGAATCGAAGTTTCCCAGAGGAAAAGACTCAGGGAAAGAGGTGGTCAAACAGAAAATCAAAGGCGGATATAGACATTAAGGTGTCCGGCAACCGATTGAAGAAAAGAAAAAGACTTCCAGGGCTTCGAGCGGGGCTTACAAGTACAGTTGAGTGCTGAAAAGGGAGCTGGCTTCTTTTAGAAGGCATCGGGGAGGCAGTGTCTGACTCGGAGACGGGGCGGGGGCCGTTGTGGCGTAAAGTGTGTGCACGGGAAACCGCCGTGCTTGGACCGCGTTCAGACATCGGCAAAGAGATGCATCTTCCCCCTTCAGAATGCGCAGAACCGGAACCTTCAGTTGCTGGCAGTTCTGATTCCATGGTTGAACATGGCTTTGAAGATTTCATCCGATCGGGACCTAGCCTCTTCCACTACGAACGAACCCACAATCATGACTGGATCGGTCAATGTTGCGCCCGAGGCGCATCAATGTGCCGAGTGCAATGAATGCGCGTGGCCGGCTAGAATTAGACTCTGAGAGCGAAGATACTAATTCTAGCTCAGTAACCGCAACCGCATTACGGAAAAAGATAGGGGTTTTGTTAGCCCCTTACTGCGTCGGAACCCCTCCGCCAAGATGTACGCCGCCACTCCCCATATGGCTGTGGTTATGGGGGTGTGAGTACGAGTGCGCATGAGGTGCCGGGTGCTGGTGGGCATGGCCGTGTCCTAGTGATCCAATATCGTGTGTTGACTGCGGTGCATGTCCGAGGTGATGCAGGTTGGGATCCATTCCAGAATTGTAATCTCCCACCTCACTCTTCATCTGTGGTAGCCCTTGGTGTGAATGGGATAACGAAGTATCAACCGAAGAATGGGGGTGGGGGTGGGGGTTGGGTGATTGGGAATATCCACTGTGAAGTCCGGGGTGGTGATTTTGTGGCGCGTACACCGAAGGCGCGGGTGCGGTCGTCGATGGTGGCTGTTCTAGTTTTATTCCAGCACTCAATGAGGAGGAAGTAGGTGGAAGCGTACTGGCTGGGCCACTATGGGGGATGGAGGAGTGATTCTGGTGATTTAGTATACCCATGCCGGTTTGAGATTGAGGCGCTGGCGGCTGAGGGGGTGAATGGTGTAGGAGGTGTTGTTGGTGCGAGTGGCCTTGGTCAAGGTGTTGTGATTGTTGCCCTTGCGGAGGCTGGTGAGGTTGAGGCTGATGGAGTTGATGTGAGGTGATCGGCTGCGGTTGCTGAAGGTGCTGCGCGTGGTGCGATTGCGATATTGGCTGTTGCAAAGACTGAGAGTTCATTGATGCTGGAAGTGGAGGCTGTTGGCTCGTAGGCTGCTGTTGCTGTTGCTGTTGTGGTTGCTGCTGCTGTTGCTGTTGCTGCGGCTGCTGCTGCGGCGTACGCTGGCCTTGTTGTGGCTGCTGGGACTGCTGTTGAGGCTGACTCGGCTGTTGTGGTTGTTGTTGTTGCTGCTGCTGCTGGTTCTGTTGCTGCTGACGCTGTTGCTGGCCTTGTTGCTGCTTGAAGATGGGATCGTACCCCAAACACTCGCGCTTCGACTTTCGGCAGTTGTTGCAGGTTGGATGGGTTTCGTCGCACTATTAGTCCCAAGTTAGAAACAGCGTGGTAAAAGTGATGGAGCGGCAGCACTTCTAGGACGGCCGCCACCCTTCCTTCACAGACATGGATGCATAGATGAAAGCGTAGGTTTTGAAAGACACTTGTCTTGCCCATGATAGTACGACTGGTCTCCTAGCGGCCGACAGCCATCATGACTGAAAGGGGAACCCGTTCGGGCCTAACCCGCTCCAGCGGGATTTGGTGTTGTTAGTCGCCGTGGGCTAACGGCTGTGGCGTCATGGTGGCTTCAGGACGCTATCCCCCGGCTTGGAGGCAGTCCAGAAAAGGAAATTAGTGGATGAGGTCTCGGACCCTGGCCGAAAGGTCGGTCTTCCGAACTCGACTTGGCTGCAGAATAAAGCTCCAGCGATAACCTTGAATTAATCTTCTCACACAGGAGTCTTGTCCCCTCTGCCCTCAAAGAGCTCGTAAATTTGATAAATATAGAGGCGTGGATGACCGAGCGGTTTCCCGCAATGCAGCCTTTCATGAGCCACATGACGTTTGACCAAATCCGCGCAACATAGTGAGCGGCGACCTCGGGGAGAATCTATCGTTGCGACGGGCGTCGGCGACGATACTCGGTGCCCGAATCAGCGAGACGGATACACGCTGAAGCCGGGTAGATTTGGCTCTCATTTTCCGGATGTAATAGCTCGATGTGCCGTTGCAAGGGTGGGAAATGGCTAATCCGGGAGACAGGGAATAATAGCCGGAATATGAAGGATAACGAGTCGCATCCCAGTCGAAACTATCACCTCGCAGAAGGAAGGGAGGGGGAAGCGAAGGAAAAAAGAAACCGGAACCACTCCCATCTTTCGTACGGCCACGGTTGGCCTATCCTGATCTGGAAAAACAGACACTATCTGCCCCGTCGGGTGAAGAAGTATTTTAGGAAACACCGACCTCACACCAACGGATTACCTGAGAGGAATGGAAAAAAAAAAAAAGAAAGGAAAAGAAAAGGGAGTGCCAGAGGGTAAAAGGAATGTAAAGGGCGCATTCGCAATAAAATGAGTAAGAAAACGAGGATATATCGAGCGTTAACAAACCTTTATTCTCCGCTTGCGACACGTCATGCAACCAGTCTTGGTCCGCCGCTTAATCTCCTGCGACGACGATATTAGCACCAGTTCAAAAATTGGGTCGACCATTGGCTCGTTTGAAGGATTCTTGGCCAGATTCAAATGATCTGTCTGGCACAGATAGGAGTCAGGTAGGGGAGAATAATCCCTTGACCGGCGGGCGCGCCGGGCGATTCAATGCGGAAGTGGAATGTGCTTGTGAAAGCGCGGAAGGGTGTGATCAGGCTGAAGGTGGTTCGCTCTCAACATACCTTCTTTGGTCCTCGGCCCATCTGAAAACGAGGATCGTGAGGTGGAAGAGGATAGCGCATGAGATCAGTATGCAGATATTGACCTCCCATAGCCAACGCCGAAGGGTAGAAATGGCCCATTCCGTGATGGCCCATACTCATACCCAACCCTATGGTCGAGGGACCGGTGGGGGGGAGGGATGCCGTGCTGCTGAGCGGGGACAGCGTCGAGCGTACGCATGCTAGGTAGGTGATGCGCTGGATCGAGGCTCGACGTTGTGCGGTACATGTCGCCTGGCTGGTTCGTCGGGGCGTAACCGTAGGGAGAAGCTGTCATGCTCTGAGGATAAGGCGCCTGGGTCGAGTAGTTGGTAGGTTGGCGCGATGGGCCTAGCGGTTGTTGCGGGTGCGACATGGCAGGCTTGATAGCTCACGGCGGTTGAGGCAAACTGGGACGACCTCGCGGCCTCGTCTTCGCCGGAGACCGAGTTTGTCACCTCGCAAGAGAAGCGAGCGCGGGCTGTCAAATCAGCGTGCTGGGGGCTGGCGAGCCAACGGGCAGGGTCGGTGGGGTTGTTGGCAGACGCTACTGGCCTGTGGGAGGAATGTACCGAACACAAGCTCTGCCAGAGACACCTTAAGGCTAGGACGATCGAGAAGTGAAGAGGTGGTGAGGCCGCGTCTAGCGAGAGAAAGGGTAGAATGGTCGGTGCTGCTGCAGCAAGCCCAAAAGCATCCAAGAATATGCGCGTCGGAGCACAAGAAGCGAGTGTAATGGTGAATAATGTCGACTACGAAGCATTCACGGGCTTCCGCCAACTCGCTGTGGGGATTCCGTACGTCCTTTCCCAACTTGTCAGTGGGTGCGTGTGGTCGCTGTTGAAGGCACTCGAGGTCGGCGGGCCGACATCTGGTTGTTCTCAAGACTTGGATACAAACGAAGAAAAGAACGTTTCGAAGCTACGACAAGGCTTCGGAGGTCGTTTGCAAGCCAATATCGTCGAGGTAGAAGAGATGTTAGCGGCGAGGACGAATGGAGAGGGAGGGATGGTAGATATTATGGCAGGGGAGAGAGGTGGGTATTTGAGGGAGGGGGGCGTGTGCGAAGAATAAGAGAAGAGGTGGAGAGGTGTGGCATCTGCAGAGGGGTGCTTCGAGGTTGATTTCCCCGGGGGTGTGTGTTCAAAGTTGTTCATGGTGGATTGATCAATGTTTAGAGTGGTGCAGCTATGTCCTGTGGCAGCGCCGAGGTACCCTATACTGCGCGGGCCACCCTATACTACTCTACCCTCTCGCCCTGTGCAACGCCCACCCAGTGATGGTGTAGTGATTTCGAGGGGTCCTATGGTACATGATCGATTGATGGAGAAACGGTTGATCAATTCAATACAACACTGGGCATCGAAGACGTCGGATCCGTTCCATTGAGATCCATCAATGTAGGAAGTTGGTCCGGCTGCCCAGGTCGAGCCTGCCCCCAAAAAAAAAAGTTACCACCCAGCAACAGCGAAAGATTGCTCACACCCGTACCGTATCTCTTTTGTTCCTCTCAGCCAAACCTTAGAACTCTCTGATATGTGTCGCCCAACTGTCCTAGCTCTCTCACCATCCATAGATGGACCATTGATGTATTCTACGCTCATCCACCGGACTTATAATGTACCGACCTTTAATCTTTCAATGAGAGACGGAGGAGTTGCAGAGAGAGAAGCGAGTTGGCAGGCGTCACGAGGAAAATAGGCTCCATGTTGGACTGAACCCGTCTTCGCCATTACTCTACAGGAGAGGATATCGTTGATGGAAAACATTAAACCAGAAGCCACGAGAGAGACTGAGGTGCTTCGCAAATAAATTAGCTGATGGCATGGGTTAGTCCTTTGGTCGAGCCAGGAACTGGCTTGACGTGTAATGTCGAGGTGAGGGAGCAAGGCAATGCAACACAGAACAGCACACGCTAGATTTGATGTTACCATCAAGCTAGGCGGGAACGTCCCTTCCCAAGTCTAAGAGATTGAGACTTCCACATCATCAATTGGGTGCTTCAAATCCCCGCCGAGTATTTGAAATTCGGCAGGAGCGACTGTACGACGACACAATGACGCTAGGCTAAGTGTCCCAGGAAGGAGCGGCGGGCAAGATGCGCTCTCTTATCGCTCAACTCCAAGATACCACCTACCCACTGAGAGCGTAAGGAAGAAACGAAACAAGAAAGAAACTAAAGGAGGAAAAAAGGAAAAAAGGCGGGGGAGAAGAAAAGAAGAAGAAGCAAAAATAGAGTGGGCGCCTCCCCCAAGTTCACATACCTTTAGGCGAATCCTAGTCCTGCTCGAAAGACCTAAAGGGAGAAAGAAAACAGGATGGAAACGTCAGGTTGCGGGCATCGACATGCACAGTAGTGCCATGTACGCGTGGGACCAAGCTCAGAAGCACAAGAAGCAGAGCTTGCCATCAACACTTCGTGATAGCCCAATAGCCGCCATCCGCCGTCAGTTTAGGAAACAGACCAATGCAATCAGGTGAGTGCTCTTAAATATTTGAGTCCGGAGCAAGGGTATTACTTTCATCTTGATGTGTTTTTTCCCCCTCGTTGTTTGATTCATATGGTGGTTGGGCCCGTGCTAGCCCGGTCCAAACTTCCTTTGGCTTGTGCAAAGTGGCTCTTATTATTACTCATTCTCTTCTTTTCTTTTCTCCCTCCTCTTCTCACTCTCTTCAATGTTAAGATTGAAAGGGTACTCCGGAGCTCAGGGCCCGCCGGCACGCTTTGTGCTTTTGTTTGTTGGCGCGCAAGTAGCCGGCCGTCTAAAGGGGCGATGCAACATCGACTTCAATCGCTCAAAAACAGCAAAGAATGCGACATAATATGTGTCCCTGCAGGCTGTTATTCTTACCTCAGTTGCCTTCCCTCTGAAAGCAAGTACCACGCTCGAGAAAGCTACTTGATACCTTGAAACTGCCAGATTGACGGCAAAGCCCACAATGGAGCGCGAAATCAGCGAGTCGGCCCTTGTCTTTGACTGGCGGGCGGCCATTTGCCGCGGTGGGGTATTGAGCTCCCGCGGACTTATCCCGTACCTTTCGAGCAAGAATATGGACACCATACCAATAGGCTGGTCAACATTGTTGGGACTAGGCAAGCCAAAATCAGAGACGACAAGTATTGCAGTGAGGGAGGAGAGTGGCCTGAACTGATGTGCGGCCATCCAATCTAGGGCGATTAGGCGGTCGCGGGCGTGCTTGAGCACCCTGTGATGTGTGGCCGACGTCTAGGGCCCCAGGGTCCAAGTTGAATGAAGCACCACCTACCCTATCTCGAGATCTATTGTGCCGTTACTGGTCCCTCCCCGACCCGGCTCGGCGACAACTCATACCGCGTATTTTGAGGCATGATGCTGTTGACCTCGATCTAATATTATCCGGGGCCATCGTCGGGCTAGAGTTTATTACCACACTAGGGTTCGGCCGGGGTGCGCCGGGTGGGGGAGCGGAAGGAGGGAGGAAGAAGGGGAGGGGGTTTGAGAAGAAGGTGGACTGGTACGCAAGACCAGAAATCCACGCCAAAGGGCCGAACCAGGGTCCCCAGAAACAGGTGTGGGAAGGGGAATGGATGATCGCCCCGGGCCTCCCTCGGAGTGGCCCCTCCTGACCATTGAGTGGTGGAACGGAACCTGTCTTGGCTTCGATGAGAGCCCGATAAAGCCTCACGGGACAAGCTAGTGTAGGTACTCCCCTCACTAAGAACCCCCTGCGGGAGAACCATAAACCTCCGATGGGCTTGACAAGTTGCACAACCAAGAATTGCACGACAGGAGCAGCCTTGAAGCGAGACAAGACAAAAGTGTCACTAAAAGGAGATAAAATCCCCTTCCTGGAGACACATGCGCATACCCATCGGCTAGGCTGCTCAACACCTTTCTGCAAAGACGCCCTAAAGGCTTGCCTCCTATCGCTGTGCTGCACAACAGACTCGCGGGTTCCGGTAGCAGGATCCGCGTGCCGTAAGTCTCTTCTCTTTTATGATGCTATATGATAAAGCCAATATGGCTACCTACAAGTATAGCAGCGACGACACAAGAGCCTACAAGCTTGCGCACAACTGGCCATTCAGAATAGGCGGGTAAAAGGGGATAAATTGAAGGCCGTGTGTGTCAAGGGGTCGGCTCGAATTCCCTGCTCTTGACCTTGACACAACCCCTTCCTCCCCCATTCCCTTACGAGCCCACTAACACCGCGCTCTGGTACCTTCCAGGAACCCACAGATCAGCACGGAAACGAACGTTTGGTGCGCTCTCCCAAAGTAATAAGACACGCACGCAACATCTTACACTTCACCGTAGGGTCGTGTGCCTGAATTGAGATTGACTTATACATAGATTGATTAAGTTGATTTGTTCGGTGTTGGGTCTTCTTTCGGGACCTCTCAGGCAAGACTACGATGTCGAAGCTGTCCTTAATGCCCCATTTTCGATTGTGGGCAGAGCCAAGGTACTGGTTACTTTTTTCCCCCGTTTGACTCTTGACGTCGGCACCACAATCTCGAGGAATGGCCGCGCGCCAATGCAACGCCACAGAACAACCTTGTCCCAGAGTTCGACAAAATTCTTGCGGATGAAGAGGACGCTTCAGCGACTCGTTCCTTTCGCATGACTCCTAAGAGCTAATGGGACGTCGTGCGTATGGACAAGTCTCCTACGTCGCTAGGAACAATATGATGTACGGAGATAATCTTGTTACAGCCATCTGTCCGCAGGGTTCGTGTTGGTTGATGCCCTGGCTTCGATGTTGCTATTGATATAATTGTTAGTTTATGCCATATGGTTCGCTCAAATTATGCCGTCCTCCAGGCCAAGGGCGAAGCCGGGCAGACGAGCCGAAAAGAGTGGAACAGGCCATATCCCCACGTTTCTCACATGCCTAGCGAGTGTGACATGACCTCTCAAGCAACGAAGGCTAACAAAGGTTGTTGAAAAAGAAAAGGAAAATCTTGGGGAAAGAAAAGAATAAGAACGAGGTTAGCAGGAACCCAAACGGAAGCCCCTCGCGCCACCTAGGTTTTCGCCAGAAGTGGAGGGGTATTAGCGGGACGTGAAGTGAAAAGAAAAAAAAAAAAAGAAAAACCCTGGGCGTGATCTCGGGACCCTCATTGCGAAGTACACTACAAAAGCGGTAGGCATAAAGTAATGTACCTGGTCCAGAACAGCCCGCAGCTTGAGGCTCTTGCGAAGTGGCTGTCTTCTTTGACACAACCACGCGAGCGACGAAGCTTCCACAGTCGCGTCCAAGTCCCAATTCCTGCAGGTACCTTTCCCGATCTCAACGACGCATGTCTATCTCACCATGGACGAGTGTAGGCATGGGCGCGTGCGTGCGTGCGTGCGTGCGTGCCCCGAAGCTTGTCTTGTGTGGGTGTGGGCGTGTAGGCGTGTGAGGTAGGCAAACTAGGAGAGTGTGTGTCTGTGGATGTGGTGTGTCCGCTGGGAACAGAAGGGAGGCACAGCTTGGACTTTGGGATGCGCGACTTGCCGCAATGATCGGGAGTGGACTCCTCCTCTCGTCGGTGCGTATGCCGGGCCGAGTAACATAAAGGTCGGACGCATCGTGACGAGCAGTGTGTGCCTGCAGGGCTCAGATTCGCTAAGGGGGCAACCTGTCAATTTCAGACGAAAGAGTCTCACGTCGGATCTGAAGTGCTCAGCACAAACGCCAAAGCGTCAGCCTTGAGAGAAACCTGAAAGTGTTCCTCTCCGCGAGGGTCGGATACGACACGCAGATGCAGACGCATGTCTCTACCATGCTTATGATCCTAAAAGTTTTTTTTTCTTTTTTTTTTTCCTCTTCTCAAGATTCCCCATCATAATCCTGTCGTATCCCCTTTCCTCTCCTTCTTGCTCTCCCTGACAAGCAGGGTCTCTCAGGCACACACTTGACGAAAGCCAAATGGCGAAAAGAATTGGGTAAAGAACCCTGTGTCTCAAGCCCCTGCCTCGCCCGTCCTTGAAATTCTGCAAGATGCTCACTTGGGAGCAGATTGTGGCTGACGGAAAAGACAAAAAAGCCCGCGGAACCAAACTTGAGACACAATCCGTCCACATGGGGAAAAGAAACAGAAGCCAACGCAGAGCAAGAGGCCTGCCGAGAGAGTGGAGGAACGGGCGAGGGCGAGAGAACAGAACGACATGATAGTGCATGTGTCGCCTATTGAATGAGGTTACATTTCTAGTGTTCGCGTCTTGGGCTTTTTGGAGACGAGGCAGCGCCTTTTGTTTCCTGGCAATCATTTCGTGGTTCTCCGATGCAGCATCGCCACGGAGCTTTCAGCAGAGCCAGGTTTCCTCTCACCCTTTGGTTCCCCTGATGCAACTCTACCGACATATCTCTTGCCCCATTCATCACGTCTCCATTGAATGGGATTTTCCCTCCCTCATTTTTCCTCGTCTCCTTCCGTCTTCCTTTTCTTTCCGGTTTCTTGGTTTGATGCTACGCTGCCACTGAGTATTCACACAGACACAGGCGCGCGCCCGGGAACTTTGCTTTCGCTCACAGGCCGTCCTTCCCCAAGGGTCGGGTAAAGAGGTACGAAGTACCTCTCGTTCTCTCCACTAAAATACGTGGAGCACGAAGTAATATTTATTGGATGTGGCTCAAGAAGAAGGCACAGTTCCGATATCCGCGATGCGCGCAAGGGAGCCCTCCCTCCATCGTTATGTGTTCTCAGCAGCCGTCCGTTCTCCTAGGAAAAACTTTGGTTTGAGATGATTATGACCCTCGACGCCCAACTCCAGCTTGAACGAGTAAGCACACATATTGTGTGTGTTAAAGGCTACAGACGAGATGGGGAACTATCAATGCTCTGGTATCAATTTCTCATGGACACAATTAACCTCGGCGTCTGCCTCGGCATCACTGGCTTGTCGGGTTCTTTCTTTTTTTTTTTTTTTTTTTTTTTTTTTTTTTTTTTTCTTACTCTTTGGTTTCTTCTGCCCTCTCTCCCAGTGATATTAACACTCTGTCCATGTCTGCGATGAGGTCGAAATTCCTCGGTTTGTTGAAATGAGCATGACCCGCTTTCTTCCTTGAACCCTGCTTGATGCACCCGTGCCTCGAAACGTTGGAACCAGTCGAGAGCACCCACTGGACAGAGGCAGATGCTTTGGTTTCTTTTCTCTCCCCGGCTTTTTTCGTTTTCCTTTTTCATGCTCCTCTTTATAACTTGCAGTTCAAATATTTCGGCAGCTCCAATGGCTAACTTGCAATTTGGATCGTTGATTCGCCTCAGCTCAAGGGTCTGATGGAAAGGGGGCCAATTCGAGCCATGGTTGCTCCAAGGACGGGAATGCTACAAGAACGCAGGCGGGCAGCGACCGAGCAAAGGTGAGGGAAAAGAGAAGAGGAAAATAATAATAAACAGCGAGAAAAAATCCCCTGGGACTCGCCAATCGCTGTTGTTCCCCCATCGCGCCGCCGCTAACTGCTTCAGATTAGCGAACTGCCGGGCCCGACAAGGAATGGCACCCTGACGAAACCCAACTGCCTTTACGTCTCAGGACGCAAGCTTTGTTCACAG